TATTTTTGTGACACACACAGAGTGATTAGCAATAGTTTTGCGAGTGTAAAGCTTTTCAAGTTTTTGTCTGATTCGAATAGCACGCTCTTCATTTTCAGATTTACAACAGTGTGTGCCGATACGTAAAAACATTTGCGTGAGAATACAGTGAAATCCGGAAGTAATTAACTACATAGTGACCAACTTTGGCGCAATTGCGTGAGCATGAATAACATCGCTAAATACATTTCCACTAATTTAGTAGCTTTCTTTGAGTTTTCGTTGCATTTTATTGAATGCAATACAAACATGTTTGCTATCAAAAACTATAAAAATTACAAAACTACGTTATATGTATATATAGCGAAATAGAAAGATTGCCAGCGGACTCGACCGCCGACAATCAATTACGTTTTCGAAAGGCGACGTGTGTAAAAATTGATTCATATTATAAATCGAGAACGACAAAAATCCGCTATTTCTCTGTCGCGATAATTCAGTATAGCTGAAACGATAAGTACCTTTACGTAAAATAAATAAAAAAAAAAAAAAACAAAAACCGCGCACCTAACTTGCGCGATATTATGTTAGGAGTGTTTTTTTCTTCAAAGAGAAAACGTTCTTTCTATTACCGGCATGATTGCCAGAAGAAGTAGGTGATTTTTAGCGAGACGAAACGCGCGCACGTTAGCCCTAGAGGCTAGCGCGACTGTAACTACAACCCACGTTCTTCCTAATAATTGGCCATTTCCCTGCCGACAGTGTCGCATCTTAAGGTTGAAGTTTCTTGCTGTTTCGACTCGGTGAAATAATAATTCTTAACTCGAATCGCAAATCGTCTGGAATTTAGGTTATATTCTAATTGATCACGCTTCTCGACGTATCTCGCCGACACGCTTGTGTACGAGAGTTCGCAGTCTCGGGTCACAAATGGTCGTAAATTATTATTATTATTATTTATTTTTTTCTAACAAGCGTTAATTTTTACGTTTATAGATACGCACACATATATTTCTAACGCATTTTTGTAAACGTATTCTGAAATTCCGCGAAATCTGAATGCAAGCTCGATAACGGGAGAGATATAACGCGAGAGAGATAATTAATTTATTTATTGATACTTCAGCCTTGCGGCCAAGAAGGGAACTTGTGGTTACATCTTTCTTACAACATATCTTTTGTCTCTTATCCTATCTTATCATATTTCATATCACGTGTTTCGTGCACGTTGCTATATCTATTATTCTTACTGATCTGATTCTACCTGCTCTATCTAATCTCTTCTCTCTTTCTTATACCTTTCCTACACTATAAAATACACACTATAAAATATACAAAACATCACAAAATATCGCAAAGTTTGGTTTTAATTTAATTCTCACTATCTTACATTTACGCAAGCATACAATCTTATCTCACATATTTCATATATTACATATGCACACGTATATATCTCTACTACACCATCTTATATTACACTGTTTTAACTTATTTATCTTAAATGATCTTATCTTAGTTTAGTTTAAATTAGTTTCTTTTATACCCTTTATACGTTTCCTATTTTCATTCTTTTAAATAGTTAATCTATCTCTCTTTCCTCCTCCTCTCCCACATCCTGACTAGAGTTTATTTTATTTTCTTTTTCTTTTTCTACCTTCTTTTTCTCTCTAAGTCTTTTTTCTTTTTCTTTCCATAGCCTCACTAGTACCCTAAATAATTATATTTTCAATTCTTTCCCTCTTGTCTTTGCCTAGCTTATTAAACCATTCCTTAACTATCAAGAGAGATAATTAATTATAAAACAACAACAATACATCAAAATCTTGTAATGATAACATTTTTAGATACAAGTATAATAATGTTTTGTTTGGTGAGGATAATTGAGAGATAGTGTGTGACGTTTTTTTTTTCTTCTCTCCCCCTTTCCATTTCGCTCTTAATCTCGTCGGTGTTATCAAATCACTGTATCGAGTATATATATCTCTTAAACATGATAGAGCTGTTATATGCGTGTGTAAATTATATATATAGTTAAATAGTTAATTATATAGATAATTATATAAATCACATAAAGTTTTTATACATATATGTATGCATATATCCAAAACCTTTACGCGTGCATGTGTACGTGAAATCTTGGGCGTGCTTAGTCACGTGTCCTTTGAAAGCTGCAGCTACTGACAGATGAAGAAGAAAGAAGGGGAGAGCGGAAATTTTCCGAACAGAAGGGTCTCCAATACTAGCGAGACCGGTCTGCCGCTACCAGCTGCGTCTCGTCTAAACACGGAAATTCATAACTTCGAATATGTTACGTTGACGCAAAAAGAACAATCCTGTTGCTCTTGCCCGTGTGTATAAAAATTTGTAATATATATTATATACTCTGTCTATCTTTACGAAGTTTATAAAATCTAAGCGCGAGTCTCTTCGAAAGCGTGAGATTTCTGCACGATCGCGAGAATAAATCTTCTAAAAAAAAGTGAACTAGAAATGAGAGAGTGGGAGACGCGCGCGAAGATATCAAACACGCGTTCTGTTCTGTCAGGTGGCCAATGGATCCGTGGCAAATCATCGTGATAAATACTGATTGTCACTTTTCTTTTTTACAAGAATTAAAAAAGATAATGTTTCCGATAAAACAAGATATTTAGGGAGATAATTTTTCCGCTTCTACTTAGCTTTCGATTTCTATAAGTTTGACAAACATCATAATTCTGAAGTGTGTGTAAACAAAATGACATTTTCAAAAGCCCTCGAAGACACTAACTTTCTCTCTCTCTCTCTCTCTCTCTCTCTCTCTCTCTCTCTTTCTCTCTCTCTCTTTCTCTTTCTCTTTCTCTTTCTTTCGTTCTTATTCTCATTCTGTTAAAGAAGGGTAAACGAAACGAATACAGAGACGAGAAATGAATAAAAAGGGGAACTGATCGATGCTACACGGATAAAAAAAGCAACGTGCTCTCGATAATATAATACGCTGGACTAGAGCAGGACGTATCTTTCCTATACTCGATAGAGAACTTGGAGCACTTATAGGCGGGGCATACGACGAGTCTAAAGGAGACGAACGGGATCACACATGTCCACCTCGTCCACGTCGAGTATTCATGACGGTATTCATAGCGAGCAGCTGCCGAACGCACTTCAACGCCATTACCTGCTTTTCGCAACGTTCACTTACGAGGCGACCGTGTCTCGGCCGGCACGCGGCAAGTTCGCTTCTCTTCTTCCACCATCCCCTTTGCAATCCGTTATAACACACACATTAAATTTATTACAACACCGCGACATGTGTGTGTGTGTGTGTGTGTGTGTGTGATGAGATTAATTAGGTTTTTCTTATGTATTATTTTCGTATATGTTTCATATATGGTTTTTTTTAATTTTATAGAAGGGTAAAAGGGGTCGTTTATGTATACAAAGTCCAAATCCAAGTGTCCGAGCTGAATTTTTGAATCGAATTCAATACGAATTACTATATTTTCTAAAAAAATATATATTTCGCGCACGTATCATCCAGCATTTGGCTCTTATTTCTTCGTTAGTTGGACAATACGAGAACTTTATATACGAATATTTATTTTCTCCCATATATTGTTTAAAATCGTACAAGATATAAACAGATTGAATTACACACTTATTTATATCAACGCGAAAAAAGTTCAAAAAGTTCGCGACTGATTTACTCGATGTCAACACGAGAGGAGAAGTAAATTTTACTGAGAGGAATTCTTTCACTTTAGCGGAGTTCAATGAAGTTCGATACCGTATTTGTAATGTATCCGGTGTGTGTCAGGACGTCTCGCGATCGCTCTCGATCTGGTATCGGGTCTCGAAGGACATGTGAAAAGTGTCGACACCGGTGATTTCTACACAGTCCGTATCGCCAGTCGGATAAATTAAAAGCGCGTATGAATCACGAGAGAATCATGACGAGCGATAAGATTTCTCGCAAGAAAAGGTGCGCGTTGCCGCAAGTATTGGCATTGCTTAGCTTCCTAATTCTCGTATATTGTTACGTCTAGACTCGGTTCGCGAAGAACATCAAGATATTATAAAGAAAAACTAAAATTAGAACTTTTTATTAACAAACTGTGTGAACACATATATATGTGTTCGTGTGAACTATATATATATATATATATATATATATGTATGTATGTATGTATATATATATAGTTAACATATATATAGTTAACTATTAATAAATGATTATTTAAGTAAAATTGCCGATCTTTTTTTTGCACGAAAAGAAACGAAGAATCAAGGGTTCGACTTTTATATACAATATAACAATATTATATTATTGATTATTATAGACAGAAAAAAACGCGTTAGAAAAGGAAGGAAAAGCGCGAAAGAATTATTATCGCGTAACATGTTAATCAAACTTTAGTTTTTGTGGGTTTTCGAATAAAAATCATAAAAATAAAACTCACTATCTGCTGCGTTTACGACAGCAATTACTTCGAGTTTGCTATTAAAACAAATTTGATTAAGTGATTTGGAAACAATTCTGTACATGCACACAAGATTTTACTCGTAATAATGTAGTGAAAATAATTGAAAGATGTGATTGATGTTCTTTTCTGTTTTTTTTTTTTTTTTTGTTCTCTTCGTCTCTCTTGGAAGATAAGAATGATACATACAGAGACGTTAATGCACACGTAAGAAGTTGTACTTTTGTTAAGACATTTTTAAAAGTCATTGTTGATACAACTTTACATGTGAAAAAAATATAAACGCCCTCCCTCCCTTCCGTCTGTAAGAACGACGCAGCGAGCGATCGGAAAGATCGAAAAGAGCGTCGCTTTATATATATTTATGTATAATATATTGAAAATGAAATCCGGCCGGATGTCCTACAGCATAGCGGCCGTTCTCTCCGACCAGCCATCCTTGCCTGGCTGACTGACATTAGTGGTTTCTGCCTGGTAGGCCCGGTGCTTTGCTCGGTAGAGATCTCGTAGTCTTCACCCAAGATAAAACACACTATAAACGACCGGCCGGGTATCTGGTTTCAGGGAAGCGGCGGCACGTGCGCCGGAGTTCGGGCCCAGGTGGCGGAGTCCGGATCGCCGAAGAAACGCAAGAAAGAGAAATTAACGACAGTGAATATGAGGTGGGAGGCATAGAACTCGAAAAGATTAGCTCACCAGCGGCGACGAGTGAAGTCTGCTGTGACGACAAAAGTCTTACCAACATTTACTATTCCTCATCGCCTCATCTTCACCATCTTCATCGCCATCGTAGTCATCATCATCTGTCGTCTCGTCGACGGTATCGAAGGGACACCGATGACGGCAGAAACAGCAACGACGTTTGTGATGACGACGTCAATGAGAACAACGACGACAACAATGACAGCGAAACGTGTCTCGAACGTTTCCATCCTTGTCTTCGTCAGCGACTTTACGATGGACGGTCCTGCAGGAGCAGCAGCGACGTTAACGCTCGAGTCGACATTGACCACGTCGAAATCCATCGAACCGAGACAACGACTGTCCATCCTCTTGTACGAACTTCACCCGCTACAGCGACTAATACCGCTACTACCATTACCAACCCTTCGATCGCCACTGCTATAACGAGAGGATGCAAAATTCCACCCTACTTCGCGCTACTGCTTCTTTCCTACACCTTCTTGGGTGTAGCAGGTTGGTATTACATATACTTACATTTATTGTACTTACATAAGTACATGTTGCAACACTTTAAAAAGAAAATAACACAACTTTTATATATCTTTGTATTATAATATTTAATATTATTATATATACTTAAAGAGAGAGAGAGAGAAAAGAACCGCAATCAAGGATAAATCATTGTTTTTTTTTTTTTCTTTCTTGTTTTTGGTTTTTTGTTATAAACGGTGATTCGGTCATCCGTGTCGTTTTCGTTCCTACTTATTACGCTCATTGTGTTAGAATCTTGTACATTTTTTTTCTTTCTTTGACAACAAAAAGTATCATACGAAATGCAGTCGTCGTGTCAAGTGAAATTCTCGCGACAAAGCGCTTATTTTATACGCGGCTCATGCTAGACGACAATTACACACACGTTCACGTTTTACCTTCTCTCAACATGAACCGTCGAGATAATAGACTCGTGTCGTCCACACACTTCCTATGTAAAGATCATTCACCACTGAGATACGTGCATTTGAAATGTGTGCGAAAGATTCATTTTGCCACATATACATACATTGTAAACACATATATGTATTAAAAAAAAAAAAAAAAAAGATATCGATAAGGTGAAGAGATAAGAAAGGTAAAGTACACTACGCCTGCCGAGTAGATTAGAAGAACAGAGCGCGAACGTTGCTCAGAAGACGCGGAGAAACGGCAGATTGTAAAATTACAACAGGTGACAGACAGTAGGCACGCGCGGGACAGATGCAACCTTTTGCCGCCTCTGCCGTACTTTGCAGCTTTGTGTACAGTCTCGCGCCTGCGAGATGCACGCCTTCCCGCCCTCTCGTCGTTTCTCGTCAGGGTGGTCGCCGCCACCCGACGCGGCGTATATAACTACGTATTCGAGAAAAGACGAGGGCCTGAGTAAAAAAGCGAGAAGAAAACTACTACGTGACCCATCCATTGTGTTCAACGAGCCTGGAAAAGCCGACAAAATTCCTAAAGCGCCTATTCATCCCAGTCATTTCTTGCTGTTTTGTGTCAATAATGAGAATAAACGTTTCATCATTAGTAGTAGTTGGTTTTACGTCTAGAAAAAGAAGTCTAAAACAACAATTTGTTACATTGTCTAGAAATGACATGGATATAATATATGGATATGAAAACATTTATTTGTGATAACACACAGTGTAAGAATAACGCCGCGCGATGTTATGTTAAACGGCGCGTCGCTTTGAAGTAAACATTTTTAACTATCTTCTAAGTAATAAAAAAAAAAAAAATCGAATTCCAGAGTTTTTATTGCAAGATTTTAGTTTAGAATTATACGCTTAAATGCTATGTAAAAGAAATGTGCAGTGTGTGTATGTGTGTGTTAAAAATGTGACGCGGATGTTTCTTTATGTTTGTAATTCGCCCCTCAGTCGTAGAAAAAGATAGTGAGAACGGATCTCTCCTTGCGTAGATAATTGCAGCAGAAGTCTTTCTTCTCGTGTTTATTCATTCTCAATTTAGCGAGAGCAAAGACATCATATGATGTGTGTTAATACGTACAACATTCAATTTAATTTGTGTTTTCTGTATATTTGTCAATATAGAAGCCTGCTCGTCGCGCTCAACACCAAAACCAAGGCCGCCAACGTCAACGGATCGGCCGAATATAACATTCCACATGTACACATGTCCACCGGATTACGCGGAGTGGTATTGTTTGAACGGTGCCACATGTTTCACCGTGAAAATCGTCGACTCTCTCTTGTACAATTGTTTGTAAGTATGCAATGTGTGTGCGATTTTTTTTTTTCCATCATCTTTTTCTGCACGTTGCGTCGCAACATTACAGTCAGTAACGTTAGTTTGCCTTACCTGTGAAATTTTTTTCCGGAACATTTTCCTAGAACATTTTTCCGCAGAGTTTCACTGCAATAAATATAGTCGGAATCTTTAAATCACATATTTTAACATATGCAGAAGCGCGCACGGAATGACTATTGTGATTCTCAGACCGTCGAGACGGTATGCGACACGAATATCGCAACAATTATATGTGAAAAAGCCGCCAAGAAAGACGACGGGTACCTTAATTCGTTTAACGTCTCGACGTTAATCTTTGACTATTCAATCTGGTCACGTACGTCAAAATTCCGTATCGGTCTGTGCTCAAAAAATCTGTCAGTTTTCTCTTTTCTATCGATTCCTTCCTTCTTTATTGGTTTTCTTTTTTGTTCTTTTTCCAAGTCAGATAAATGTTTGACTTAATGTATTTGTCGGGGTGAGATTTGTCAGGATGAAAGATGCGAATTCAAACAATACACAAAAAAAAAACGAAAATGTTGATTTTAACTTGAATACACCTCCTGGGACAGGAAATCAATTCAAAAATGTGAAAGTAACTCATTTATGTGTTATTTATTGACAAACTACTAAATGTCAGTTAAACGACACATTTATATTTTTTATTTTGACTTTGAGTGTAACGTAAAAATAAAATAACAAAATAATTAATAAGAATATAAATATATGTAAGAATAATCACGTTCTTTTGGAAGTACATTTCTTACGAGTTATTTTAACTATTTCTTCTATGTAGTTTTTAATTATTTAATAAAGTCAAAATAACAAATATAAATGTAAAATGTCAAGTATTTAACATAACTAGTTTGTCAATAAAGTATAACACATGACGAATGAGTTACTTTCATATTTTTTACATGTCCCAAAAGGTCCACTCAAATTAAAATTAACATTTTCTTTTTTACTGTGTATGAATATTTTTTTGTGCGAAACAAAAAGGTGATTGGATTAACACTGAAGTAATTGAAGAGAGAGAAGCACATCGCGTGTTCGCTCAACCTTATCATTTCCCACGGTATTTGCTTTGTCGACCGCGATATGCCGCTTAGATCGAGTAGAGTCGCTTTGTCTCCTTTCTGTCACATCTTTAAATTGTTCAACGGTTTCGCATTTTGGCGCAAAGAACTAGTAAAATGTCGTACGTAGCAAAAATTTTTACAAAGAATTTCTTAATTCTCATCTCCCCGTTAAAAAGTGTGAAACGGCAGTGTCAATTAAAATTATCGAATTATAACGTCGCGAGAAATGCCAGCATAAAATCGAGAAATTAAAATAATTTTTGTTTGTGACATATATTGTAATAATCGAGAGAGAGATTGCTATTAAGTTAACTTGTGATAATTTTGCATTCTATATAGATGCGCCAACGGATACATCGGACAGAGATGTGAATTTAAAGATTTGGATGGTTCCTATATACGTAAGTAGTACATCTACTAGACACATTCGCGTATCTTTTTCGCGAGACAATGAAAATAACGGATACAAAATAAAAATGGCACTTGTTTCTTTTCAACAGACTCGCGGCAACAAGTACTGCTAGAGACAGCTAGTATCGCCGGTGGTGCCACAATAGCAGTATTTCTCGTCGTTATTATTTGTATAGCGGTTTACATCCATTTTAAGCGAAAGCAGAAAGAATTACGCTCGAGGTAATTGATAGTTGCTATATTATTATATTTGTTATATTTTATTCACAGTACGAACTTTTTGATGAAATTTACAAATGCGTTTATTACAATTGGTCTTCCTTTTTTTTTTTTGTTACTACAGCAGTAACTGCGTTGACACGGTAGATGGTCCTGGCCGTGATTCGGCCGAACTGAGGCCGTTTAGCAACCGCAGCCGTTCTCTTATGATTTTCATGGCCAAGAACCCTAACAGTTCGGTAAGAAAAAAAAGAAGATAAATTTAAATACGACTATCGAGACGCGTGTCTAAAGTAAAACAACAAATTAAGAGAAATATTCGTACATAATGTTTGAATATTTTTTCGTAGGCAACGATAGAGCAGACGAGAATGCCTACCTGGAATTGTCCGGAAGCAGAATCAATGAAGACGGACGCTTCTATCAGCGAGAGCAAACATTTTAGTCAATAGCGAACTACATAAATAAATGTGTGATGCGTCGTCGTAACGATTCACAATTGGCAATGCAAAATGTAAAAAAGATCGTCAATTAATCTACCGAAAGTACACGTCGAGATACTTGGAGATAACAAAGAACACAGTCTTAAGTAACGAAAACTTGTTGATTATTCAACTAATTCGATTCGGCGAATAGATTTGTCATGATCGTAATAACGAGCGGTACTGAGATAAACGAAGTCAAGTACCTTGATACTTTCCGATCTATAGTGGCACGTACCGATGCGATAGCGTCCTTTCAATCGCTTTATCGTACATTGAGACATTCCCGAACTATTACACTTGTTGAGTCTTTTGATCAAAGGTACGTTTTGATGCTTGTCGATTATCTTTCTAACGAGTACCTCGATGGACCATCTTTGGAGCAAATGTCAACAGTTTAAAAACGAAGAACTCCTCTCACGAAGAATGTGTGGTGTGTTTATAAAATCTTTTTTTTTTATTTATGTTCTTCAATTTTTGTTTTTGAGAACTGACAGGTTTGTATCCATCGAATATTGTCTTTATGCGAATGTTACTGTATCACCATTATATTAAGAAAAAAATAGATGTATGAGTTGCAAAAGTAGTGCCTTTTTACTCTCGTTCGTAAGAAAGCTAGAGGTACACTGGAGATCTCTTGAGAGATCAAATAGAACATTTATCTATTTATAAATCTTAAATTTCCCTAAAATCTGCGTCGTCCAAATCGCTAATCGTGTTTACAAGCGCGGGACGCTGACACGCCTAGTGAGCGATCTTCATAAAAAAAAAAAACGACACAAAAAATTAACAGTCGGAAAAAAATAATAGACAAGATATCAAAATCTTTGATGCTTGGTACGTGCTGTTTGTATTTAATTTACATATTTATCATTTGTCAAAAACTTCGATTCGATTTTTCTTTTGCAAATATGTGTATCACTAATGTAAGTTCATCACGCGCCTCATGTTTCTCGCGGAAGTTTAATATATTGCAACTTTTATTAGATTGCTTTGTATATCTATTAGATTCTTCCAGAAAAAGTTAAAGCGGAACGCGATTAACCGTACCATTAGTATCAAGGAGTTGATAGACCATATGTCTTATATATATATATATATGTATATAAATATAAAATACATATATATATATATAAAAATATGTGTGAGAGATATATATACGATAAATCTAGATTAAATCCGACGTCTTACCAGAAAGCAATAGTTCTCTGAACACGTATGTTTTTTGCCACTAAACAATAGAAATGCTATCTATTTAGCAGTTACTAACATGTTAGAAAATTTATTGACGTCAGATCGCCATCCGGCGTTGTACTCTGTTATGTATTGACAAAATATTTTCTCAACTCGCTTTGTCCATATAACAAGTATCCTTTACAATAAATCTTAGGCACACAATGACGTACTTATAGTGAAACAATGTTTAGTTCCATATCTGTAAAAAATTGAGCGATAGAAGATATGAAAAATATAAAATACTATTAGAGAATAGAACAACAAATACACACTAAAACAATATAATAAATTCAAATTGACCTTGTAAGCATAGATTATATAATTTTTTTTTTTTTATGAAAAAATGTTATTACACGAGATTATTCACTTTATTTGCTGTGTATGACAGAAAATTAAAAATTTTTCTAACATTTTTGTTTCTGTCTTCACATTTAAAGTGGAATTGTTGAATGATATATACATGTACATATATATATCATATAGCAAGATAATAAGCCCAACAATAATTATTTTTTGTCAATACGTGTCCTGTCCACATCAAACAAAGCTACAACATACCGTCATATTGTTGATTGTTTGTCAATTAAACAAGAAAAAATACTATTGCGCTTTAATTCCAATTTATATCAATCATGCATCGTTTCCATTACTTATTTATTTATTTGAATAAAATATTTGAATTATTTCTAATTATATGCACAATACTGCAAGATTAATTTATAATTGTCCTCACACATCACTTTTTCATTTAAAGCTTTTTAAATTTTAGGTTATATGGTTAACTGATTAATGTATGTGCGCGTATGTGTGTGTGTGTGTATGTGTGTAACACCATAAAGGCTACATGTTAACAACGCGATAGGATGAAATTAATATGATTTGGAAGAAGCTACCTTTGTGCTACATCATGTGCGTATGAGGCTGGGCCTCTTGTTTGTCATTTTGCCTCAGCTTCTTGTAAATAATAAATTTATACTACATTAAAAACACTTTAATTTTTGCTGCAACATTGATTGTAAAAAAGCAATATTTTCATCTAACCGCGTTGTACTACGTTGCACATATTCTGTCACCTCTGTATCATTATAATACCACAATGTGCTGCAATAAAAGTTTCAAATACATATTTTTATAATTATGTAATTTGTTATAAAAATACACAAAAAGGTGACAGAAAAAAATGCTGAAAACATTACATGATTTAATAGTAATTTGTGTATTTATAAGAGAAACAGAAATCCTTTTTGGTCAAAAAAGGTAAAACTTCCAAAATGTTTTGTGTCACACTATTTTTTTTTCGTACTAATTATTTTTCTGTCTCGATGTTTCGAGAAACATTTATTTAGTAATAATAATAAATTAATTAATTAATAATAATAATAATGATAGTAATAAATTAATAATAATAATAATAATATTAATAACGATAAACGGCTTTCTTCAAATTGTTCAAAATTTTTACTCAATACGGAGAAAGATAATTAGATAGATAAAGAGAGAGAAAGAAAAAGAAAGAGAGAGAGAGAGAGAGAAAGAGAAAGAGAGAGATTGCGCACGAAATAACAAATAAGAACTACTCAAAAATATATATAGTATCTTATAATTTATAAATAGTCTCAGTAACAAAATGTATTCTAATTTAATTTCCCACATTTTATACTGTACGTGGTTCCTAATTTATTATTACTACTATTTTTTTCATTAATATATAATTAATTATTATAACTATATATATATATATATATTTGTTACTATTTTAGAAATTCTTATTACGGAGTGTGTGTCAATAAAACTGTTTACTTTAAGAACTTGTATGTTTGAAAAGAAGACATGTGTATGAAATACGCAATATTGAAATGAATGTTGAGATTGGAATGCGTAATTCTGCATGCCACATGTGTGTCACATCCAAACTTGGTATGTGTATATGTGTCAGACAAACCATCGGATGACACAAAAAAAGAAAACCTTTGTATGTTCTTAGTTCAAGCGTTTGAACTTGAGTCGTAAAAATATTTTTGAAATAAGATATTTTTTTTACGTACACATCAGTGTATCTAAAAACTTGAATAATCACTTTGTAGTTAATATTTCAATTTTAGCATGCGCACATTTGCTTTCGGAAGTTTATATGTACAATAGTTTTAATATTGCAAAACTTCTTTCGCGCGCCTTTAAATGTTAACTTCTAGAAATCGGAAACAGAATGCGAAAATGTAAAAGAAATTAGGAAGGCAACAGAATGAAAAAAGAAAAAAGCAAACATTGTGTTTCTTTTATGTCACTCGATGGTTAGTTGATATGGTTTTTTAATCTAGTGTTTGTTTCCTGACTTGGCCAAACAAGAGCCTTATTATAATTTATTATGTAAATTATCGTCATATAACACAGAACATTATGATAATCAGCTTTGAAAAAGCAAACTTGGTGTGTGTGACCGTCAAGTGTTGTACCAGTGACAACATCTTAGTACATCCGACAGCGCAACTTTTTACATTGTATTATATTTTGCGCAAAGAACTTATACATATACACACACACAACAAATATAAAAAAATAACGACACTAAAGTGTCATGTTTCTTTTAAACAATGCAAAAAATCATCGCTTTTCTTGTATTACCGGCAATTATATTGCAATGTACTTTAAGCGAGCATTATTTGAATTACGTAATTAAGAGAAGAAGTTCACATTTATAATTATTGAACAAAAACTATCACTACACAATGATATGTCACAGTATCTCTGTGTGTTTCGACAAAGAATATATTCCCGCGCTACCTGAAAGTATTAAACATTTTTAATACTACATAAATTTAAAAGTGAAAACAATTTTCTTATTCCTATAAAACCACAATATTTCAGCTACAAAAAATCTTATAAAAAAAGAAACAACATGTGTGTGTATACACACACACACATGTACACATTTTTCCTGATAGTGTCCCACAAATTGCTCTTTTCACTAAAAATTTATGTGTTGCAGTAAGAATTTTAGCTTATAAACTCCACAAATCTGCTAAAAATGTTGAATAAAAAAAATGTAATCTCTAGTTCTCGAAATGTTGTTATGCTTAATCTGCAATAGTAATATGTAATATTACTCACCAAATTAACATCTATGTTAGTCATAATTAAATAATCAGTGAGCTAATAATAGTCGTTATCAGGGATTGTAAAACTATTATTAATTTCTTATTTCGTCAAACAATATCAGTTTCGAAATTTTTATGTATTTTTCCCACAAAGTATCTCTTTATTTCGTGATACTTTCTGTGTGTAATGATCTTGTAGAAGTGATTTTCTTTGTGCAATGTGATTTCAGCATTTTTTACGCGCATTTTATAACTCGGTGGGTATCTCCGTCCAATATATACCAAACATCCATAGCTTGCTGTCCGATGTTAATGTACCAAAGACATCGATTAACTGAAAGAATTAGTTATTTAGACAGAAATATGAGAGAATGAGCGCACGCGCGTAACAAAAAGAGAACAAATAGGAGATTTGAAAAAAAGCCTAAAACAAATATTATCAAACGGCATTTTAACAAACACAAAAAGAAAAAAACGTTACCGATTGGCAATATTGCATCAGAAACATTGTTATTAATTTTGTAAAGCAACCATGTGTACATGTTATGCTACCTTAGCGTGCTCTGTGGATGAAAGCATACAATATGTTGAATATTATCTATTATTGTATTATTATTATGTTATTATTTTTAATAGTATTATCATTATTTTATCATATTATTATCATTATTATATTAAAAATAAAAATACATACGCAATCTCTCGTTTTGACATTTTTAGTAGTATGAATATATAAATATATATTTGTTTATTTATATATATATATATACACACACACACATACAGGCAGTAGCATACCTTCACATGTGAATAAGTAGCACCTTCACTGCTAAAGTATTATTAAAGCATTATCGGTACAATTTCACTTACTGTATAAAGTTATTTACGCTTCTGTCTAAGGCACTGAATTATACATATTATTCATACGCATCTCTCTCTATATCTCCTTTAGTTTTTAAAAAATATTTTTTATATTTAATATTTTATATATTTATTTAAATATATTTTTTTTCGTATCTCATGCTTCGTGATATACATAATTATACGTGTATTTATAAATTAAAACGCTTATCTTAAACTCTTTCATATATAATTATTTCTATACTAGGTATTTTTGTTATTTCCGAGTTCTTGAAAAAGTGACAGACAGAAGAATGAAAAAAGAAAAAAAATATCATCCGAAGACTAAAATGTTAATAAATTTTGGTTTGGTGCAAATATGGCTCAGCGGACCGGTTAAAGGCTAGAATGTTTTTTGTTTTTTCTCCGAAAAATATGATATGGATTATATATAGAACATTCTACTCCCCTCGGATGATGATATATTGAATATATTTAGCAATAAGAAAAATTTCAAAACTAACAATGTGATAAATTAGACTTTTTAAAATTCAAAATATATTTGTACAAAAAATGCTTATTCCTCTGATGCACTAAAAAACAATAGTATTTTATAATTTCTACATAGCGAATGCGTCTGAATCTGAGCGCGCGAACTTTATGGGATCTGATTCATTAACTTTAAATGTGTTTATAATTCAGAAACTCTGACTGACATCAAGAATTTATTAAACTTACACAAAAATACGGCAATTGCAGAACATCTTGTATATGTATAATATTATAAGAGACATTATTATTATGTAAATAAAATTTCTCTGTAACCGGAGAGAAAACTGAGAACAGCCAGGGTCATACTTTGACTATATAGTCAAAGGGGTCGTATGAAAAACTGTAAAAGCTTTTCCGTCCTGTAAACCAGCGCTATGTCAATGGGTGGTGCACATTGACACCTACAGCCATGTCCGCGAGCGACTTGTCGGTACGGGCGTTATTGTCCAAACGTGGACATGGTTCTGTTCCGCGCTATGTCCACAGCGTGCGCGGTTCCATTCTGTTCATATCCTGACAGATTGAATTCACATCCTGATCGAATAGGTTCATATCTCAGTCGGTTCAGATTCACATAGTGACTGGACAGGTTCATATGCTGACTGATTAAGGTTCACATTTTGAACGGTTAGGTTAGGTTCGCATATTGACCGTGCAGGTTCACATTTCGATCGATTAGGTCAGGATTGATCAAGATGTGAACCTCTAATCTAACCGGTCAAAATGCGAATCTACCTGGCCAAGATATGAACTTAACCTAACCTAACCTATCCCTATCCTATCCGATTAGGATGTGAACTTAACTGATCGAAATGTGAACCCTAACACTAACCTAACCTAACCAACCTGGGCTTGGCCGCTCTCAGTTTTCTCTCTGCTCTGCTATGATACAAAAGAATGAAGTATTTTGGCCAAAATGCCTAATAAGGCGCGCTCATATGCTGACGTTAGTCTGTAGTATTTTTATAAAAAAAATACGCTTATAATAAATATCATAAGCTTTGTTCTTTTTAGTCTGCACTAATCTGCACTCTAGCTGTGATTGAACAAGTGTAAACTTCCGGCTATGATCAAGTAGCACTACAAATGCTACGAAACATCTGCATCTTATGTTTTACTAAATGTAAAACTGAGATAGAATAAGCTTTGAATTATTGGATGCGTTCAGACAACTCAACAGTTGCACAACGGTTGAGAGATAATCACTTCTGATTGGATCATACTTTTGGAACCGCCGCAGATTTTGAAGAATAGTCCTATCATAAGTGATGATCTCTCAACCGTTGAGTTGTCTGAACGCACCCATTTATAACTCTATGTTGTTCGCACAAATGTGTATAGCACCGAACTGAATTCTATTCTTTCTTTCCAAAAGGATATTTTAGAAATATTAAATATGTAAATAAATAACTTGTTTATTATGTTTATATACTTTATAAAGAAAATGTTTTTATTATGTATTCATCAACCATATGACACACTTAATATTCTCCTTTCTTTCTCTCTTCCATTAATATGTAATTTTTATAAAGCGTGACAGCTCGCAAATTATAGCATGACGTGTCTTGTCAGCGTGTATCGGACGCATGCGTAATGTCGCCTTACGTGGCATCGGCAGCAATCACGATAACGTCCACCCACGATATCTTGTACATTTTCATATAAACACTTTCAGTGATATATTAAAGTTTTGTTATGATATAAATACATTTTATAATAACAATGTGAGTGAATTTCATATTATATAATAATTTATATGTCAATTTTTTCTATGAGTGCTTTCGTACGTAATGGTTTTGCAGAACTCAAATCACCTTTATTTTTTGTAAACTTCAATATTTTATACTATTTTTATATTAATCTCTGTGATTTATTTAAACAAAGTATTATGAATGCAAGATAATTGTTTATGTATGCTATAGAATATGTATATACATTTATTATAGTTTTTCAGTATAGGTTATTATTATTTTCTTAGTTTTTTCTAGAATTTTTAAATTTATATACAAATTTTTATACATGTTTTAAAATTGGAGTAATAATCTATCTTTTATTATATTTATTGGTCTCTGATTATTCTTTTCTATATTATATTGTATATGTAAAGTATGTATATGCAAAGTGTAGATATATACATATGTAACGTGTATGTACAATATTTGTAAAACTTGTGTGTAATATAGTTATAATATATGTTCTATTTTGATTATTTTTGTTATGACAGATGCAGCACATTCAAGAAATGAACAGACAGCATCCATATGCTGCACCTGTATCATTAGTGAACAATCAGCAAAATATGTCAAAATCACCAATTATGGGACAACAAAATTTGTCAAATTCACAAATGCAACCTCATTTATTACCTGTTCAATCTATGGATCATTCTCAACCGAATCCTTTAGCAACAGGAGGAGTTTCTTCCCAAATGTCACCGCATTTACATACAGGTCTTCATGGACATTCTGCAAATTACCAAACTCAGATGACTAATTCCCAGAATAATAGCCTACCTCAATCTGAAGTAGAGCTATACAATTCTGCACCACCACCATCTCAGACCGCAGGAAGTCCGATAGGCTCAGGTTTATTGCAGTCTGAAGTAAGACAATATGCTCCTCCTGTTTCAACAATGGGACAATCTATGGCAAGTCCTCTGGGGTCTAATCCTGTTCTTCCCCAAGCTCGATACAAGCTTCATTCACAACCCATATCGTCAGTACCAGGCCAGACTGTAGCAAGTCCTACAGGACCAGGTTTAGTACAGTCCGGACAGTTTAATACTGCGCCTCCAATATCAGGACAAAATTTACCTGGTTCTTTAGGAATGAATCGTGTACCACCCGGTACCATTTCAGGTTATCAACAACCAACAGGCTACCAACAAACTGGATATCACAATCAAATGGTACAAAAACTTGACAAAGTTGCCTTGCCAGTTATATCAATAAAACAATGTTAAAAAATTTTACCATTCTTATTTTGTAGGATATGTATAACAATCAAAGAAATTTATATCCAAATACACCTAATGCTACGGGATATCAGCCAGGATTGCAACCTCAACAAGCTAGACGACTTGATCCAGAACAAATGCCGAGCCCAGTATGAGTTTAAATTTTATTAATTTGCTTTATTCGTCGATATTGTTCACTAGCTTATAAAACTTTATATTTCCTCTCTTTTTGATACGCAGATTCAAGTGATGCAAGATGATCAAAATACAAGAGGTGGAATATTTATAACAAATCAAAGAGGTCTAGTACCGCCTTTGGTGACAACAAATTTTATTACTCAGGATCAAGGAAATGCATCTCCTAGATACATCAGATCCACTATGTACACTGTCCCTACTACTGCTGATATTATAAAGCAGGTATGTTAGGCAAGATCAGTTATTATAGACAATATTGATAAGTACCTTGCTTAAATATGTACGCATGTGTATATATTTTGAAAGACTGTTAATAATAACGGTGTTAAAGCTTATTATTATTATTTAGATTTATATATGTATTTTATATATATTTTTTTTCTGATGCACACACACATGCATATCAATATGTTTCCAACAGACTAATGTACCGTTCGGACTTGTGATAAGTCCAATGGCTCGAGTTGTGCAAGGAGAGTGTGAACCGCCAATAGTAGATATGGGTGAAATTGGACCCGTACGTTGCATACGTTGTAAAGCTTATATGTGCCCGTTTATGCAATTTATCGATGCTGGCCGAAGATTTCAGTGCATGTTTTGTAAAGCGACGACAGAAGGTAATAATAAATAATTCAATTTAATTGTTATTTTATACAAGAGAGATTTTCCTAATATGTTTGCTAATAATCTTTCATTTATATTTCTATTTTCTTTCTGTTTAGTTCCAAATGAGTACTTTCAACACTTGGATCATACGGGCCAACGTATAGATCGTTGTGAGAGACCTGAATTAATGTTTGGTACATTCGAATACATAGCAACGAAGGATTATTGCAGGGTAATGTATAAATTAATAAAACAAATTTTCAAAAATATTCTAATATTCCAATATTTTTTTAATATTCTAATATTTTTTTCCAATATTTTATATTTTATCTTATATTTTCTCTGTTATATAAATTTGGCTAATTTCTGCATATTATTTTTTGGCAGGATAACGTTTTCCCAAAACCCCCAGCTATTGTGTTTATAATTGATGTATCTTATAATACAGTTAAATCCGGATTAGTGAGTTTACTATGTGCAAAAATGAAATCCATAATAAAGAACCTACCTATTGATGCTGGACAAACTAAAAGTAATATGAAAGTTGGCTTTATAACGTATAACAATACTGTGCATTTCTACAATATCAATCCTTGTCTCGGTCAACCGCAAATGATGGTTGTCGGAGATGTTCAAGATGTGTTTATGCCTCTTTTGGATGGGTTTTTATGTAACATTGAGGAAAGCGAAGCGGTTATCGATAGTCTAATGACACAGATTCCGCAGATGTTTGCGGATACTCGAGAAACAGAAACAATTCTCGCTCCCGCCATACAGGCTGGATTAGAAGCATTAAAGGTATTGAAAAAATTAACAAATAAGTTGTAATTAGAAAAATTCAAATGTAAAACAGGAATCTTTTTGCAATTTTACAGGCATCTGAATGTTCCGGCAAATTATTAATATTTCATTCTTCTTTACCAATTGCCGAAGCACCCGGAAAATTAAAAAATCGTGATGATCGTAAAGTACTTGGAACTGATAAAGAAAAAACAGTTTTAGGTGTGTGTGCGATTTAGGTTTTAGGTTTTAGGTTTATAGCAATTTAGTTTTTTGTAAAGAGAGGTATGTACTAGTAACAAAAACAATTATGTTTATATAATATATATTTCACAGTGCCACAAAGTAATGTCTATAATAATTTGGGTCAAGAATGTGTCGGTGCAGGTTGTAGCGTGGATTTATTTATTTTTAACAATTCATACGTAGATATAGCAACAATCGGTCAAATTTGTCGTCTTACTGGAGGAGAAATTTATAAATATACTTACTTCCAGGTGAGCGTATATTGTTATTGAAAAATTGATAAAGAATATATAAGTCGATTTTATATGTTGCATCACACACATTTGTTAAATAAAATTATTCAAAAATATTTATAATTTTGGATTGTTTTTTTCTTTCGCAGGCTGAAGTCGACGGTGATAGATTGATTTCGGATGTTATTAACAATATTAGTAGACCAATTGCTTTTGATGCTGTTATGCGGGTACGTACGTCTACAGGTGTTAGAGCAACCGATTTCTATGGGCACTACTTTATGTCTAATACAACTGATATGGAATTAGCCAGTATAGACTGCGATAAGGTGGGTATTTATAGTGTAATTTTAGCTCATATTTTTTCTCAACAAAAGACATTTATATAATACACATATGTTAGAAATGCTGTGTGCTAAGAAATACATTTGCAATAATTTAGATATTGCGTCTAGCACTGTGTATACTATGTGCTTTGTTGAAAAACAACTTTTGTTATAAAATATGTACATATATATTATGTATATTTGTTGTACGTGTTTTATTTTTAATTAAGAATTATCTGTTTTATATTTGCAAGATTTTATATTTTACTTACACATTTATATATAACACACTTGATTTCATTTATAAGGCTATTGCAATAGAAGTTAAGCACGACGATAAATTGACGGATGATGAAGGTGTCTACATTCAAGTGGCTTTGCTATATACCTCCTGTAGTGGTGTAAGAAGATTACGAATCATAAACTTAAGTTTGAAAACTTCGTCGCAAATGGCCGAACTATATCGCGCATGCGATTTGGATGCTATTATAAATTATTTCTCTAAACAAAGTAAGATATGTTGTTTTTGCAAGCGTGTGATACATATAGGAAGTTTGCTCAAACAACACTGTATATTTAGGCGTGTTTAAATTACTGGAATCTGCTCCGAAAGCGGTGAAGGATAACTTGATTGCAAGATGTGCAAATATGCTAGCTGTATACCGAAAGCATTGCGCAACACCATCTAGTGCTGGACAATTAATACTACCAGAATGTATGAAATTACTTCCACTTTGCATCAACTGTTTATTAAAAAGCGATGCATTATCAGGAGGTAAAAGTTTATATTTTCATGTATACAGTAAATTACACTACACGAACGAAATTTACTTTATACATAAGTATCCTTGCTTCTAGGATCTGATATGACTATCGATGACAGATCTTACGTCATGCAAGCAGTCACAACAATGCCGATTTCCATATCTATTGCTTATATTTACCCTAGATTATTTCCTTTGCATGATGTTGATTCTGAAGATACATATTTACCTCCGATGTTGCGTTGTTCTATTGACAAATTTGCGGACGACGGTGCTTATCTACTTGGTATGCATTAAATTTCCTATAACAGTAATTTTTATTTATTTGTTAATAAGTAATATCGTATTGCATATGTTTTGTTATTTTGTTTGCAGAAAACACAATCCATATGTTCTTGTGGTTGGGTATGGCACTTTCTTCTCAATGGGTTCAGAGTGTTTTTGGTGTGCCTTCGGTGGTTCAAATCGATACAGATCGCTCTGCATTGCCGATATTAGACACTCCTTTAAATAATAGAATCATAAATATTATCAATCGAATACGTGCTGAAAGGCATCGCTGTATGAAAGTAAGTAACAGAGCTTAACATAATGGGGAAATAAATATTGTGCATAATACTATAATCTTGATTTTCTTTATAGTTAACAATAGTGAGGCAACGTGACAAACTGGAAATGGTATTACGTCATTTCTTAGTTGAAGATAGAGGAAATGATGGAAGCCCTAGCTATGTCGATTTCTTATGCCACATGCACAAAGAAATAAGAACTATTCTTAGTCAATAAATGACTTTTTTTTTTTTTTTAGTAATCAGAGCGCTATCACTACACACCTTGTATTCGAATTCAAGTTTTTTCGTATCAATGATTTGTTATTATTACATTGTCTTCAAGGAGTTCAAATTCGAGGTTTTATCTTCGATTGTATTGTATTTTTGTGCAGGCATTGAAAAAAAAAAAAATATGTGTAAACGTGTGTATGTGTGTGTGCGCGCGCGTGTGTGTGTATATATATGCTCACGTATTTACTTCTACGTATGTACACGCGCGTGTGTACTCACACACAGAGTAAGAAAAACAGAAAAAAATAAGAAGTGTGGAAAAAAGAAAAAGGTAAAATGTGTTTCTCAATAAAACATAGAGTCGTTCTATGTGCTAAACAAATATTAAGTAAAAGTTGGATTATCGAAGTATTGAACAATTTGTATTTTATGTAAGAAGATAATTATTTCACACATTTTATATATATATTATATATATATATATATATATATATATATGGTATATACATATACACAATATATATAATATATATACGTAACAGTTGACTATTAGAGAAATTAACATTTGTTGATTTGCGTTACGTAAATCAATTTTTGTCTAAGAATGAGTTTTTATAACAATATCTTTGATACAAGAAAGAGAGGGAGAGCATTTCGTGATGTTTTATCTAAAATTAAAATAACAAGATTATGGGATATGGACTTTATGACAAATAAATATGTACACCTATTACTAACTATTATACTTTGGGTTTACTTTAAGTGATATATGTACACAGATTTGCAAATAGCGAATTTGAAAAAAAATTTCTGCATTAATCATTATTCCAATCAATATGTACTATTGATTCATATGACAAAGTAAATGTATCTCTCATTCTTGCGAAAATCATGGATCATAATATAAAATTATATTATTACTTTATATTTTATTAATGTTATTATTAAGTTAATAAAATATTAACTCATATACTCATATTGTAATTCAGAGATTTTGTGTTAATTTTCTTAATAATACATCAGCAATATAAACAAAAACAAATTGTGTGTTAATACTTCTCAGTCAGAAAATGTGGTAGGCGAGAGGAGAGCTTCAGTGGTGAGAATCGATGAACTTAAGTCAGAAGGATCGCTTTAATCAAGAGGAATTCTGCTATCTACTTTCACATTCGTAAACCGTACGTATTCAAACTGATGTAATCGCACATTTCTATATTACAAAAGATTGCTCTGACACTTCAGTCTGCCGCTGCTATTAACGTTACGCAGGTCTGAGAACGCTAGAAGAAGCTGTTAAAGAAGAATCTTTACGAAAATAATTTTTTACATAGCTACAATTACTTGTCTGAGATTGTTAAATGGAGGTTTTTCTATGATGTGTTTTATATGATCGTGACATATGTTATATGTGCATCTAAAAACAACATTTAAAAAATATATCTACGTTTACACGCGTATAAAATATCTTAGTGTGTAGAGAATTCGCACGCAACTAGTAAATAAATTATTTGTAAAAACCTCAATAATGGTCGAACTGAATTGCGTTTATGATCATTTGAAGTTTGACGAGGCCTGCGTAAATGTGGTAGCCAACGATAACAACTTCATTGATGCGTGGTTTTATTCGCTCTCCGCGGATTGTGTATCGGTAATATATTCTGATTTATTTAATATGTCGCTCCGGTTAATGAATAAATAATCGAAAAGTTATAATTTTTTTTTAATGACGAAACTTTCGTAGTGTCCGTACAAACGAATAGCGTCGGTTTCGAACAATATCAGTTTGAAATTTAGCACGATTAAACCATTAAAATGGAGAGTGTTAAGTGACGGTAGCGATGAATATGTATCTGCCAAAATTACGAGGTATTTATTTTATTGCTTTAATGTGTCTATTCTGAAAAACTTTTTAAAAAACAAATTTCACATCTGATCGTAAGTTTTTTCACATATGGTATTATTTTATCTGCATACATGTATAATTTTTTGTACGTAAAGAGAAAGTTGTGATTAAACTTATTTCACAACGCACTTTTATTTTTTGTAGTAATGTTGTTTGCGAATTGTTACCGAAATTAGAACAATATGGTTTATACGAATTCGCAGTACAAAATGGAACTTGTGGATTTAAAACTTTAAAAGAGCCAACATATCCATACACAGGTATGTTATGTATAGATAGCTTCTTGGAAGTTTTATTATATATATATAATAGAAATATGCAGAGAGATAAATAATATACTGCAATCAGATAATAAAGCTTGTCTTACGCTCGAGCGATTTTATCGTTCTTTATTTGCAAAACTTGATAATTAGCGATAACACACTTTATACATCAATACTATATGTAATAATATATATATATATATAATTCAGAAAAAGGGCAAATAGTTCCAAAAATATGTAAATTTCAAACGTGACAGGCAGTTGGAACTAAAAACACAATATATATATATATATATACAATCTATTTTTTGGAGATACTTTTTCCTCGCACAACACTGACGACGCTTTTGCGCTATTGATTCTGTACTCACACGCAAAATATGTATTAAAGCACGTTATTTGCAGAACTTTTTATTATATTGGGAATAATTGTATTGATCTTGTTTGGCATATCCGCCGGAAGATCTTTGTGGCATATGTTTAAACGACAATGTTTAAAAAAAAGAAATTCGCAAGAAGAACCAAGTAGCAAAGCATTAGCGAAACGTCGAGTAAAAGCTATAGACACATTCCGAGGGTACGAAAGAATTACAAAGACAACAAAATAGGAGTCTCGTGTTAAAAATTTGATTGTAAAAGTTTTTATTTACATCCTCAGAATTATATAAATTGAATATGACTGATTGTTTATATGATTTAGAGCGAGCATTCTTTTCATGATCTTTGTCAATGATGGATCCGGTAGTTATACGATATTAGGACATACAACTTGGGACGGCATGTTACCAGGAGATTTAGTATTTCCTTGTTTTATATGGATTATGGGATTTTGTATTCCTATCGCTCTGTCGGCGCAGTTACGACGTGGACATCCGAGGCTTCAAATCAGCTATTCTGTACTGAAGGTAAATGTTGCAAAACTTTACAGTAAAAGATTGTTCGCTAGGCGATTTTTAAGTGTCTATCTCTCTCTCTTTCTATATGCTAATACTTTACATATCTAATAATTTGCAGAGAAGCTTTTTTCTCTTTCTCATAGGCGTTGCGTTAAATACGTTGGGCACAAACGCGCAATTGGAAAACATACGTATATTTGGAGTTCTTCAACGATTCGGAATTACTTATTTAGTTGTTAGTCTGGTGTATCTTTGTTTCACATCTCGTCGGATGTCAAACTATACTCAGGTAAAAGAGAATATAAAATATCTTTTCATATGTAAACATTAAATTTACGTAATTAGATACACTATATATTTCTCAAGTTTAATGAGATTTTTAATACTTGTTTTAATGAGCTTAATAATTATATAAGTCACTTTTGCACTTGAAAGGAAAACTATTAATGTGTTTACACGTTGTAATTGATTATAGTTTATCGTAATATATAATACAAATTTTACGTTCATTAATTATAAACACATAAACACTTTCTAACATTTGTAGAATGTGTCACAAACTCCATTAATACGTGAGGTACTAAGTTTACTGCCACATTGGTGCATAATGCTGATTTTTGCATTTGTGCATTTGGTTTTAACATTTAGTCTTCCCGTGCCCGATTGTCCGAGGTATGAAGATTGGTTTTTTTTTTATTTTTCTCCAAGTATTTATATAATAAAGATTTTTAAACACATCTTTATCATTATTTATAATATTAATTAACAGCTAAAGTACATTGTTGTAGCGGATATCTCGGACCAGGTGGAAGGCATGAAGACGGCGAATACTTCAACTGTACCGGAGGAGCGGCTGGATATATTGACAGAACCATACTAACTGTAAATCATATTTATCAAAGATCAACCATTAGTTCTGTTTATGGATCAATTCCTTTTGATCCTGAAGGAATTTTAGGTAATTTGATATCCTTTCTGGTAAGATCTACATATAATAGACTCTGTCTGTTTTAATAATAAAAAAGTAAGACAAAAAGATCTAGGTACTTATTAGAAAATGTTTTTTCAGGATGCCTCACATCGATATTTCAAGTATTTTTAGGTGTGGAAGCTGGTATCATTCTGATGTTGTATAAAGATTGGAAAGATCGTATTTTTCGATGGGTTTTATGGGCAGTAATATATGGTTTTTTGGGATGCATGTTACATTTTAACAATGTTATACCGGTCAACAAAAGCTTGTGGTAAAATAATATTTAAATCTATATTTTTACTACACTTGTGTGTCTAAATACTAAATAAGAGAAGAGAAATAGTTTAAATTTTAAAGAAAAACTTTAGCATTTTCAAACCTGAATATTAAATGCACAGTCTTCAATAATGTGTATGTCAATATATAAAATTTTATGCGTAGGTCTATATCATTCGTACTTGTTTCGACATCTTTTGCTCTGGCTTTCCTTTCGGGATGTTATTTGTTAATTGACGTTACTAAAGTTTGGCAAGGTGGGCCTTTTAGAATACCAGGTAAGTGTGTAATGTTCGACAGGATTATTGAAGAATCCTAAAACTCGAAAAAAAAATACTTTTATATACATGTGAATTGAATTTACAGGAATGAATGCACTAGTATTATATGTGGGTCATAGCATGTGTTATCAAATTTTTCCATTTCACTGGAGAATTGGTGCAATGGATAGTCGTGCGTTGTGCTTAATAGAATCGATTTGGGTTGTGACTCTTTGGACAATTATAGCGTATATTATGCATCGTAAACGAATATATATTACACTCTAAATTATATATATATATATATATCTAATCGAACTTATTACATTGTGCTATATTTTTAGAGTAAAAGAAAGAACTTTACGCATTAATTTTTGAATAAAAGTCATTATATTACAGGATCTTTTCTAAAATATATAGATGTTTAAATAGGTGTTTTTATCTCTATTTAGCATAATTTTAACTTTATTATTACTTTATTTTACAATATTTCAATAAGTAATACAATAATAAATTCAGATAACAAGATTAATACGTATGTGTACACGAGTATACATATAAAGATTAATGTCAATTCTTACAATTAGAAGGAGTGTTACTACAATTTTTTAATAACAAATAACTCATATCTAATATAACAATTTGTGCCTTTCCTTAAAGTGTCTTGCGAAGTATAGTCACAGTTGCAACGTGTTAACAAAGAATATCGCAATAAAGTAATGCAAAATTTGAATAATTTTTCTTGCAAAATTATTTGTTCAAAAGTTTTCTTTGTTTTTTTGTGTAGTTAATTCAGTAGAATTTCAGAAATATATAAGAAATTTATATATTTCAGAAATATATAAGAAATTTATATTTATAACAACTTACATAAGATGCCAAATTTAAATGTTTTTGTGATAATGAAACTAAATATATAAAAAAGTATAATTAACTTATTTCTCTCAATATGTAATATCCCAGAACATTTATTCTCAGAATATATAAATTATGAAGCAGAATCTATAAATATCTAAAAATTCAATATAAAGCTTTTAAGAAGGTTGTCTGGTCTGGAGATTGGTTTTCGAAAGAGGCTTTAAACATTTTTTCTTTATTATTAATAATAAAGAATTCTTTATTATTAATATATTATTAATAGAAATTTAAACATTTTACACATATTTCTGTTCTACAAATATATTTGTTTTCAGCTCACAAATTAAGTTATAAATTATGAATCATATAAAAAGCTATGTAAATATGTTTTTCATAATAAGGTGTAAAGGGTATTCCCGCGCAAAAAATCGATGTTTTTTGACTCTCTAGAGACCATATGACCTTCTTGAACTTTTAATAAAGTGAAAAAAACTGTTGAAAACAATTTTCGCTATTAAAAATGACATTTGTGTAAAATCTTTATCACACACAAATTCATATCTAAATAGTTCATCAATTTACAGTCATTTTCTCTCTTCAACAACATAAACCTTTGGTTAACTTTCTCGTTGAAGATCGAATAAATGTGTATGAACACACACACACACTACGCAGATTGTTATGTAAACAAAATAGAAAAAAAAGCACACTAACAATTCGATCTTGCCTAAGAATAATTCCGCTTGTTTTCTTTCAATAATCAGTTGCATCGGGACCTGAAAAACAAGAAGCATGATTTTCTAAGAAAATCATTTTTCACGAGACACGCTGTAAAATTTCACAAAAGCATGTATTACGTATATACAAAAATTATTTTTACGAGTAATCGCGAAAAATCGTCTTGTCAAATTTTATAAAACTCTCTCTGGTAAAAAAAATATCCTAATAACTCCAAAAATATAAATATACAAAAACACAGAAGAGTGTTAACACAAAATCTTTAACCGACAGATCGTTCTGTACATACATGCATATTACGCGTATCGGCATGTATGTACGTAGACATGTACAGGAATTTATGCCACTGTTTGTGCGTACAGAATTGATTTTGGTTTCGATTGATATGCGAAAAAACAAATTCAAGTGTTTTAAATATTTTACAATATTTTCAATACACCACGCAAGTAGTGGAGCATATTAGAAAAAAAAACAGAAAGCCTACTTGTCTTCTGTTTCACTCGAGTCGTTTTCTTACATTGTTTTTTTTAATGATTATAGACTTTTACTTCAAAGAGTACAGCTAGTTTTATACTTTACAGTGATTTAAATAAGTAAGACTTTAAAACATGTAATATACATTTAGCTTGGATTTATCTTCAATATTTAAAAATTATAGAGTATCAATCAATCTCTCTCTCTTTCTCTCTCTCTCCCTCTCTCTCACACAATTTCATTATTTTCGTGCATTTCTAAACATATGGTTACTTATCTACGGACTATTTCAAAAGCTCATTAATATTAGGTGTCATTTGTAGTTGTCTTAATTAGTGTTAGAGGTGCGATATACACGTAACAATCAAGCAACAATATCTAATCGGGAGACGTATAGTTACGAAAAAAATGTAGAAAAAGAGAAAAAGGAAAAAAAGAAGGAGCTATATATATATATGTATATAGATAAGATGCTACTTAAAAGTTCCGAAAATTGGAAAACGTACAAGCTTCTAAATCAATGTGTTTAAGAGTTAAGACATATATACCTGAGATAAATTTTCGAGAACTGTTAAGTAGTACTTGACAAAAGTGGAGAATAACAACAACGAGAGAAAGAAAGAAAACGAAAGACGGGAGAGAAAGAAAAGATGGGAGAGAAAAGTATTCTATTACGTTTATAATTAAAATTTATACATATAGAATTGTACAAAGAAATTAAAAAAAAAATAAATATAAATAAAAAAGTAAAAAAAAAAAAAAGGAATAAGAAACAGATAACAAGAACAAAGAAGAGAAAAGAGGGAAACATAAAAAAGAAATAAAGAATAATAGACGAATATATGAAAACGTATGTACCGATAGAAAAAAGTCACGTGGCCGTAGAGCAGCTCGGCCTGAGCATGTGCTCAGCTCTATCTTGCAAAGAAAATCGAGAAAGAAATATGTCCGTGGATCGTGGATGAGTGCGTTGCTGGTAGCGGTAGCGTCAAACACGGCCATCATTCTATCCTTTGGGCCGTCGGCATTACTTGGTCTTAGAATGCGCACAGGATGTCGGGACAGTAAGAATCACCGATGACGGCCGATTGTCAATATTGCCTGTTGATCGTGCTGACAGAGTTTGCGGCACGTCTTTCGTACTTTTGATTCTCGGACACAGCACGTTCACCTTGTAGGCCCAAGAAGGCATTTTACTATCAAGAATCTTGTAAGCCAAAGAAGGCAGGACATTGTCCAAATCGGGCAACTTGGAGCTCTTCCAGGCTCGTAAATGCGGATCGTCTTTCGAAGGTGCGTGTTTCAGCTGACTCGACGGATGATTGAGCTTGACGATATTCGGCGAGCCTGTGCACGAACTTCTTCTCACGGTCGCGTTATACGATCTCCGCGAAGACCGTTCGTCGCGAACGGAAGACGAATATTCGGAAGATATCGGATCGCTGGAATAATTGAAACAATAACAATCGTCGTCGCAATTGTAGACGTCTAACGGTGAGTTCGGATATTCCTGTCTGAAAGAAGAACCGTCTGTCTTGGAACAATCAGATAGAACGGTATCATCGTTAAGAAGACGAAATAGTCGCGAATGAGTTTGCGTTCGTTGATATTTTTTCGAGGTTTTCGAGGAGGTGCATTCCGAATCCGTATCGACCTCGGATATCATGCGACTTATGTCCGAAGTAACTCCGCTATCCTCGTCGTCGGTATCCTCGTGAGAATCTCGAACGCTCAACAAGTGTTTCGTGTGCGTCTGATCGATTTCCAGATCGACGCACCTGTCGTTACTGTTTATAGCCGAATCGTCGTTTTTATCCCGCGCGTTTATCCCGCGCGTTTCATTTGCGTCGATCACCCGAACCTGAACAGGCGCTTCGAAATTGTCTTGTATCCATTCGCCGCACGTATTTGCTTTCGATTCTCTGATCGTTCTGTTTTCGAAATTGCTACCGGTGTGTTGAACGCGATGATTATTATCGTCGCGCGGTAAAATATCTTCTCTAACGACAATTTCCGGTTCGAGAACAGCGCGATTCTCGACTTCCTTCGACGCCGATTCAGCGAAATCTTTCATCTCATTTTCCACCGTTTCGTTGCTCGCGAATTTTGTTTTTATATTCTTCTGTCGTTCCTTGTTACCTTCGTTGATTTTCGTTTTCGAATCTCTCCTCAAAGTAAAATTTACACACGGTATCGCGGTCTCCCTTCCGCTCGCCGTGTTTGTCGCGTCCGCGACGTATCTCTTTACTGTAAAATTCACGCTGGTGTCGTTAGTCACATCGACACGTGTGTTATCCACATTGTCGTCGCTACTTTTGTCCGAGTATCTCCTCTTGGAGTTGCGTGACTTTTCCGCTTTTATCTTGCTGTCTCCGATTGTCACGGTGGTGATGTCCTCATTGTTCTCCGACACGGAAAAGTTGAATCTCAGAGGCAAGCTCACACTGACCATCGTTTCGACGTCGTCGGAAGGATCGTCGGTCGTTTCGAACAAAGCGTCCTTCCGCTCGTCGATATTTCTTTCGTTCTCGTAATGAGAACCCTTGGAATCCGATCGTTCGGTGTCTTCGTCGATTACGTTCATCTGATGGCGACGAACGGTGCTGGCGATTGTTGGCTCGCATTCCTGATCGCGTCGATTCAATTCAAAATTGTCAGAACAAGAGTCGAAATCGCTTTTACAATTGTCTGTACTCGATTCTTCCGAGTAAGCAACGGCGTTTTGAACGTCGGACGACGTTGCGCGCGACGCGTCTATGTCCGATTTCTCGTAAAGATTCAATCCCGTGGAATAGGCCACGTACGAGTCCGAATCGCCATCAGATGACGTATTGCTGAAAATGGTGTCGCTACAGTTACGAACTTTTTGACAAGAATCCGCGAGTTTATTGCCGCTCGATTGGCTAGAATCGCTAGAATCGCTAGTATCATTGGAATCGCTACTTTCCATGTACGTGTAGTTGGGCACGTTAATACACAGATCGAAAGTTCTCTCGGACATTTTTCCGTTATTCGAAATCGCGTCGTTGTTGGCGCTATCTGGTACGACGACACCTTCTTCATCAACTGTACTCGTTGACGTGACAAGGCGAGTTATTTTATCGTTATTGCAATTCTCGTCGGCACTTCTCGATGTCCCACCAGACTGATCATCCAAATGATCGATTTGCTCGAGAGGATAAGTGTTTTTGAACTCGTCGGCTACATCGTTTCGCACAAAATGTCTGTCGTTCTGAGCGAAAGATGAATCGGTGACGGGGTAGTAAATGTTATCGCAATCGTTTCCGTCGACACGCGATTGTTGGATACCGTCGTAGTCCGCTTGAGAATATCTCGCGTTGCCACAGAGCAACGGCGAAAAAGATTCATACCCAACGCACGCACCTCCGTCTGAGTATCCCGTATACGGGCGAGGAAGAAGGGAATGTTTGTTCGTATTGTTAGCGGATTTGGCAGACGGATCGCTGTACTGCTGTACGGAGTAACAGTACCACCAACTCTCGGGATACCAGAAAGGAACGGGTCGTGAAAGGAGAAATACGTCCTGCTGATTGCCCGGCAAGTTATTCTCTGTTTGGCAGTTGTAATCTGCTTGACGATTTTCTTGTGTGGCTACAACAAACAGCACATATATTGCAGTCAAAGAAAGTTAAAACACTCTTCACACATCGAGCGTAAAGACAGCTGTGCGCGTTCTTTTTACTGTTTTTGATTTTTTTTTTTTTTTTTTTTTTTTTTTTGGTTTTTCGTTGATATTTTTCTTCTCTTTAATTTCGTTTTGTATGTTGATCCACGGAAAGGGGGAGGAGGGGCGAAGAGAAGACTCAACTTCGCGTAAACAGAAAATTATCCCTTTTTTCATCATTCCTTTCTTCTTTCTCCTGTTTTTCTTCGATTACGTTATCTTATATGTGTGCTGATTTCAAATCAGTAAAGTTGGCACAACGACGCGAAACACAATCGTTCGACTAATAAAATGAGGAAACTAGTTGATTTTGCATTTAAAAAAAAAAAAAAGAAGATATTGAGAATTTTAATACAAGTGAACTTTTTGACGAACAGTTTTTAGCGAATTTTATATATTGAAATACGCGCGCTTAAAAACACATTGTATGACATTTTGTGAAAATACGCAAATATATTTTGCTTTAAAAGAGTATAGAAAGCAAATAAATAAATATGTAATATGTAAATACAAAAAAATAAACGCAACGCGATATAAATAGTTAAAAATAAATAAAGCACGAATTGCATGTGTAAAATGTATAAAAATGAATTTAAAAATGAATTTTTAAATTTTTCAGTTTACATATTACACACACACACACACACACACACACAGCACTTCTGTGTATGCGTAGCGTTTCCGTTTTTTTTTTCCTTACATCATATATATTATATTAGTAGAGGTTCTGTGGTATATATAAAATCAAAATGAAAGGATCAAGGCCATAGATATACGCTGGTAGGATAGCGTTGAACAAAGAATAATTTTTATACACTGTAAAGTATCAAACAAATTGTAACGCGACTGCGGACAATACAGCAAACGCATTAAACAATATCTAGCATTTGTCAGGTGAAAATATTATGACGTTTAGTAACAGCACGCACTAACAGACATCTAAAGGTAGTAGTTGCACAACAGTTTACTAGATTGCAGCGTTTAAGAAAAAAAAAAAAAAAAGATATCGACATTATAGGCCCCACGACCCCGTTATTTCCCGATTTCCCCTCTATCTTAGAAAGGAAGCATTTTCGAACCCATGTTGCATGTGAGTGGTTTGTTAAAAAATCTTGTTGTTTTTTTTTAAACAAAACCCGTTACCAAGGTGCACCATCAACGCATAAGATCCTCTCTTACACTTTTACAGTATAAAAACTGAAACCTTTAAAAAATTTGTTTATATGTACGAAAAAAAGATAAAAACGCGCAAAAAAACAGTTTCTCGAGACATTTGTGGTACTTCAAAAAATGTTTGATCGATAAGATAAAAAATATAGTCTTACACAATCTCAGTTTTTATTTATATACTTACCAATACTTTCTGGCGTTGTCATTGCTTGTAGTATTTTAAAGGATCGGGAAGGAATTGCACTACCCATATATTTTTTTGGTTCTTGCACCTGTTGTTCACTAGGCGGCAAGTTGGTCTGTGTTTCTTCTGTGCGAAACGAGTACCAAAAGAAGTTGATTAGACGTACTTGTTCCAAGTATCATTGAAACTGAACTGATGAAATAAAAAAATGTTTTTTTTTTTTTCGCAAAACAGAAAACTTACCGAATGATTTCGAATTCCTATTTTGTCTCTTATTCGCTATGTTTTGTGAACTACGTGGCGCTGTATAACAAAAGAGAAAGATATTAACTCTATTTTGTATTTTTATTATATTTACTAAATTTGTGTGTGTGTGTGTGTGTTTGTATCATAATAATATTATGTAAATAAAAATATAAAGTTTTGTTATCGATAAAAAACGGTTTTACCTGTGCAGGTAACCGAAGAATCGTTTGATTCTGTCATATTTTGTAAGAAACGAAAAGCTCGTGAAGGTATCGCCGCACCGCGATATCTAGGATCTTCTTCTTGATGTAAATAAGTCTCATGGTCGACTGTGTGTAAGAATTATAACGTTTATCATTTTTGAGAATTTTCTTACTACATGTTTCGAAAGTAATTGTTTATATACAAAGCAGTACGTTAAGTGTATAATATATTATATATGCGATATATATTCGCGTATGTTTTAAAATTTAGATGTATTATCACCATATCGAGCTCTTTAAAGTACACAATATAATCGGTAATAACAGATAAAAAAAAAAAAAAAAAAAAAAAAAAGTTATATACAGACAATAAAATCTATATTTTACCTTGTTCTTTAAACTTGTTCATGAGTAGCCTGTCGTCTTCACTTAAGTCCAATTTACGCATTTGCTCTGTACCCACATCGTTGGAGCCGTCCGTGTCAGTAATCTTCTGAAGGACACGAAATGATCGCGATTGAACTGGACCGGGTTCGTTTTGTTGAATCAAGGGTGTGTTCGGAGCGGAACCTTGCTGTTGCACACTACGCAGTTAATTTTATACTGTCTATATATACACGGGTACGTGTGTATGTGTGGTGTATAGTCGCTTATAGTTATTCAATAAAATTGCTCTTTCATACGAATAAATATTATACTTGTAACAAGTGTAGTAATTTATTAATATACACTTACACTCGTATTCCCTTTTCAATTGTATTGTTTCCGGTATTGGACGGCGTTGTCTTTCTATCGCCTTCAACCACCATAGGAATAATGTAAGTCCCACTTGGTTGAGATTGTACTGGTTTGGACACAGTTGCAACGTGAATACTGGACTGTTCTTGATCCTGCGAACGATTTTGCACTTGATTCTTCAACGTATGTTGTTGCACAGGTATCTGACCCCATCGCTGCTGATGATGCACAGTCGGAGGTTGTTTGAACTGATGATGACCAGATTCTCGATTCGCGTCGAATACCGACGGTCTGTCTTCGATCTGAGAAAAATGTTAATTGATAAACAGAGTAAAAGAAAACTATAATAACGGAAACAAAATTGTGTTATTCTGACAAGTGTGCGGTAGGACCAACTTACTCGGATTGGTACAACTCGCTCGTATCGAGGTGGATTAGTTTGATGTGACGTTGTCATATTTTGCTTCTGTTGCGGTTCTTGACGTTGCTGAGGCAACTGCTGCACTTTCAACGGCTGTTGACACTGATCCTGCGGAGTCGGATACCATTCTTGCTCTTGCTTCAGTTTCGTTTGCGAGGATTGAGGGACCGGGGATTGAACTTGAACATATATTGTGGTTGGAGAATGGGCATTTTCCGACGGATCATTGGCCGCTTTATTAACAGTCGGACGTTTCGCCCACTCGGGCAAGTTCTCTTGAGGTTTATTTTTATTTTGCAACCAAGGTGTAGGTGCCTTAGCCAAGGTGACTTGCGTTGGAGTATTCGGACTTTCAGGAGTGCTCGACTGACTTGAGGATATAGTAATTGGTACTGCTTTTGTGTCCACTTTTGGAGTAATCTTTGGTGTTTCAACTTGCTTATCTAGAGCTACGAGAGACCATATTTTACAATTAATGCAATTTTTCGAAATTGCGAACAATTATAGTTCGACATGCTACGTACACAAACAACAATTAATTCCACGACTAAAGATCTAAAATTATTATTTTAAAACATTTAAACAAATTAAAGACAAAAGTGAATGATTACTATTGGATAATGTCCTGTTGACCGATGATGGCGCTCTATTAAGATGAGGTGCAGCTGGCACATTGACGGGAAGAACGGGTATTGCAACTTGGGGTTGCACCATGAGATTCGTCGCGGTAGTAGTTCCGGGTGGCTTCGACTCGACGGCGACTTTCGGCGGTCCCTCTATACCTTCGTCGTTGGCGTTTTTCGCTACTCTTCTCGCCATTCGTGGACTACGAATTTGCGAGAGATCTAATTTACCGCCCATACCCGGAGTGTAGGTAAAAGGTTTCTTGTCCTTCGTTAACATCGCATTCTGAATAGCTGCCGGTGGCTCGTAAGCATCGTTACTGACAATCTGCGGCTTCCTCGCTGCTGTGTTCTATAATATATACCGAAAAATAAAAACATATTAAATAAGTATATATTTATATACACACATATATATTTGCGCATTTTATGCGGATTCTTTATTTTCTTTACAAACTAACAGATGGTGCAAAAAATGTTCGGTAAAAAAAAAACAATTTTGCGCAAAAACATTTTGGCGCTGCTGGATTATCTATAAATAACTGATCCGCAACAGCACCTCTGAAATTTCGAAGTGGTTTAGCGTACATTTCTTAAGCATCCGCGATACCGTAAGTGTGAGTAATCAATTTTTATACATACTTTAACTTTTATAATAATAAAGAAACTTACTTTATCTTACCTCGACAGTATTTATACGCATAGCTGGCAGTTGATTAGGCACAGGAGGTGGAGGAGGCGGTGGAGGTGGACCTGATAAATCCATATTTTTTGTTTGTTTTTTAAATAATAACGACCGGCAACTCTATCTTATTTTATCATTTCTGTATTAATTATTATTAATTATTCAAAATAGCTATAGTGCACTTAATTCAATATCTTCTCTTAGAAGTGATATATTTATATTACATTTACGTCTTGATCTCTCTTTGTTAAAAACTATGACTAATATGCATACCTCCAACCATAACATCCGGTTTCCTACAAACAAACAAAATAAAAATCAATTTATTAAACAATTAATTGGAACTTATTACCTATTTTTTGGCCAAATAACAAAAGATTTTTGTTAAAACGAATAATTTGATTTTAAGAGAAAGTGTGTGTGTTACTCACACAGAACAAAAACTCCATTAGACGTCTATTAGATATCGCATAGAACTGTGTTGACGTCTAATGTAAGTTTATGTTCTGTGTGGGAATGCACTCTCTTTTAAAATAAAATTATTTTTTTTTTTTTTGACAAAAATTCTTTTCTAAAAGGTATGACAATCGAACGAGTAGGATATAAATATATTCATATCGATGTTTATTATTGTCTCATTTCATGTATACCGATTTGTCTTCTCTGTATATGTATATATTACAATATATTCTGAACAAATATGTTTAGATGGCAAACTTTCAACGTGTTGAATTCTTTGTTTGCACAAGTTGTTATCTTATCGGTTGGTATGCAATTATTTTTCAAGAAAGAATCGTCTGTCTTTCGCAAGCAACTATTATTCATTCCGTGCGCAAGTACATGTACATTTGTGTTTTACATATTTGCATGTACGTATACGTATAACAAATGTGCGAGTAGGTAATTCGTATTTTTATAAACAATCTCCTAATAATAATAATCCGAAAAAATTGAAAACGTTAATACAAGAGATTTATAGAAAAAAAAAAATATATGGAGCGCATGCGTATAGCGCGCAGACAGTTTTATTTTGGCATATGTTATTACACCTAACAGCTTTTAAATTTTGAGCGAATACGAATGCTTGCGATTTTCGAGTTGTCTTGCTACAAGACAAATTTATAAAAAAAAGTACGGGGATACTGCTATTTATTATAGACTTTTGTAACAAAGTTGTTCAAGTGTCACATTGTATGCAAATCTAGAACCTACTGTTAAAATTAAAAAAAAAAAAAAAAACAACAACTTTTGAGAGAAGTCTGGACAAATTTTTGGAACCTTCAACTTAGAAAAATGAAGAGATAAGGAGGAAAGAAAAGAATATAAAGTGAGAGATTGTTGAGAGAGAATAGCTTTCTGTGTTGTCAGCAAACGCGCTACATAAAAACTAAAAATTGCGCTAATCTATAAATTCTTTTTTGGGAAAAGCTCGGTCATGGCGAATTGATCATGCCGATGGCGGTCATGATGTTCGGAACCCAGCCAACGGAGCTCGCGGCAAGTGGAAACGTATTTAGATAGATACCGAGCAAGAGAGTAATTTTAGCGCGGGCTGACATGCGCATTGGAGTTCTCTTCGTGTGTAAAATGCTACGGAAAATTATTTTATTTTTAGAAGTTTACACGCGGAAAATACGCGATAAGTGAATTCAGTCGGACCATTTTACAAATTATGCGGTGTATCGAAAAAAAAAAAAAAACTTTCTCCTCGCGCGCGTACGCACGATAAAGATTTTTCTTGAGATTTTCCGAGAAATTCGAAAGTTGTTTTTTTTTTTTTAAACAATTCCTAAAAAAAATGAGATCGATTGATGTCCAATCAACGCTCAAATCTTTTCTTTAAGAGCGAGTGTTACGTGCACGCTTTTAAAAGCGTGAAATATATATATATATTGTCGAGAAGCTCTCCTTAAAACACCGGCGACAAGGCCGATTCGGCCTTGCAATATATATGCCCAATTCAGTATTCAATGATCGGAAAACGAGTTTTACTTCTCCTTTTCTTCGAACTACATCTCGCTCTCGTCCTTTCGTCGCGGTAAAAAACATTAGTATTAAATAGAACTTTGGACTTAAATTTTTGTTTTAATCAGTTTCTTTTTAAAATATTAAAAAATCTCACTGTGTTCGTGTATATGCGTATATGCGTGTGTGTATGTGTTGATCTTATAAATTCTCTCACGTATTCAAATTTAGCATAACGTAAACCTGAGTCAATATTAGTTTCAAACGATGTGTATCTCGATTTTGCTCTTTCGCGACAACTGTGATTATCTTTCTTTTATATAACCTCAAGTATACTAAAAGCAAAGGAAGAGTGATTTTTTGGTGTCTTACTATAAAAAGGAACACGTCTTTCTTAATCGCAATTTTTGTGTGTACACTTTTTGAACCGATGACAAAAATCTTACCCGACGAACGTCGTGGAGCTCATGGTCAGGAAAATTTCGTAATTCGCTAGTTCGATTCCGCACACTGGGACTTGTGTACCACTAACCAACTTTAGCAGTCAATAAGAACCGGTTCTTCTCCAGGCACCGCTGATCTTCGGGTTCCAAAAGTTGTGGAAGAAAAGGCGGATTATATATTTTAAAAGAGAGACGAGCGGCACAACGACGATGCCGACACTGGCGCGTACCCGTCGCTACTACAAGCTATCGCTTCAAGTTTGCTTGGCGTTCCGATCTCGTGACTTTTGCAGTGACTAGCACCATACAGCTGACGATGTGACTCTCCACGGTCTTACGTCTTTGCCGATTTAATCATCGCTGGTCGCTGGTCATCACGCCGACCGTTCGCCCGCTCGCCAAAATAGCTTGTGCTTATTTTAAGACTTTGAAATACGCGAAACAAGATATTTCTTACTTTTAGCCGCAATATTAAAAAAAAAAAAAAAATACGTTGAACATTTCGTTATTCACGCTTTGTGTCTAATTCACACACGTGAAGATTATATCTTGTATTATATTAAAACATTTAAGTGTGAGTGAGTGAGCGTGTGTACACACATATGATATGTAAAATAAATCAATCTTATAAAATAAATATATTAAAAAATATATATTAAAAATATATTTAAAAAAATAAGTCTTGATAAATTAATCAATTTTACTTTTAAAAACAAGAGTTTCGAGAAAATAGATACTTTTTTTTTATACTATTATACTTTACTTGATCTAAACTTTTTTAAGTGTGTTACATCTCATTTTATATTTCGAGCAACACGCCTAAAGCCTATCTCCGATGTGGTTGTTATTTCTGTATAAGTATACTTTTAATAATTTTATTATTTTTTATTAAGGCATCGTCTTGTAAGTACGTTTTGTTTTATTACTTGGATTTTGTTTTTTTAATTTAAAAGAGAGTACATTACAATATAATATATATTTTTAAGTGACAACTGTGTTAATTAATTAGAAGACAAATATTGTAAACTTGACATTTTTTGCGTTTTTTTTTAATGTGCTTTTCAAACTGTGATTACACACTTCAGATTCTGGTACGTACATTCACAGAGAAAGTTTCAAATACTAGAAACTACATAACAAAAAAAACAAAAAAAACAATAAAAACATTTGCAAAATTTCCAACTCTGTTTCAACATCATAAAGAAATATCTAGATACACGTGTATAACGATAAAAGATGGAATAAAAATATGTCGACAAACGTGTAAATTAACGCTGATTGTGGCTGGAAGCTACAATCTCATCAAATGCCGCCTCGTGTTCTGAAGTAGCGAACATATATGCCGGAAGAGTCATTCCGAGAGCCTCGTTGTACACCGCTCTTGTTTCTGACGTGTAGTCATACGGTTCAGCTTCCTTAGTTTCTTCCGCTGTTTGCGACGCCTCATCGGGATAGTCGTTGTCCGACTTTTTCATTCTGACGTAAGAATTTCCACTAGCTGACGCACTGGGCTCTACAGGATCTACAGCTTTCTCTTTCGCCGAACTTGAGAGTTCGAGGGCGCGATTACGCGTCGCGGGATCGATTTGTAATTCCTTCACCTCGTGAAATGCGAGTTGCGTCGATTGCTTGTCGGGTTCTTGTCCGGTAACGAACACGCATTCCTCCTTTTGAAAACCGTCCTTATCAACGCACTGATAGCAGGTCATTTTGTCGCGCATAATTTTCTTACATTTCGACCGGTCTTCTTTCTGAAAGTTCTGCATGAACGCCTCGATTTCCGCTTTCTTTTTCGCGGTATTGAAATATCCAACGTCCGCTCCGGCTAATTTCTTGTTCGCCGCGTCATCGTCATCAGACTTCGTTTCGTCGGCCGTTGAAGCTTCGTAAGTTTCACCCGGACCGTACTTCTCGTAAGAACGACTCTTTGAATCTTCATAACTGTTCGACGGCTGCTCGTTTTCCTCGCGCGTCGATTCTTCGTGCGTTTGCTCAGACTTATTGTCAGTTTTTCGTGGAGTACCGAATGAGCTGGACTTGGTGTAGGAGAAGAGTTTGTCGCTAGGCTGATACGAATACGAACACTGCTCGAAATCGTTGCCCGTTTTCGGATCCTTGCAGATTGTGCATGTCATCGAGTCCTTCTGCACCTTTTGGCAATGATCCGCGTTGATATTTTCGGATGACGTCGCTTCCCCCGTGTAAGATCCTTTGTCATTACTCGACGGATATTGATAAGTACTCGACTGTTCGTGACTGGGATAATCGCTGTCGTAATTGTGTGACGACTCGCGTGACGTATCGTCAGAATCAGTTGTAGATCTTCGCTGATAAGCAGGAACTTTGGATCCACCTGTAGGGTAAAAGTAATGTACAATACATTTATAATGTATACAAAACAGAACCTTATTGCGAAGAAGTAAACCGACGTCTTAAGTTTATGTTACAAATCGCGTTTACATTACAGGATAGAAGGTGTGGGTCGAGTTTAATTTTTGCACAAAAACTGTGAAATAAAAATATCGCATGCGATGCACACGCAAATCATCCAACGCTGTAAACTTACCCGAATAATTATACGTAGATTCTGAACTTTCCGGATAATTGTGATCCTTGGATTTTGCCGACGCTTGATCCGCTTTCTTCGAACTTTCCGGATACCCGAAGCTTTTCGATCTGCTGTATTTATACAGCGTATCACTGGGTTGATAGTTGTAGACGCATTTTTCGTAAGTGCCGCCGTTCTTGGGATCCTTGCACACCGTACAGGTCTTGGAATCTTTTTCCACTTGTTCGCAATCCGCTTGCGAAGGTGCCGTTTCCTGTTTGTTCGAGATTTTCTCCGAATAACCCTCGTTTGGATAAGAATAGTCGCTACTGTCGCCAGACTTCTCTGCGGTTCCGTAATTCCGATCGGATTCTTTGAAATCGGGTGATTGTTGCTCATTTTTGTTACTTTCTTGTTCTTCAGGCTTCTCCAAGGAGCTGGACTTGGTGTAGGAGTACGCCTTTTCACGCGGCTGTTTTATATACGAACACTGTTCGTACTTGCTGTTGGTCTTGGCGTCTTTGCACACCATACACACCATGGAGTCTTTTACGATTTTCTCGCATTTCTCATCTTTGTTTTGATACGCGGCTGGCACGTCGTACGTGGCGTCGGTAAAGTATTCCTCCGCGAACCGATAAGGATTCTTTACCTGTCCGTAATTCCTGTCTTCATCCGAGTTGGACCTATACGACAAAGCGGCCGAAACAAAATCTATCAGAATTAACGCGTTAAAAAAAAATGTTTTATTCTATGTATCATCGATTATATATTAGTCGTTTTATAACTATTCAAATTATCATATTTGACCTTTCCTGGACGGACTTCGAAAACAGCCTACTCGCACAGACTGGGTTCCACGCAACTTTAAAATCGAATATCTCCGCGAAAAGTCAATATTTTTTTAATTTGTTTGTTTTTGTTTTTTTTTTATTTAAAGTTTGAACGATTCTGCGTCGATAAAAACAATTGAAAAAATGTAGTCTAGTAGTTTCGAAGATATAAGCATTTAAAAAAAAAAACTAATTTTAACTAGAGACATCGTTTGAAATTTTTGAGCGAGTTTGGGAGACCCATGTCAGTCTAGAAAGAGTTAATATAATCATCTTGTATACCTTCGATATCTAAAGCCAGTAGGTGCAAAACGCTCGACCCTTCTACTGGATGCGCTCTCTTCCGGATAACTATTGTACAAACACCGTTCGTACGTCGACTTGGTTTTAGGATCTCTGCACTTGTAACAAACGGCAGTATCTTTTTGTGACTCATCCTGTTTTCCGATCGACTCTTCCCGTTTTATTTGTTGGCAGTGTGCAATTCCCGAATTCGGAAGTAACTCTTTGTATTTGATAGAATCTTTACTTGCAAATGTGTAAAATGGAAGTATCAGTTTTTTCGAATTTTTCTGTTCGGTCGCTTCCTTCTTGATGTTACTGGCTGGTAAACGAGGTTTCGATAAACTTTCGAGCTGTTCTTGTACTTCCGTAGCTCGAGCTTCGCTTGACTCGCGAGGATCGTAATAACAAGGCCGCATTACGGAAGAAGCGCTCTCGTAAATGTCATATTGATTATTCCAAGGAACTTGATTCGAAACTCTCAAGCGCTCGTACTTGTAATTTGCACTTACATGGGAAACAATTATCGCTGATAAGACTAGATACACCTGCAAATGGAAAATTTATATACAAAAATATTGTAAATATACATATATAACATATATATAAACGCACATTCACAATTAATATTATTAGTATTATTGTAGTAACTGTAACATCTCTCTCTCTCTCTTACTTTACTGATCTTGCAGCAAGCCATTTTCGGGGATCATCAATCGATAACTTTCTATGAGATTGATGCAAATGTATACTTTTGATTTCGATTGAAATTGCTCATACTTTACATTACTTTCAAACCGAGTAATCGCGCCTTCGTGTAAAATGGCTTTATATTGACTTGGCAAACGATAGATATTTCTTCCCACTCTCTCGCACAAATCTCTATTCCTTCGACAGAAAAATATAAAAGCTCCACCAACCGTAACGCGCGCTCCGATCGAAATCAAACAATCGGAACAATCGATCGATTACCTAAACTATTTTTGCCTTTCTTTACGTAATCCTCGGTTTGCTCGTGCGCCAGTTGCAATTTGATGAAAACCAGTGAAAATAAGACCATAGCACAATATTAAAACGAGGAAAAGGAAAGAGAAAGAGAAAATATATTAAATATATATGTATGCATATAAAAGGCGGGGGCATATATTATATAGCATTCATATAGAATTATATATAACTTATATATATGATCACGTGTACAGATCTTTTTTCTCGGATAGATAAAAACTATCAAAGATAAGATAAAATTATGTGAGAGATAATATAAAATAAATATCGTTTAGTTCTGTTTGTTTACGACTTGAGAAGCAAAACTATACAATGTGAAAGTATTCAAGGTTCATTAACCGCATGTCATTGTATTTTTGCTTTAGAGTGCAATAATAGTTTGTCGAAACAAATTACACGTTTATGTGAAAGTTACTACTATCTTTTTTTTTTTTTATAACGAACGTATATATAAACGCCTAAGAGGGAAGTAGATATTATATGGTTCTTAGAGATGTGTATACGTTTTTTTAGTGTATATATTTATATAAATATTAATATTTTTGTGATATTAACCGTTTTTCAATAAGTATATGAATTCGCCTGCAATACTATTTATTAACTTTTATGATACATATATATATATATATGTATATATGAAAGTCTCGGGTGTAAAACATATTGATAATAAATACACATATATTGACATATATTGATGTAAATAAAGTGTAGCTTATTCTTTAAAAGTAAAATGTCGTGGATAAACAGAAATGTGGGAAACACGAGGAATTTTATTGAGTTGTTTGTTGAAAATCGCATCAGTAGGTGCAGGTTTCATTTGAAGCTTCGATGCAATTTTCTGCATGATAATGTTATCGTTTTCGTTATTTTTCACTGTTTTTTTGTCATTCTGTTTTTCTTTCTGAGACACGTTGCGCTTACGATAATAAAGAACCTCGCCGGCTAAAGTAAGCATTGCTAAAGCAAGTCCAAACAAAGTTGCAATAAACACGCCACCTGCGGAAAGAATTAAATGTGAGAGAAATACAGGGATTAACTGTATGTACATCGATAGTTTTCGAACACCTCTGTATACACCTTCGTGTATCATAAAATATTTATATAAGAGAAATATAAATATAGAAAACTAACCCAAACTTTCTAACGTGATTCCCTCGTTGTCGTCCGAATTCGGACACTGAGCTTTTAACGACTGATTCCAGTATTTAGCCGCCAATGTCTCAAAGTATCTATCCTTCTGCAAATCGAGAATCCTACAAATATAAATGTTAATTGTAATAAATACTTATTGTGTTATACATTTCTCTTTGTGATTTAGCGATCAAATTCGATGAGAAAAATTAAGATCAGACTTTCTGCTTATTTCTTCTTGTAAATGACTGCCTTGCTGAACGGCAATAGCATATGGTTGCTCGGCGAATACCTCGCCTACTTCTGTCAAGTTGCAATTCTTCGTAACTTCGTATTTGATTTCCGCCGAGTCGTGAATAAATGCAAATTCGGCGGTTTCACTCTTTATCACCTAAAACGTATCAATGTAAACTTTTTTTTATTAGATGAACATATTAAATATTTTCTTTGATGAACATATTCAATATTTTTTTTGCAATTTATATTAAAAAAGACACTAATAGAAAGAAACTTCTATTTATGTTTTTTTTTTTTATTACCTTCTTGAAACCTTCTTCGGTAGTTTTTACAGGACCGACTTGAGTAATGGCTTGCAAAATGTGACCGTATTGTTCTTTTATCGGATAATCCCAAACACGATATTCCACTTGATCGCTGGTACTGTTTAGTGTAATTTCTTTCCATACTCTGCGCAAACAAATAATTATGACTTTTATTCCTGATTTAAAATAAAAATATTATGAATATTTTTACATACGTGTACAATTTATCTTCGGCGTTTTTCATATTTATAAAATATTGATGAGTACTAGAATTAGCCCGAACAGTGTAATTTATACGTGACTGTCTTGCTAGTTGCTCCAACGATTGGACAGGTGACTGTGTAACAAAAGACGTGCAATGCCAATGTTATAAATAACAAAGTTACATATTTCACAAATATACATACACACACGAGAAAGAAATAAAAGTATTTGCACCTGCATTCTCTCCACAGTTAAAAAAGCAGCTAAATTTGCAGTAAACGTTGCGAGCATCAGCACAACGAATAGCCAATAGGCTGCAACTAGAGTCCTACTTGACAATGCTTTCGGGGCTTCGCCGCCGCCTTGCGGAGTGAAAGATGTCAATGCGAACCAAAAGCTTTCTTTTAACGTAAATTCTCTGAAAAGTAATAGTTTTCTTTTAATTATATGCAGAGTAAACAACAGAAATTAAAACGAAGTGCGAAGTTAAAAACAAATTTTTGTTTTGTATGTTTTTTGTAGCATTCTAGTGTATTCTCAACACTTACCGACATGGATAAGGATAGAGTCGTTTGTTGTTTCTTGCGCTATATGGCGAATATTTATCCAGTATCCAAATCATGATACCGGTCAAAGTCAAAGCTCCTACGATGCTAAGCCAGACTTCGAGTCTTAGCACTGTCATAAACTTGAACAGAGATGTTTTACGAACTGGCTTCCTCATTACTTGAAAAGAGAAAACTAATGTCAATCATTTGATCAATATTTGGCTACTCGAATTGGATTCGTACGTATACGAAAGCTAAACTAGAACAGAACAAGAAGCCGCAGAGGATAAGAAGTATGTATAAAAATAAAAAAATATAATAAAATACTATTTTTTAAATAAAAAGCCCTTTTATAAAAGCACAATGCATATATATGTGGAACGTCTTGTGCAATATGTTAAAAACAATCTTAGATTATTGCATACCGATGAGAATGCCAGATTGTTCAAAATACGGTGCAACAAAATCAATGACCTCCTCCCGTTCTGACGTCATCGTTAATGCCGCCACAGCAATGTCAGTTTCCTATGCAAGCGATGACAATAAACAAAAAGGAAACATTACACGCGCGATGTTGGTAAATATCTGCTATTATGAAACAATTGTTCTTCCCAAATTTAGAAACTTACTCCTTTAGCTAGATCGCCTATTAAACCGCTCCATTCGCCATTCGGCAGTTTTTTGCCAAATTCCTCATCTTCGGGAATGACAAGATCATAATCGAATTGCATTACTTCAGACAATTTCTTCACGAAATCAATGCAGTAACCTTCCCAAATTTCTTTTCCTTCCTCGTTGCGCATATCTTGACCCGTTGATGGATCCTTCTTAATAACCGACCAGGGGACTGCCTGTACCAAAAAATTGAACGGCTTTCAATTTAAGCACGTTGAATTTTAGTTTGATTAAAATATCGTGGACGAACTAATAATAACTATATTAAAAACGATATGACGTTGTTTCGTTTAATAATATGTAACAGAAAAAGGAGTTTTAGTGAAATACGCAGTTCTTACTGGTGCCGTTCCAATCCGGAAGAATCGCCTGGCCGGTTCTATTTTCTTGCCATCCGCCTCTTTAATTTTTGTTCGTCTCGTCCATGTTGCAAGCGCATCCACAAAGCCATGATTAACCGTTTGCAGCTCGATCTCCGCTTTGTAAGTGATCATCGCCTTTTCTGACCAGTATTCGAAAGTGTCGTTACTATCTAGTCTCTAGAAATGTGAAACAAAAAAATAGTAGAAAAAAAAAAACACATTTAAGTCTTGTCAGTGTAATATATATGTAAACAAGTTTGCTTTCTTTCCGTCAGAATACTGATCTCTTTTTCTTTCTGTAGAAGATAATCTTAGATATACTTACTGTCATTAAGATTTTGTTGAATGTTTCTGCCGTAATGTTTGAAACTGAAGTAATATTTACTGGTTTATCGCATTGACCAGTTTTTGGAGCTACACTTACACCCGTCCTTTGAACGTCGCTCATCAAACTTACGATCAAGCCAATTAAACGTTTGAAATAATAAGGAAATATCTAGTACAATAAAATTAATCTTTTTTTAAAGTTATTTTCTCTCTCTCTCTCTTTCTCTCTCTCTTTCTCTCTCTCTCTCTCTATTTACGGATGATATACATAAACAACATTCTTTTCAAACCAAAGAAAAACGAGAAGTATAGTTTTTTTACATCGACAATGTTATACATTAATTAATAGAATCTTTTTAAACGATAAGTATTTACGTACATAACATTTACAAAAAAAAAAAAAAAAACAGAACTCCGCAGACCGATTCCAAAACGAAGTTCGCTTTCATCGTACTGACCTTAAAATTTGTGGGACAATTACAGGACGCTTCGCCCATTAATCGACAACAAATGTCAGCTCGCATAGTAAGGATGGTAAATGAAACATTCAACTGAAGATCACCGCTCATGTACCGAAAGTCGCGATGATTATTATCAGTAAATACTAAATTCCAAATACCCTCTCTTCTAACCAGTCCTCCTCCGATAGCCTGAACACATTTAATATTTAAATTTTTTATTATTATTTTTATCCTTTTCACATTTTCTTTGTCAATTAAAAAAAAAGAGATTCAAGATGATATCACACCGCTTACCGTTTTAAATAATTCTTCCATTTTCGGTGTACTGGCATAAATGGCATAATAAGATGGCGATGGTCGCATGGTTCTTATTTTCGATACGGATCTTTCTGTCAACTCGTCGATAACCACCAATCTGATTATCGAATTTCCAATGAGATAATACAGACTCTGATTTAACTCTAACAAAAATTCATGATTACGATATTAAATATAAAAGATAAAATTTTTCTTACGCGTGACGACGTCACATCATTTGTTGTGCAATAAAAAAAAAAGAACTACACATATAACTGATTGTTATCGCGCGAGATGAAATAAAAGTATCAGATCGTGTGTGCGTATATACGCGCGATATCGCAAAACAATGTCCGTAAAAAAACCACGTTGTAATCCGTTCGTGCGTTTAGTTAATCAAAAAGTTTCTCTATGCGCACCTCTTTCATCCTCAAAGATTAAACCAACGTCCGTTGCGTTTTTCATCATTAATAGATCATCGATCGCTTGAACGTACGGATTTATGCTACAATCGCTACGTTTGTATATTATTCCTCTTTCGTCGGCGATAGTCCGCAATTTGTCCCAACCGGTCCATGTCATGTCCAATATGATGCTTATTCCTTTATACAAAACGGCGCATACTACACCGAAAGTCATCGGAAAAAAGAAAAAGAAAACATAATAACGAAATACTAATAACGTAGAGATAAAAAAGAAAAAATAAAAATACTTTTACGTAAAAATGTACCTTTTTCGAAACTCGAATCAACGTCCTCGCGATCCACTGTAACGGTGGAGACGTAAACGGTAAACATGTCGTTTGCAAAATTTCGTTCCGCCTGCGGGACTGCGTCGTTTAATATGCCCAAGATAGACGAGTCGGCTTCCTCAATCACAACCACTTGAGACAAACGAAGATTTATAAAATTATGCCGCAGGCTATCGCACTCTCTATCGTTATGTGTTATTAATAACATTCACAGTAAAAAAAAAACCTTATTATTACTATTTAAATTATCGAGTTTTTTTTAAGAGAACGACTTTTACAATTATCTCACTTGCGCACCCAACATCGACGTAATTCAAGCACGTCCCCAACTGTGTGTTTCAACTAAAGAATTATTACAATATGTGTGTATTTTATTTAAAATATTGTCGAAAATCCAGATCATCTCGTTGTAAGTAAATGTTTCGACACATTATATACACAATATATTTGTTGACGTAATTAACGTAACTTGTGTCACCAATATTTTTAAAAACGTAAACCGAATTTTATTTATCCCTTGGAGCTGTAACTTTTTTTTTTTTCACAAAAGAAACTTCTTACTCACGCAAATTCATCCGAGTTTGACAGAGCACAAATGGTAGAAAAAGTGTGAGAACAAATTTAGATGATATTTTCAATCCTGTTGGCATGACGAGATCTAACGAATGAACAGGATACTTCGGATGGTCCCGTTTCGGCAGGTGTTGAAGCGATATGGAATACGAATGGTATGTGGGTGCAATGAAGTAACACGATGGTCACGCCTGCGCCGATGCCGGAAAGACACAAACGACTTGCTTATAAATATTATATATCAGTACAACCCTATCGAATCGTGAATACCTTTTTCCTGCCCGACGTGACTATCGGCCATCAGGCCATCGATTTATCATGTTGTTCGCGAAGTCCCTTTTATACACACACACACACACGCATACACACAACACGCATATGTATAAAGTCAGTTCTAAGCTAAAACCATCATTATGCCGAAGAATGAAATCGACAGAGGTTTTATTAGTAACTGCTGTATGTTGTATTGTCACACACACACACAAATATACGCATACATAGATATATATATATAACATACGCGTAAATCGTTACACCACTCGGTTATTACTCTTCAACTTTCATATATTGCGTACAAGGAATGACATTTTCGATTGTTTTTCTACTGCTTAATATTTTTGCGCTTTTTTCCAGTATGAAATTTTTATTAACATAGCACAAAAGCTAAATTACATAAGTCGAAAGTGAGATCGACCAATCAAACTCTTTTAAATATCAAAAAATTCTAAACTATGGAACTCTTGTTTATTATACTTGTTAATATATAATCGATATTTGTGTCAAGACAGTTAAAAAAGAGTGGAATAAAGATATATCAAATATATTGACACCTCGCGTGCGTTGCTAATGCCATGATGGAGCAATTTGTATGCTACAGTGTGTGTATTGTAAATCCAAATAGATTCTAATCATTTTTACCCGAGTTCGCACATACCTTGTTTGAGTAAAATCTCGTAACATTCTCGCTATAGCATATTGTTAAGAGCGTATTGACATTCTATAAAGTAACGCGTCTAAAACCTCTTCTTTAGAAACTATAGTAAACAAAAACTGTCATTCATTATTGTGAATAAAACTTATGGCACATCTATTTATTTATGGTTTTGCGAGAAAAACGCAGTTACGAGCGTTTTAATATGCATATAATCTATAAAATTTTCGAAACAGTCCGACAAAAAACCCGCGAGTTTCCGGCTGCCGCTCAAAGCTTAATTTATCTCGAACAAAAAAAAAAAAACAAATAAAAAAGATTTTTAACCCTCCGTCTGCATAATGAGAATTTCAGTTTCCAGATAAAATTTCTTCTTCGAATTTTTATTTTTCTTGCAAAAGGGTTTTGATATTTTGCTTAAATGTCGCCTCTACATTAAAGTAGAGATCTTATGAAGTATCTCGGAATTTTTTAAGATTTTTTTAAAGCAACAGCAAGGAAATAGATCTGGGTCTCTCAGACCCGCTTATGCAGACGGCGTTGTAAAAACCATTGCAGACGGAGAGTTAATTAACATACTCGTATAACTGCGATACAAAAATCGATTTTTTTTCGACCTTTAAAATACTCTCTCTTTAAAGCACAAACGCACAAATACGCGTATAATATACTTGTTTTGCTTGTATTAACTACTTCAAATCCTTAAAAGCGCTTAATAAGTAATAAAAGTGACGATATTGAGCTTCGGAGTAACATACCATCGCGACACAATAATCGATACGCATATTATTGATTCACTGTATAACACATATAATGGTGCTACATTACGTTGTTACAACACATAATCGTAAATTGCTCGCGTTGAAAACCCAAAGCTAATCGATATATTATAGTGGTAGGCTTTACGCGCGTAATATGGTCTCTCTCGCACTGATATCCCGTAAACTAAGCTCACGCGAAAGGTTTCCTATTTTTGTATAAAAGTTCCTTGTAGCACCAGTTATGCATATACATATATTGTATATATGTGTATATATGTGTGTGTATATATATATATATATATATATATATATATATACACATACACAATATATATATTACTATATTACTTATACTATATTACGTTTTTAAAATGATACGTTTTAAGTTCGAGCGAATTACAACATTTGGTTTTTTTTTTCACACATATATATATATATTTTTTACATATATTATATATATATATATATATATATATATATGTGTGTGTGTGTAAAAAAACCAAGTGTTGTAATTCGCTCGAACTTAAAACATATCGTTTTAAAAACGTAAACTTGACGATCCGTGTCAAGAAAACTTTTTGCTATTTGTCTAATCCATGTCTCCGTGCAGTTTGTGTCTCATTTGCTCAACTTTCTCCTAGATTGATTCCACGCTTATAGTTTCCACGCCTGAGAAAACAGCAATCGGTGCGATGCGCATGAGAGATATCAAATAATGTAGTTAAATCAAAATCTTTGCGTAAACAGATTACAAAATATATACATAGATTTAAATATTTACCGATAATAAATAAAATGTCCCGACATTTATTTTGGAACGCATAAGATATATTTTTGATACTTTCTGTTTGAATTTTGATTGCATTGTATTTTTCATCATTTATAAGAGTTCAAAACTTGAGAAGAACACCTATCTCTCTTTTGTTGCAGAGATGTTGGATTCGCCAAACGAGCCGCTCGTTTTCTCCTTTCAATATGAAGCCGGGAACACACGGAAAAAGTTCGACAGCAAAGACTTTAAGCGATAAACCATTTGGCCAATCACAGACGAGCAATGTATAGAACGTATGTGATGTATTTGAGAAGTTCTCTCCAATGATTGGTCAAGCATTAAGCAAATCAACCAATCATAGGGCAGGATTTTCTCAAGTGCAAAAGAATGCCAGTTTGTGATTGATTAGTTTCTTTAGGTCTTAGTTCTTAAGATTTTTTGTGTGTATCTGGTCTAAATGTTTTAACACGTTCTGCTGCAGAAGCCATTATCGTTCATGGACATCAATGGGTGCGTTCAGACAACTCAACAGTTGCACAACGGTTGAGAGATAATCACTTCTGATTGGATCATACTTTTGGAACCGCAGCAGATTTTGAAGAATAGTTCTATCATAAGTGATGATCTCTCAAACGTTGAGTTGTCTGAACGTACCCAATGGGAGCTTTCCAGCTACGTACACAAACGACACTGTGTCCATTAGTGTGAGAAAGAGCACATCAGTGTATCTCACTCACACTAGTGGACACTGTGTGCACAGTGCGCCTGTGTACGTAGCTGAAAAGCTCCCATGGTGTGTGTTGAATGGCGTATGGACTACTCTTCCTTTACGATCCGAGAGCCACACAAGTGCACCAAACCAGCTGTACCGCGTGTGTACGTAAAGGTTAAAATCGAAAATAAACCATCATTAAATATAAGTACCAAAATAATACCATCATTAAATATAAGTATCAAAAATTTTAAAGAAATATGGATGTAAATCAACAGAAAGAAACAAAAGAAAAAGAAAATTTGTCTGATACATTTAATATATTTCATTTGAAAAGTGAAGGAAAGAAATATTTAGACGCAGAAACTGCAGCCTATCAGTTAAAACAACACAAATCACGAGATTCAGAAACAAAATGGTTAAAGACGGCATTACAGCAGGGTACTACTTCAGACAAAATAGCAGCTAGTGTAGTATTGGTGCAGGATAATCCAAAATGTAATCTTGGTCGATTGGCATCTTTGATATCTCAAGTACGAGGAGCCAAGCACAATCAGTACAGAATGTTAATCACATCTCTTAAAGAACTCTTTTTGAATAATTTGTTAGATCCCAAGCGTAAACTGTTAAAATTTGAAGAACAGGAGTTTGCTAAACTTTCAACAGAAAGTGCATCAGATTCTACTTCAAAGAGTAAAGCTGAAAGAAATCAGTTGTTAGTACAATGGTACTTTGAGGATCAACTTCGTGAACAATATGAACGTTTTATTTTGAATCTATCTGCAGTAGCCTCTGATACGGTAGAAACAAACCGAGAAATAGCTATATCTGCAATGACTGATTTATTAATCGGTAATGCTGAGCAAGAGCGCAAGCTTTTGGAATTAATTGTAAATAAAATTGGTGATCCTAGCCATAAGGTGGGATCTAAAGCTGTGTTTTGTATCACTAAGTTATTACATGAGCATCCAAATATGAAATTTGTAGTTCTACGAGAAATTGAAAAACTGCTCTTCAGAAAGAATGTATCTGAACGTACCAAGTATTATGCTATATGTTTATTGATACAGTTTGTCTTAGATAAAGATGATGAAAAAATAGCTGATACACTATTACAAATATATTTTGCAATTTTTAAAGCTTGTTTAAAAAAAGGAGAACCCGACAGTAGGATGATGGCAGCAATTTTGATGGGTGTTAATAGAGCCTATCCATTTGCTAAAGCAGATTCAGAAATTCTACTTGAACACATTGATTCTGTTTATAAAGTAGTACATCTGGGGACATTTAATGTTTCTCTTAATGCACTTTGTCTGCTACATCAAGTAAGTATTATAAAACCTTATTTAATATATATTTCTTTCTCTTTGTTTTATATGTGTAAATATATATAAACATTTATGTAACATTATATAAACATATATTTAATTTCACTATTAAAAAGTGTGCTTTCTATATTTCTAGGTCACTATGAGAGATGAGTCTCAGGGAAACAGATTTTATTCAGCCTTCTATAGAAAATTACTTGATCCACAAATAGGAGTAGCAACTAAACGTGCGACATTTCTTAATTTGTTATACAGAGTTCTTGCAAAAGATCAAAGTATATTACGCTTATATGCTTTTATTAAGAGAATTCTGCAAGTTGCATTCTACTTTCCTGCAAACATGACATGTGCCACATTATATGTGATTTCTAAAATACTTCATAAACATAAAAATTTGACACATATGTTACTCACTTCAAATATTAAAGTTGATGTTGATAAAGAAGATGTTTGCGAAATAAAAGTCGAAGACGACAGTGACGAAATAAATAACAGATTAGCAGATGCGGAAGATGTATATGTATTAGAAAGAACCGAACCTCAACTGAAAGATAACATTATATTATCAAATGTCACAATTGACACAGAAATAAAATCTGATGTGAAGAAACAAACTGATTCAGAAATTAAAATAGAGAATATAAAAACATACGATCCTTTTTGTCGTAATCCTCTCTATGCAGGCGCAGCCAATGGAATTTGTATAGAGTTGAGAGTGCTAGCCAATCATTTTCATCCAAGTGTTGCTTTATTCGCAAATCTAATCATTCAAGGTAATAAAGAAATTTTGAAGTTTAATGTAAAGTTGTAACATATACGATATATCTGTTCTTCTATGTATATATAATATATTATTTTTTTAATCAATAATTATTAAATTTTATTTACAATTATTAGGAAAACCAATTGGCTATACAGGTGATCCGTTGGAGGATCTGACATTGATACGATTTTTGGATCGGTATGTTTTTAAAAATCCAAAGAAATTGGAAGACAAGAAGGTGCAGAAGAGAAATGAACCGTTAGCACAACGTGCTGGATATACGCCAAGAGGTATACGTTCACTTCCCGTCGATAGTGCTGCTTATCTCAACGAACTTGAGGAGAGAATACCAGTAGATGAGGTATTCCTTCATCGATATTTCAAACAGAAAAGCCAAATAAAAAAACACATCAAGAAAGATGATGATGATAGTGATGATGATGCGGATAGCGTTAACAGCGAGGAATTCAACGACATGCTCGATCATATGAGCGGCAACAAAGACTTTGACGATGTAGACATTGCGGCGGATATTGTACCTCAAAGAAAGACAAGTATTGTATTTTTTTTTAATTTATACAAACCTGTTTTGTTGATTCGTATATAAATGAAAAACGTTCTTTTCACACTTCAGAATTCCTTTTCTTAAATTTAATATTTTATATAGCTATAGAACTATAAAAACAACACTAATAGTTACAATTTTGATTTTCAGAAGCTAAAATGGCTGAAGATTTTGATGACGATGATGAGGATGATAACAGCGATGACGAAGATGATACTGAAAATGATGATGAAGATGATAATGGATCGAAAGATTTCATTGAAGATACTAGTGCAAGTGACAACGATTTGCAAGATTTTTCTGACGATGAATTAGTTCCAATTTTAAGTAAAAAGATCAAAAGTTCAAAAACCAAAGAAAGGAAAACTGGAAAAGGAATTGATAATAATATATTTGTGTCGGCAGAAAAGTTTGCCACAATGCTAGAAGAGCAAAACAAATCAAAAAGAAAATATGGTAGTAGCAACATTTTCAGTGACAGAGATGGCGCCAGTGAAAAACAAATAGATTGGGAAATGAAAAGACTTCAAAAAGTTAAAAGATCTTTTGGTAACAGAAAACGAAAGCTTGTCCAAGCTAAAAAAGACGTTAAAAGATTCAAACGATAAACATATTTTGTAGATATAATTTTATACAATATATTTGTAATAGTGTAATGTAGACGAAAAAGATGGGAAAAACTTAAAAATGAGTAAAGATACACAGCATATATTGCAGTTAAATGTTATTTAATATAATAATTCTAATACAGAAGTTTTCATAAAATACAAAATTCTCACATCGCGCAAGATTTAAACTTTAAGTGAAGTATATTTTTAATACAGAAACAGAAAAAACTATATGCAATTGTGTTGATAGTCTAAAACTATTCCGAGTTTCTTTTTTTTTTAGAAGTTTATATTGCCAATATTTGTTGTATTTTTTTAACTTTGGCTTGGCAATTATAGAATTTAGCTTTTGTATTTTAATTTTGAATGAAATTATTCAAGATGTACATAGTAATTAATATACACAATCTTTTTGCTAAATGAGAATATAATGAAAATAGCAAAAATTATGTACAGGTAGTGAGATATATATTTAATATATAATTATTTTTCTTTTTAATTTTCTACACGTAGTAGAGAATTTTATATACATAAATTACTTTAAAAATATAAAGTTTATATATATATATACATATATATATATAAACATTAATTATTCATTGCTAATTTATAAAAATTGTTACTTAAACAATTGATGTATATATACGTGAAATTCCCTACTACATATAGAAGATAAAAATCACACAAAGAGAAAAAACTAAAACAAGATAAAAAAAAAAGGAAACGGATTGTTACACAAAAACGGGCAAAAGAATTAACCAGCTTGATCTTTTGATATTTGAGATTTTACTAGTTTGTTTATATAACCTTTTTCAATTTGTAAAAAACACTGTGAATACGATTTGTAAAGTGAAATAACTGTAGGTAAGTGTAAATTGGAGAGTTTATATCTGTTTTTGTCACTAAATGCGACACATCTTAAAACGCGCGATATATTTATATCAGAAAGGTGAACGCTACTCCGGGTCAGCTTTTGTAGAATTCTCTTCATCATGAGCAGGGCTATGCCACGTCAATCGTTCTTCATAAAACTTAATAACGATTTGTGGACATTTCTCATTAGCAAGACGAGCAGGTACCAAATCAGCATCATCTGTTCCCTTCCACTTCATTAAAAACATTAACTCGCCACTGGAATCAGTAGCACCAATAATACGTTCGGGATCTAAATTTCTATCAAATCCTGTAAATAAAATATACATACATTAAAATATATTTGCAAGTAACTTTATAATATACTTATCTTATTTCAACTTTTGAAGTAAAAAGAAAGGAATTAAAAAGTCTGCATATCAAGAGAATCAAATTAAAAATATTTAAAAAATTTTCGATGCTTCCCTCCTTTACCTTCCGCCTTCTTTTCCTCTGATACAGCCTTTTTCTTATTTGGTGTAGGTGTGGGTGTGCTTGTGCTTTTTCGTTTTTTTTGTTCTTTTTCTTCATGACGTTTTGCAGCAGCTGCAGCTTCTTTCTTTTTTCGTTGCTCTTCAAATTGAGCAATCAAATCTGGACAATCAAGATTTTCTTCTGGTTCCCAAGTATTTTCATCATTTGAATATCCCTTCCATTTTAAGAAATATTCCACCTTTAAATAAAAATTACATCTATTTAGAATAAAAAATCTTGATAAAGTAAAATTATGCAAACAAATATGAATGTATATATATATACCTTTCCCTTTACAACTCTTCTATCTAAAACTTTTTCTACACTGAATTCTTCTTCAGTTTCATTATCCGTTGGGGGTGAGTCTTTAACTTTGCTCATTGTGGCTTATACTGCAAACAAATACAATAACTCTGACTGGCACATGGACCAACCACTAGTGAGAGAAAATGTGTATAGTACATTCCAAACCAAAAGACTGATTGCTGATCTCCGTATCATGAGATACAACTTTTTTCAGATAATCATATATAATCACAAGCATAATTGACATCCGATAACTCAAAATAGTTCAGATACAAAGTATAAATAAAAAAGATTATTGTTAACCTTATACATGCATGTGTAGAAATATAAATACACAACACACAAACTTGCGGGAAAAGGGGCAACTTCGGAGAAGCTTGTGGGATGTGTTGAAGTTCAATATCCGCAATTTGCAAGTCTCGTAAAGTGAATTTGTCCGGGCAAACAATACAAATCGACGCGTCTCGTGACATAAGACAAGTATTTCACAAACGCGTTAATTTCTACGAGATTGACCGCCGACTTTTCTTAACAAATTGGTTCAAAATGGCGTCAACGAAGCGGTAGTAACGAAGCGTTTATACATGATGCTTGTCGTGATTGACATCGTTCTCATGCTGCGCTCGAAAAACGTTTTACTCTAATTTTAAAACTTACCTGGAGTGTGTTAACACCGCGTCCAAAGAGTAATATATATATTTCCTCACGAATTCTGCAAACCTCCGATTCCGAAAAAGAAGCTTCCACGTTACAAACGATGATGCTTGCGCGCTCGTTTCGACGCGGTCTTGCACGTTACCGCGAAAAATGCAAGTCGCTTACCTTACCGGAGCAAAATCTCTAGACCAGCGCCAAGATCAAAGACTGCCGCTCACAGAACGAAAGTCTAGGGAATAACGTGTGAGTCACGCGGCAGCCAATCAACGTCTAGTATTTTTGGAAGAGTACGTGCATCTATTAAAAATATGAATTCAAATATTAACGACAACTCAAAAAACAACATCGGACACATTTAACAGAATGCAACTGTTTAAAGTTTCTTTGTTATACTTTTTTTATTTGATGGGACTATTCTAGAGCTATCATTATAAATCAAAAAAAATCTTATTAAATAAACAGAGTAAAAAACGGTTCCGCTGTGTCAAATCACGGCCGTTAACAATTTTTTTTTTAATTTAAAAAAAAAAAAAAATACTGACAAAATATTTACATTTTCTTTAATAAACGACACATATTATGTGCAAGAACTGCGTTGGCTCTATTGCTAAGTTTTTATTCATATATTGTGAATTAGATTTACAAAGTTGTAAATATAGCTCAGTAAATAAATAAATAGATAAGATAAACCCCAGATGAGCCAAAAGTCCAGGATGGTGATGGAATAAAACAATGATTTATATGTAGTATATTGGATGTTTCGATCAGTGTATTTGTGATCATTCTCAGCAACTAAATTGACGAATTCAAATCTGTAGCCGTCAAAGTGAGTCAGCAAACGGCAGCGAGAGTAAACATATCGATGACAGTGACATACGAACTAAAGTAAGATGTCGATGCCTCGAAAGTTCTTAATTTCAGGATTAAAAACTGGAAAAACTGGAAAAAGACACACAAAGAGACAGAAACAAACATGACCGTCTTACATCGTAATTGAAAAACAAATGATTTTGTTTTTTGATTTGAATTCGTCAATTTAGTTGCTGAGGATGATCACAAATACACTGATCGAAACGTCCAATGTACACTACATATAAATCATTGTTTTATTCCATCATCATTCTGGACTTTTGGCTCATCGGGGTTTATCTTATCTATTGAATTAGATTTAATTCTAATTTAATATAATTCTTATTTTTTTAGGTTCTTGTATAAAAAAAAAAAATCAGCCTTATTACATATCAATACTGTCAATAGATATTGCACAATAAAATATGTTCAATTTGCTAAAAAAGGAAGATTCGAACGTTTTTTGTTCATTAAAAAAAAATCTACTATCGCAATAGAAAAAAGTATGTAAAGAGGATCAAGCGAAATAAATAATATACACATATACACATACGGCATATTCTCAAATAATAATATTGATCATTATATTCCCAAAAAATATTTTATTGAATATATATTGCTATATTTACATGTTTTTACGTATCTTGTGTAATATATCTCATTCTTTGTCTTGAGTTTTCTCTAAACCGCGAAAATATATTGTGTATACGCCAGAATTTTGCACACAAGTTATAAATCTAATGCTTAGAACCGGAAATAATCTCTTTTATTAATTTTATATTCCAAAGTTTTTCCACGTGAACATCTCTCCTTTTTATTCATCGTCATCGTTCAATATATAATCCATTGGCTCATCCGGGATTTCGTCATCGTTCACTGATACCTTTAACAAACGTGGTATTATTACTTTTTTAAATTAGTTTTAAGTTATTCTTCAAAAGCGAGGAGATGACGCGCACTAACTGTTTAATTCGACCTATATATATTTTTACACACACTAGTAAGTAAGCTTATTATACCGAAAGTATTTTCAAGAGGATCTCTCTAGTAAAAAATCTTAGAATATTTTTACAAATATAAAATTCTATATCTAATGTTAAATATAATAATAAAAATAAAGATCTTTGTATATTTATTTATATTTATATGAATAAAATTCCTTTACTTTTTGTTAAACACACAGACTGAACAAAAAGATATTCATATATATGAACACATAACTTTAAACATACGTATAGAATATTTAAAAATATATTTTATAGCAATGAAGCAAAATTGATACACTTATTATGTAACAAAAACTGATCTTTTAAGTTCAGGAAAAGGTATAACATCGTCCAATACTTACGTTTTCTTTTCTTCTTAGGAATCTTAATAAATTTTCTGCTTCTTACTAAATATATTAGCACCTACAAATAAATCTACGTGTAGCTTTAATGTCAACATCGTATTTGTCTTCAGAACAATCTATTTACATTATCGAGAAATAACACGGCCAGTAAGAACCGTAGATACGAAATACTAAAGTATAACTTGAACAACTTATAAAATTCGAAAATTTATACAGGATGTTTGGTTTATATCTCATATATAGACATCTTTTTATCATCCTATAGATTTAAATTTAAGAAATAAAACTCTTACAAGAAGACACCTCAGCCAAGAATCCAATTAAAAAAAGTAACAAAACAGAGATCCAGCCATATTATAATATAAAGACAATTTTTTTTTAATATTTCTTTCATACAAATAAAATTCTGACTTATCAAAAAAGTTTCATATAAAAAATAATTTTAATTATTGCATTAAAATTTTTAAATATTTATATATTTAAACAAACGGAGTGTAACGCTATTTAGACATACAAGACGTATTATATGTCGCATGTGTATGTTTTTTATATTATACGTTTTTTTAAATACAAACAAAACTTACCTCTACAATACCAGTAGATAACGCATATCCTGTCATTGCCAGTGTAGCAAAAATTGCAGCAAGAATTTGATTTCTTCTTTTATTTGGGAATTCACTATCGGAGTCTTTTTTCAATTTGTCAGTGTTTTTTTCTGCTTTTAATTTCTCATAAGCTTGATATTCCTTTTCGAAGTATCTCTGTGATATACGTGATACATATTTCACTAGATTTGTACAAGCTTTCAGATAATTTTGCAAAATTGGATTCGGCAACGGAGCCTTGAGCAATGGTGCTAGATATGAGTATACGATAGCATCTATTGTATTGGGTTGTTGTCCGCAAAAGAAATCTTTATCTCCAAGTCTTGTAGATAATAATGTCAGACATTTTTGTGCTTCTGAGTATATCTGTTATTATATAATTTTTCTTACAGAGTCACAACATTTTCAGAGGTGTACAAATACACACACAAACATATGCTTTTTTTCAAGCTCTAACAATCTTCAAAGATTATTACATACCTCATTTTCAATAACGCTGATATTGTCTTCCATAGGATATAAACTTTGTATCAAGGTTTGAGCTCGTTGCTCAAACTTTCTAGGATAATAGAAATTAAATGGAAATGGCAGTGCTTTACAATACCATGGCCGAACTAACTCATCAAGATTCTTTTTATCTATCCACCTGAAAACAACAATATAGAAGATTTATATTTATTATAATTATGAAATCAATGAAAGTTGTGCTGAAATCATAAACTTTCAAATTATAACAAACTACACTTTTCACAGGTAAAATTATTTTTGAAAAACTACAGACTTGGACACAAATGCATATCTTATTTCTGTCTACATATCTATATCTCTTGTGTGTCATACCATATAAATTGGAAGGCTGGATACAACTTTTCCTTAAGCAGAGCATCAAAAGCCATAACATCTGCACATTGTTTATTTGTTAACATGTAATCAGAACTATGTTTTGTTCTAAAAAATGGGAATATATCTTTAACTGTATCCAAAGATTTTAGACCAGCCCTAAGTAAGGGTAATCGACCATTTGGTGTTCTAAATGGATTACTTGTTAGATTTACTTTTAAAGGTATTCCACTGAATTTTGCATATGCCTATAAATAATATACCATATTAGAAAATTTAATGCTTATTATTGACAATTGATCATTAAGCATGCGAAAGCAATTAAAATCTAAGTAATTAAAGCAGAGTCCTTTACAACTTGAAAGTTATTATAATCGATTAATGTCAATTGTGATTGTGATCAATTTTGATTAATTTCGCTAAACAACTAATGCGATTGGTCAATTCCAATGGAATAATCGGCCGATTAAGTTAATCGGAGATGATGAAACCGGCTCATGATGGTGCTATAACCTGCTTCTGATACTTACCAAAACTTGCAAACATTCTACATCAACTGACGGTAGGCCCCAGTCACCTTTCCATACGTCCAGTTCTAACACCTCGGCATTAATCATTTTTAGAAATTCGCATTGCCATTTATTCAAACAAAATTTTCAAACTACACACATAACTCTTCGGTAAACAACACAGCTTCTCGTGCAGGGGGTTCAAACTCGCCTCTTGTGAGAAGGGGAACGCTGTTTTCAGCGCCGCCTGGGCTAGGTCACCGGAAGTAGTGAACTAAAGAACGAGTGGTGGGAGGTACCGCCATATTTAAACCGTCGCACGTGCGTGCCAGTATAGGTATACTTATACAGCAAATTCGATAGCCTGTACTAATAGTACGCATTGAGTGCGACTTTTTTAATGAAACTTTTTTTGGAAGTTTCATTGAAAAAGTCGCATTCAGTGCGCACTAGTGCAGGCTACCGAATCTGCTGATAGATATTGAAAGTAAAGTTAGATATTTTCTGAGCAATATCACAAAGTTTAAATGTNTGATTGGCCTGATTTACTCAATAATTACTCCTTTATTATAAATAATAGAAAAAAATGGTTCAGGACTTTTCGACTCAGTTTTACTTCTTCTACCTGCCTACGAGAGATTGTACGGCAATTCTGGGACACCCTGTATATAATACTTCAGCAGAAGTAACGCAGCAGTTGCAACTGCTACATGAAGCCGCTACGTAGCGCTACGTAGCGCTAACCTCGGTCAAACACATCCAATGATCCGTAATTGAATTGTTTACGGCTGCAATTTTTTCACGTGCAATGGTTTTTGTCAATATTTAAAAACTAAAGTGAATAATTTGTTATTTACATATTATACATATGTACTATAGATTTTCAGTAACGGCAGTTACTGAATCTATTACAAATATCGGAATTGGGTAGATAGTGCTGACAGTGAATTTCTGATTTCTGTGTGTGTAATGCATTTTTATTTGCTCGGTAATATATGGATATAATACAAGTGACAAGCTTAAAACGTTTTTGTTTTTTCCAAGATAAGATAAGATTTCTAGGAAAAAAAAAAACGCAGTAACCAATAAAACTCGGTTCAATCGCGTTATGAGAAAATGTCCAACACACTTACACCATTTGTATACTGGGCCCAAACAGAAAATCAAATTTCACTGAAAGTAGATCTAACTGATGTAAAGGTATGAATATTAAAGTTCTTTTCTTAATATATCTCAGTTTATAAAACTTATATTTTAAATTTTATAGATTATATGAATACGTGTGTATTTTTTTTTGTTATAAAATATTGATGTAAATTACATTTATAATATATGTGCTTACATTACAGGATCTCAATGTTAATTTAAAAGAAACAACATTGCAAGTTGCAGCTTATGGACAGGGAGCTAGAGGTCTGAACAATTACAACTTCAATCTGAGTTTTTATTCGTCTATTGAACCAGATGTAATAACAAGTCATTTTTCTTCATGTCTGTATATAATTGATCAAACTTGATAAAACTATATGTAATGTTTACATTGTAGGATAGCTATTATAAGGTAATTGATCGACAAGTAGATTTTATCTTGAAAAAGAAATGTAATAGCTGGTGGCCAAGATTAATAAGTCAACCACAAAAGCCTTCCTGGCTTAAGATTGATTTTGATAAATGGCAAAGCGAAGATGTGGATGATAATGAGGAAGAAAGACGTGATATTCATGATGATTATCCCGATATGTATGATAAACTTCACAAAGAAGAATTTGGTTATAGAAGAGGTAAGTATATACTTTATAAAATAGTCAATATATATTGTTTAAAAAACATTTTTGTTTTTTACAGAGGACTTTGCAAAAGTATATCTTGTTATATATAATCTCTGTCAGTTTGTTGGCTTTATTTATGTGCTTGCTGTAATGAGTATACGATATTCAAGAGATGGAAAAGGTATATATATATGTTCACAAGTGTATGATATAATAATTTTTTTTAGATTTGTTTTTAGAGATTCTTTAAAATTTTTCTAACATTGGTTTTCTTAAAACTATTTAGAAAAACATTTTGTCAATATAAAATGTTTGTTCCAGATTTCATGAAAGAAACATATGCAGCAGTTGGAAACATATTTAAGTTTATACAACTTTTACAATTCTTGGAGGTAATGCATCCTCTATTTGGATACACAAAAACTAGCACACTTTTGTCTTTTCTACAGGTGGGAGGTAGAGCTTTCATATTGTTTTGTATGATCGACGCTGAATCTCGTATGCAAGTTAAACCGGTTGTTTTTTACTTGTTTGTTGTATGGAGTACGATAGAAGTGGTCAGATATCCATATTACATTATGAGATTGTTAAACATTGAAATAGCTTTTTTGACATGGTTACGATATACAATATGGATACCACTGTATCCCTTGGGTTTTATGTGCGAGGGTATTATAATAATGCGGAACATACCATACTTTGAGGAAACTCAAAAATTCACTATTTCCTTACCAAATACTTATAACTTTGCTCTTCACTTCCCTACTTTTATGAGACTTTATTTACTCATATTATTCCTGCCTACAATATACACACTCATGTCTCACATGATTCGAGCGCGCTCCAAGAAACTTGGAAAATCCAAAGTTAAAATTATTAAGACAAAGTAAATATTAAAATTAATATTTGAAAAAAGGAATACTTGTAAGTTTGCTCTTAATGCATTCTTCTTTTCTTGTAACTACTGCAGAACTGAGTTTTCCAAAAATTAACTTATCTAAGATTTAAGCGGATTCTACTCTTTTTTAATGAATAAAAATATCTTTTTCAAGTTTCCCTTACACTGATTCTTAAAACCAATTGCCTCTGTAGACTAGCTTTGTTTTACAAAAAATTTTTGTAAATATACATATAAAAAATACAGTTTACGGGTCTTGCTTTAAGACAATTTTGTACGGCCTTAAGTCTAAGCTTACTTTTTAGATATATCTTTTTCTATTTTAACACACGGGAAAGAGAAAGTAACATGGACATTAGTGTGGATAAAAATATATGTGATGGGGAAGTTATAACACATCTAATGTAACTCTTTACGAAGTATTTAGCAAAGAAGAATCCACTTTAGAAAAACCTTATTTTATTATACATAATGTATCTATAATTAAAGAAATAGTGAATTTTTTATAACATTTATTAACACATATGCACACGCTTATATTACTTTACTAATTGGCATTTACAATTTTTTTTTTGTATAGATTAAGAAGAATATATTTGATTTCCGTTTTTAGTTTTGATAATTGATATGTACAAAGGTAAAATATTTTAAGAATAAGATGATTTTTAGCTCATAATAAACAATAACAGTTATATATATATATAATATATATACAACATAACATGTAATATATAAAAGGAAATTCTTATGTATTTCTTAAGTACAATTACATTCTGTACATGAAAAAAACAATAAAGCTTGTAAATATTAAAACATGTTAAACTTTATCTATAAATTATGCCTCCCGCGGCAGATTGTATGTAATATACAGTAGTCTAGATAAGAGACATAGACTACGTTTACATGTACTGATAAAACCGTTTTAGTAAAAACCGTTTTAGATGTCTTTAGTACAAAACTGCACTTAGATGTCCCGTAAACGTTCCTTGTACTGATGTTATTAAAAACGTTTTAGTAAAAACCAGACTTAGGTGTCCTGTAAACGAACATCTAAGTTCGGTTTTGTACTAAAACGGTTTTTTTATTAAAACGGTTAAAAACTTTTTACCAGTACGTTTAAACGTAGTCATACAATATTTTGCTGAGAGTTTATTTTTAGGCTTTGCTACATTTATATATATCTAGCCAATATTGTGTAATATACCGCCACCTCCTCACAACAAGCTCCCAGAATACGAGCAGATCAACCCAATTATGTTTAGTTGTTTTTGTACTTTTGTATACTGTGCTTATAGTATCCATAAGTTAATCGTCAATCAATGTATGTATGTAGGGGTTTGTTAAAGATTTTATAAACTGTATGTGTGCGTGTGTGTTTGTGCGCGCGCGCATGTGTGTTATATCAAAACTACACTCTCATTTTCATCGAAAGAGTTTTTTTAATTCAACTTAATCATTAGATTTGTTCTTTTTTCATATCCTAGGACTGAACTTCGTGAAGAAAAGTGTACACTAAAGCGTTCTTTTTATTTTCCAATGTGACGTCAAATTTGACTGTTCCATTTCAAAAGTGTGGCAACGAACGGACATTCACAATCGGAGATCTTATATTTGAGATCGTCAGGAATTCATCTTAAGATCAACTTGAGAGACAATCTTAAAAATATAAAATCAACAGACTAGACATACTGACCTAGGTCTGAAGTATTTTTGAACTCGCCGCCTTAAGGACCGCCTTGTTCCACCTTCAGATAAAGTATCGGGTAATCTATCTAATGGTTAAAACTCTGATTTGCGTTGTTCCACGTGTTGGTAAAATTTATATATCTGGTAAATGACCAGAAACCAAAAAAATAAAAAATAAAGTACACGGCACTCTCGGTACCGTGTAAGTCGTATCTAACGTAAATATGTAGAAATAAAAAACAGTGGGAGATACGCTCGTCAGGTTCCTATCTTATAGACAATAACTTGTCGAGTAAGTTGACAATGAGATTTATCGGAAGGTGAAACCAACCGGCCCTGAGTCTGTATGCGTAGTTCAGTTCTTGGCGGTTTGTAAAAAAACCCATCTGACCTACAAAACACTCAAAAATCAATTCACTGGCTCAGTGAATGTGGTGTTTTGTATATAAAATGTAACGAAAAGTCAAGGTGACGAAAAATTATGCCAACATCGATTATCTTTTCCGAAAGCGCAAGCGCCAAACGCAACTTGACGTAACTCGCGTGTGATGTGTGACCGTCGTTGAGTAAAAGAATAATCCGATGTTCAATTTTTGATTTTCATGATTCAATCGCTGTACACACGCTAGGTATCGTTTGCTCAAGTTTTTCCTCGAGACATCGCGAAATTTTTCTTTCGACGTATGCATCGCGAGGTTTCACAGCTATCGAAGATAATTTTGGGTTAATCTTAACGTCTCCGTAATTAACGTAATCGATCGATTATTCGAAATTGCCAATCGCATCGGTCGAATTAGCCGAATCAACCAATTGCGATTGACACACTTTAAGTTAATTGACCGATTGACTCAATCGATGAATGACGAACGTGGGCGTTAGTTTCCTTGACAAGTTTAATTATAATTGTCACAAAATCTAGTCTCTTTTTCTTCGAGTGTATTTATTTCAAATAACAAATAAAAGTATATTCAAAAATTTATAGAAATAAATACTTGTGTTGAAAAATTTATATAAATGTTTTATTCGTTGTATGTGAAGAGAATGATCTCTCTGTACGTCCTTTGCAAGATTTAAAAGGCGCCATTTCTAATCTTAGAGAGCGCCGCTAAAAGAAAGAAATTAAGCGGAAAAAATGAAAACAATCTGGGTGATCGGCGGACCGGGTTGTGGTAAGGGGACGCAATGTGATCGCATGATCGAGAAATATGGATTTCTTCACTTGAGCAGTGGCGATCTGCTGCGAGCGGAAGTCGCAAGCGGTAGCGAAAGAGGTGCATCACTTCAAGAACTAATGTCCAAAGGATTATTCGTGCCAACAGTATGTAATTATGTCGTACAACATACAATATATAATTTTAATGTTTATATCGTTCTTAAAATGCCGCGAAAAAAAAATGTTGTGCGAGGAAACAAAGTATATATAAAAGATATCGCGTGTTTTACGCGAACGAGATCTCGTTTTTCTCAGCATGAAGATGATATGGTTTCACTAGGACGTCGTGCTGGAACTTATAAAGGAAAAGATGAACAAAGCGCGCGAGGAAAAAACTACAGAAACTGGATTTCTCATCGACGGATATCCTCGTGAAAAGGAACAGGGCATTCTCTTTGAGCAAAACGTAACATCTTGTCCATCTTTTGCTCTCATCTTCTGTATCTTCTTCTGTTTTGAACTTTTTTATGTTGTTGCGCAGGTTTGTCCTTGCGACTTAATTCTCTTCTTCGACGTATCAAATGAGACCCTGAAGAAGAGGCTTTTGGGACGCGCCGCTGTATCCCAAAGGGCGGATGATAATGAGGAAACAATCAAAAAAAGGATCGAAATATTCAATTCGAAAAACAACGAGATCGTCGAACAGTACAAAGACAAAGTTGTTAGAGTGAGTGTCCTCGATGTGTATTTTGCGATTATTACACATTTTTCAAAAATAAAAACAATTTGTTTACTAAATTATTTCAGATTAACGCGGAAGGAAACGTAGAGGAGATATTCGCTGAAGTGACAAAAGCGCTGGACGCTTTATTAGCATCATAGGTGAAGCCATACTTAAACACGGCACGAGATTTAGTCGTGCACAAAGTCATGTTTGTTCTAAATATTATTGTTGTTTGAAATGAAATATAGAAAATAGATTAGTTGTTATGATTCTTCAATAAATTATATTAATATAATATTTAAAATAGTTTTATACCTTGATATTTTCGTATAAGTTCCCAAACTTCGACAAGTATAATTTTTCCTTAAAGCTTCGTGGATACTTCCGCACTTATGTTCGAATTTATTTAATTAACAAAATTCTCTTTTAGTTCTCTAAGATGTGTAAAAAACAACAACATCATATTTGTTAAAACATTTGTGTAATATACCGATAAAAATTACAATTTAAATTAATTAAATTATACATAGCAATAGCAATAAACTTACTTCACAAAGCAGGAATCACTCTATCTACGCATCAGTATCAACTTTTAACAGCTTTGGCAAATTGTACTACCATAGGCTTATCTTTCAATATATATCCGTTTGTTTCTTCGAGGGCCATTTGAGCTTGAACAATATTTTGTAAAGTAATAAAGGCTTGGCCTTTCATTCTTCCTTCTTGCAAAAGTCTTACATCATATCTGCAACGTTAATACCAATGAGAAATACATACTTTACGAGATAAAACTTTACTTCAAACAAAAAAATACTTACTCATTCTCAACATCTTTCAATCCTACGATAACATATCGTTGATAAATATAGTGAAGATCATTGATTTCCACTTGTTTCGCAAGATTTTTTATGTAAAGGCGATTGGATGGTTTGCCTGGATGATAATTCTTGAACACGGGGAGTATTCGTTGATCATGAGCAGAAATTCTGTTAGCTGCTAATTCCTCGGAAGTTATAAACTTATTTTTCTGCGTTTCTACATCATCTGTGCTATCTTTCGCGTCATCAGTTTTGTTAGTCGGAAATATTAAACCAAATCCACCTTCTATCGTTACGGTATTATCTTGATTAGCAGATGCGATTTCTAATGACGATGTATCCAGAGTTTTTAATTCGATTCTGAGATTCTTAGTCTCGCCACGTTCAACAGGCTCGAACATTTCTTCTGGTTTCAGTACTTTTTGCGTGGATGAAGTACTTGTAATGTTTTTGGCGGGGTTTACAAACTTGGGAATCTTCATTCGTTTTGCGGACTGCGGCCGTTTTCGTTTAACAGGAATGATTTCCAAAGGTCTCGCATTATCTTCCCCATCTGATTCTAATTCGGACTCCTCTTCCTCTTCCTCTTCTTTCTTCACATCTCCTAGACAAAAACAATCCTATGTTGATCTATTTGAAATATAAACTTTGATACAAGACAAAACTACTACTATAATTAATTTTGTGAATATGATACTTTCGTCTTTATTCATTAAAATATTATTACCAAGGATGTCTTTGTACTTCTCCATGTTATAAATGTCCCTCAACGTGGGAAATTCTGTTTCTAATTCTTCAAAAGGAGGGGGCAAATTCATTTTATTCATTAAATGCAGCACCTACATAATAAACACATCACAGCTGTAATATACCATTACCAAAATTGCATAACTGAGTGTGTTATAATAATTAAAAAGTATAAAACAATTTATACCTGTGTGTAAAAAACTGGTTCCTCTATTAGCATGATAGCTATTCTTATTAATGTAGTTTTTGTCGGTGGTGGATACTTATATTTTATATTCGGAGGAGGTAATTGACTGAAGTCATAATTCATAGTCCAATTGTTCAACTTCCGCATGAATGCTTGTATGTGAGCTTTACTGGCAGTTTCCTCGTTTGTATCATCCTTGCTCTTTGACACTTCATGCTGAACGTCTTGTTCCGAAAATTGTTCAATAGACTTGTGAGCATATTCGACTGTCAGATATTGTCCTCTGACATTCAACTGATGTAAACGCAACAATGCTTCTGCTGCTAATTGCGGAGATGAGAACTTGGCAAAGGTCGCGGTGTATTTGTTCGACAGTCGTATTGTTTTGGTTTTTATTGCACCGTATTTTTGTAACAACACATCGCGCCGATCGTTCGAAATTTGCGGAGGTAAATGAAGAATTCGCAACGTGTCGCATATCTGAAAAAATACGTAAACACCAATACTGAAATATATAAATAAACAACATGATGTGAGATATAGGTTTCGAGTGAACATATTAATATATTCTTGTATATATTCGAGTTAATTCTGGTATGATTAAATGTCACAAACATGTATAATAAAAAGTAAAATTACCGGAACCATTTTTATAAATCTCTGTAATCTCTGCTGGTCTCCGCCGCGATTTAAAAATGCTTCTTACACACATGTGAGTCATGTAACACATGTGTATTTTGGAACAAAATACTCGCAGCTGCCAGCAGCTGCCAGTACTGTGCCAGTGATGCTTCGAAGCGTGTGTAGCGTGACTTGGACTCCATTTCTAAGTATGTAAATAGTGTCAGGTGATTGCAATTATATTCGCACTTTTGGCACTACGTATATTTTATAGTAATCAGAAATTTTATGTTAATTTTGTGCACTTGTCATTACTTAATCGCGAGGCTTAATGTGAGAAGATTTACTTTTGCGGAACCATTGTATGTAAGTACATGAGTAAGTAAATTGGTGGAATACGATAAATAGAGTATTACAGTACAGTCAATATTGTTTAAATAAAAATGTGATTATTGTTTCAAATAAAAACTTAATTAGATTACATACAACAATAAAGAATTTTTCTTGCATAGTTTTGATCTGACGTGTATCTACAACGTTGATAAAAGCAGTGTCGAAGCAAAATTACGCAGTGAAATTACGCAGTGAAATTACGCAGTGAAATTACATATATTCGTTTGCTGGATGCAGACATTTTGTAACAATTCTTGACAATAAGCACATCTTGAGCTAAAATTTGTATTTTGAAATCTGTTTTAAGTTTTATTTGTTAATTTAAAATTTTCAATGTATTTTTTTTAACTCGTGATTTGACAGTTCTGACATATTAGTTTAAGAATGTGACATACTGTTCAACAAGGTTTTTATTGTGATTTAGACAGCAGTGGATTAAAAATGTCGGAGAAGGTGTCAAGTAATCAATTACAACCTATTGTTAAAATAGGCCATTATACATTAGGCCAAACTTTAGGAGTAGGTACATTTGGGAAAGTAAAAAGTACGTATAAAATTCATGCGTGTAAATATAACTTATATTAAACGATATAAAGATGTGTGTTGTCACATACTATTTCTGTAGTGTATTTTGTAATATATTTTGTAACATATTTATATTCACAGTCGGAGAACATGTTTTGACAAAGCACAAAGTTGCTGTAAAAATCTTAAATCGGCAAAAAATCAAAAGCCTAGATGTTGTTGGGAAAATTCGCAGGGAAATACAGAATCTGAAACTTTTCAGACACCCTCATATTATCAAATTGTAAATATGAATCTAATCACACACAAATTCTTCTCTTTTTTAGTGTTTTATATATACATATTATATATTTCTATATTGCATACAGATATCAAGTTATAAGTACCCCTACAGACATATTCATGATAATGGAATATGTGTCAGGCGGGGAGTTGTTTGATTATATCGTCAAACATGGCAAGCTTAAGGAGTATGAAGCGCGACGATTTTTCCAACAGATCATATCAGGTGTTGATTATTGCCATCGCCATATGATAGTCCATCGTGACTTGAAACCGGAAAATCTTCTGTTAGATCACAATCTTCATGTAAAGATTGCGGATTTCGGTATGTAGACTTGAATGCAATATTTGGCATACAACACTTTTATTCTATACATACAGATAATAAAATATATTCTACAAATGCAGGTTTATCAAATATGATGATGGATGGTGAATTTTTGCGAACTTCCTGTGGGTCACCAAACTATGCCGCACCAGAAGTGATATCCGGCAAATTGTATGCCGGCCCGGAAGTAGATATTTGGTCATGCGGTGTTATATTGTACGCCTTACTTTGTGGCACTTTACCATTCGATGACGAACATGTTCCTACGCTCTTCCGCAAAATTAAATGTAAGAGTTACTTTATTTTTTTTTTTTTTTAAGAAAGATCAACCGACAATACGCGAACGGATTTTCTTCTAAAACAAGCAACAACAAACTTATAATCATCTTTGATTCTAGCTGGTGTTTTTCCTATACCAGACTATTTGAATAAGAGTGTTGTTAGTCTCTTATGCCATATGTTACAAGTCGACCCAATGAAGAGGGCAACTATAGAAGATATCAAGTATATTAAATAACACACATGGAATAAGTGATTATGGGCACTTTGCTTTGTTACAATGTAATACATATATTTTTCAATTTTTCTAGAAAACACGAGTGGTTTCAGAAAGATTTGCCATCATACTTATTTCCGTCACCAGTGGAGCAAGACTCATCCGTTATTGATATAGATGCTGTCAACGAAGTGTGCGAGAAGTTCAACGTCAAAGAGCCGGAAGTGCACTCTGCGCTGTTGGGCGGTGATCCGCACGACCAACTGGCGATTGCTTATCATTTGATTATAGACAATAAGAGGATCGCTGACGAAGCGGCTAAAGCGGAATTAAAAGACTTTTACGTGGCATCGAGTCCTCCGCCTGTAGCGTTCAGCCCGAACGATAGTAACAGCAGCCCGTTGAGACCGCATCCGGAGAGGATCGCACGTATGTTAAAAAATTGAACAGATGCGAACTTCTGTTATTACTATTTTTGATTTCATAAAGATAAATCTTGTAGAGGTTGTTAAATAAAAAAATATCTTAGCTCTCTTTTTCTTTATCTCTCTCTCTGGCAATAATTATGCACATAATGACAATGTTGCAGCATACCGCGAACGTCAAGGTTCACAAGGCAGTAACGCGCCTGCACAGACGCAAGGCAGTCGCGGTACACCCGTGAAAAGAGCGAAATGGCATTTAGGAATAAGATCACAATCAAAACCGAACGACATTATGAATGAAGTTTATCGTGCCATGAAAGCGCTTGACTTTGTAAGATCGCTCATACTAGGCATACTTTGCTCTGTTACAGCAAACCGTTAAGTTTTGTACGTGACACAAATTGTGTTCGTGTTTCTCTTTTGCAGGAATGGAAGATCATAAACGCATATAGTGTTAGAGTACGACATAAAAACACATTAACCGATAGATACAGCAAAATGTCGCTACAATTGTATCAAGTTGATTATAAGAGTTATTTATTAGATTTCAAATCTTTGTCGAATGAAGAGGATGACATTGGACGCGGTAAATTTATTAATTCAGACTCAAGTTTCCGATATATAATTTTTTCAACCACATAAACAAAATTTTAATGCGAAAAACGTATTTTTTTCAGATCCAGCACTACCGCCACCGCAAGCCACCGGCCATCATACGATGGAATTTTTCGAAATGTGTGCAGCGTTAATTACACAGTTAGCACGATAACATGGTCATCTGTTGAAGTTACAGTATATTCTGTTACATTCTTTTTTTCAACTTATATTTACATAGTATAAAATAAAAAAGCTGTTGTAAAGTGCATTATTAATCTTGTAGTTTTCACAACCAACTTCATCCTGTATGTATGTATGTATGTATATATATATAATCATTTATTATTAAATGCTATGTATAACATTGAATGTTACATTGCATTACAAACTATTATAAATATATATATTATAACATAAATATATTTTTTATCTAAATGATTACAATTCTCTCTTACCGCGTATTGTATTTTTATTTTTATGAAATTATATATGTACTTCGCTATATATCTCAGAGAAAAATTCAAATACATGTGTGCGTACGCTTAGAAAAATATACATTGTTATATCGGTATCATATTTTAAGGTTTTTTTTTTTATATGTTATACACTGTGACGCTTTAATAACCTATGCATTATTAATGGTAAAAGCAATATACAAATTATTATTTACTCTATGACTTTATTGTAAATATGTATCAGATATTTTCTTCGAATTAATGTACACATAACTATTGTTTGTTCTTTTATACGCATACGTACGCGTATATGCACAACATTTAAAACATTTGTATAGTTATTACTCTCTTACGCTGAAAATTCACTTAAGCACCATGTTATTGCGGAATATTAATAATTAAAGATAAAGCATGTATAAAATGGCACGTATTTTCTTATATTTTATATAAATCACTTTTTCCTTACATAATAATGCTGCCAAAAAAAACTGCCTGTTTTGTGTTATTCAGCTTGCCTTATTTTACACACTGAATTTCCAGACGTTGTAAAAAATTACATACAAATTAGGTCATTTTGTTTTATCTTTGTTTAAGGATTAAGCGGAAGAGAATTTTGTCTAGAGTTGCAAAGTTTATTGATATGAAATATTTTCTATTTACTAGTATGTAAATATCGCATGTAAATTTTGTGAAACTTATGAAACAGTTACGTAACTGGTGTGTTACGTGCGATAGAAATAGGACGATCAAATCATTGAATGTTAAACATCATACACACACAGTGATTTAAAATTTTACATATATATATATGTATATATTATATGAAAAAATAAAATAATGAATATACAATTAATAATATTGGCTTGCCTCTTTTTCTTTAATATAAAGTATATACTACACACAATATATGCATAGTACGTACTATTATACACTTTTAATCAGAAAATATTGTAATAGCAGATTTCTTGACAGTTGGATTAAATTGTTTCTCAATAAAAAATTTTATTACAAACGTAATTCAAGCGTTTATTCAAAATATCTACTATTAAAATATTTTCCGATTACTATAAAATGTTCCATCATAAAATGTTCTATCATTATATTATCATTTATAAATACAAATGTCTAACACAACTTCATTAATGTTGCACAATCTACTGCTGACAGATATTATATGTACCATGAGAGACCAAAATGCGTTATAGTCTGCACAATAAAACTGCATTAATATAATTTTACTATTTCATAATTTTACTATTTCAAATGTCTTCAAAATTGTATTAACAACAATATTCAGGAATAATGAGCGAGTATATACACACAATACATTTTTTATCATAGTCGCTGTGTTTTTGACTAGAAGATTTAAGAAGACTATTTAGCGCGGAACATATCTTTTTTTTTTCATTTTCTCCGGAGAACGTAACTGTTAACATTTAGTAACAAAATATTTCAAAAAGCATGCCTTTTTTTCGTAATATTCATAAATAGAAATGTGTGTGATATATAACTTATCTTTAATTAATAAAATAATATTCTGTAAAATCAACAAATCTATCATGGTTCGCTGCAAATGAAACTTCGTGTTGAACCATCAAACAAAGCTTTGAACAATATGAATTTACAGGTGAATGTAAAACTAGTGCATGAAAGTTCTATACGTTTGAAATCAAAGTTCTAGAGGTATGTATACTCATATACGTAAAATTTGTAATAGTAAAATAAAGGAGGGAGAGGAATAATCCTATATAAATACTGTACCCTTTTCGGAAATTGTTATGTTTACTATTGTATTAAAACCTCACTTTTACTTTTATTAGTAGTGTCAGACATATCTTTTTTTCTTTCTCTCTCCTCCCGTCCCTCCTCTCTCATTCATTCATTCATTCTGTCACTCTCTCATTTATTCTCATTCTTTCTAATACATAGTTTTGTTACATCTTCACACGTACGCAAGTTTATATATATAACTTTATAAAATTATGCTTGTATGCTTTGGGCAATTAGCAATGTATATATTCTTATAGATTATTCGGTAACATGTAAACTAAAATGCTGCAATCAAACTAATTGCGTTCACAAACTATAACTTTACAGACAGCTTTAAGATTTTCAAAAAATTGTAAGATATTTACAAATAAGAAAATAAAAATACGCACATAGAAATAATTTGACAGATTATCCCATTGATAGAATTAATTTGTTGAAAATTATTAAAATCTTATGAAATTATCAAAATTATGGATGAAAGTAATCAAGATATTATGATAGGAATTATTCGCAGAAACCTAGCATAAAGTCATTGAAACGCTTATGATCAACGTAGAACGACTTTTACAAGTCTCACGATTTTGTCTGGAATTGCAGCACAAAATAGCAACATGCTGAAGGGAGATTACAATACAAATCGTTAAACACCTCATATTGCACAAAAAAAACGTGGGGTTCGTATGTATGTGACATGCGGCAATCCATTATAAATACATTTGGAATGAATAAGAGGCTATTAAGAATTTTCGAGCTGCCAATACTGCATGATGAATTATTTAAATTTTAATCGTTAAATCATTATAAACCAAACGTTTCAGTTTTTATACTAGGTAATCTATAATATATGTAATGTGAATTATATAAAAGTTTTTAATACTATTAATAATAATGCCATTAAAATGCCAATAATAGTACTACCAATCTAACATCTTTCTTACTTCGTACACTATTAGCAGCATGTGAGATCTTTATAGCCTTACTTTTTCTCTCTCTCATCATCAAAAAGCCAATTTCTTGTAAATAATTGTTCAAAATTAAAATTAAACATATCTACGCAATGGTACATATAATAGATGTTATCAGTAATTTAGCATTTTGATAACATAGAAGTCCTCCTTTTTCTTTTTGTCACATATGCGGTGCCTCACATTCGGAGAATTTCTGTTAAATCTCTTGATTGTCTTCATTAGTCTCATTATCTACGAATTCTACATGCGTAAATGGGAAGTGGCCAACCTTGCCATGTAATTCACCTTCCCATTGACCATTAATATTAGTCTTTGTCACTTTTATCATGTCACCTACTTCTAATTTTAATGCAGTTTTATCATACGCATTCGGCACCCTGGCTTGTTTCACTTTTGCGAAAGCTGGTAGTGTTCTCTGAATGTTTGATCTTCGTGTTACGGTTGCTTGTCCCGACATTTCTACATGAGGTACTTGTGACATGTGTCCTGAATTTGAATTGGAGCTCGAACTACCTCCACTCTCAGGCCGTGAATTATTTTCTATTATATGGCTGTCCTCGTCGTACTTTTGAACATACGGAACCGGTATTGAGCCAGTTTGGCCGAGACTATTTCTAGCTGTCCACCACTGTTCCTCATCTTTCGATATTACAGTTAGAATATCACCTACGTATTATAATCACTTTGTTATATTAATAATCTAAGGTAAAATTATTTTTATAAACTTTATAAAATATAACTTTGTACACATACACAGATATCGGCAATAAAAAAAAAAAAAAACAAATATCAACAAAAAATTGATTATACCTTTCCTGAAGGGTAAATCCTCGGAATCATTGCCTTCAAAATCATACTTGGCGATTACTCTTTGTGTTTTCTTTGGAGCAGGTCTAATTAAAGGTGTGGTATCTAAATAGTGCAGTTTGTAGAAAGCCAGAAGACTGGGAATGTCAGGAAACATCTGATCTCCAATGCGATATCGAATTTGATCTCCTTGTTGAATTTTGTTAATAATGTAATGACTAACTTTACTGTCTTCCCTTACACATAGCACAAAGTCACCATGTATGGAGGTGCTGTCTCGTACTAGAAATACTCCACCTTCTTTTTCACCCATTAACAAATCGGAAGCATCTTGTCGTGACATAGCACCAAAATACCAGCTAAAAAAGAATCACATAAGTGAATATTATTTCCTGAATGCACCAATTAAATTTTTTTTCATATCAAACTACATGTTTTATATTATAACATTACTTACAAAAAAAAATATAATTTATCTTATTTTAAAATTATGTAAACACATGAATAAAAACTTAAATTTTATCATCAATATTACCGTCACGAACCCAGTTTTTGATCAGTATCCAATTTTTGATCAGTTGTTAAAAAAGTATCATAGTAAGATTTCGGTCATAAAAATTAGTCCGAAAAAATTTTTGGCATAACAATTAATTATTGCGATCATCTATATACCTCCTTTCGGACTAATTTTTATGACTAAAAGCTTACTATAATACTTTTTTAACAACTGATCAAAAATTGGATACTGATCAAAAACTGGATTTGTGACGATATATGCATTTATGTGTTTACAGGTGTTTTATGTATAAAGTAAAAAAACATCAAAAATTTATAGTAAATACATCATTTACATGTATAAAATATATATTATGTTTAAAACATTTCAGTTAACTTAATTTTATTTTTTTATAGTTTGTTTTGTTTTCTTTACCACATACATATAATCTAATATACATTATATGTGCATTAAATATACATTAAATATATAATAAATTCCAATTGCATGTCTAATCGATCAGTCATCAATTAAAACACGCGAAAAATTTGTCATACACACCTTGACTTGTCATACTGATCGAACGTTGCAGCCATTGTTGCACACGTTGCTCCGATTACAATTCACAAGAGTGAAATGACGTGTGTACACAAACTCTTCTTCTTCTTCGTTCAATTATCAATTAATATATTACGAGGCGCACAACCGATAGAAGGAGCGAGAGAAAAAGAATAAATGAAAGTGAACTCGGTGTTAGGCTCTTGCATAGTAAAAGAAACGTAACAACCAGAGGAACAGCAGACATGCACGCATACACACATGCACACGTACGCGTTACGATAGATCTTCGATCTTATTGTGAGATTCAGTTTTTAAAAAATACAACGTTACTTATTTTGTAATTGACAATAGAGGTTTCGGAGCACCGAACTTTTTATTATTATCGACTCGACGTATCTTCGCTCCTCCCTTCGCGCATTCCTCTCGTGCGAGATGATCCGCGAGCTGGGCTTGTCACATGTTGAAGCGCGCACGTTTCGCGTTGTTCATCGGATACGGATTGACCATTCGACCGGATCTTGTTGCAAAATAAATTGTACTATTTACACGATGTTGATTCACAATACGAAAGTCTCCGTAAAGTGAAGTGGGAAACGGCTATTTCTACAAAAATGGTCGCCCAGAGCCCCGTGCGACATTTAACATGCTCTAAAGCCGCTTTTCAACACGTGCGGAGTTTCTATTGGTCACGATTCGGAAACTTTCGAGTTCCCTCGTGTACGCGACCATAAAAAAAAAAAAATATAATATATATAATGATGATCAGAAATTACAAAAAAGTTTTATTGCCGTATACATGTAGATATATTATCTGAAAACAAAAAAAAAACTTAGACATTTTGCATCAAAATAAAGTAGAGAGTCAAAAAACCGTGGATTGTGAAGAGAACCTTAGGGCCAGTTTTCAAGCGTCAACCGTGACCGATTCGATTTTGACCAATCGAGCGACGCGATTGGTATCAATTCTTACGGAATAATCGGTCAATTAATTTAATTGAAGATGGTGAGAGAAGCACCGAGAGGATTACACTTATATATAATTTATATATTTTATTATTGCCATTTCATATGTGTATTATATTTCTTATATAAAGATAATTGATTTGCAGTTTTATTAAAGATCGTAAATTACTTGCACAGCGTAGGTGTATTACAAATTGTTTTACAATTGCGCGTCAATATAACATCCACGTATGTATGTACTTATTATTGTCTCTTTACGCAATGCTCCTTTTGTGTGGTAGGAATTTAATTCCACGGTTTCTCCTCCTATAGTTTTCTAAAAACCTCGAGAAGACGTCAAGCATGAATAAAAAACAGGAAGACGCGAAGCACGAATATAACAACAGGAAGACGTCAAGCGTATGATATGATTCGCGTGCAAAAAATACACATGTGTGTATATTGAGCAAATTGATGGTTGCTAATATATAGTTTGTAATTGTCTCATTAGCAATTATAAGTGTGAGATGAACAAAAAAAAGAAATGACATTACGCGATATATTTGCTATATAATGACATTGCTGTAAGAAATACTTTTTTACATATTTCTCTCGTTGGCGACAAAGAAAAAGAAGAATCATGTATTTTCACACTTGTCAACTTGTACATTTGAACGTACAGTTTCTTAAATGACTTGTTAAAGAAACGTAATTTGACATTCTTTTTCGCTGAACAAACAATTATCAATATTCCGATATCTGTACGAGTCGTAAATTAATATTATACTCGACGCAGCATCTCCGAGATAAAAAATCTGAACGCTTTCGAATCGAGAGCATTTTACGCAGTTTTCTCTCCCGGGTCACATTTGCGATTTAAATCAACAAGAATTTGCTGGACTCTCCTCCCATCTTCCTTTACCTCGTCGTTCCCTCGCCGCGTAAGAAACCGATAGAGCGCGACCTCCGTCCGAGTAGAGTTTGTTTTATGGTTCTCGCACACTAAACGTGTCGGCGCGCGACAAGAAACAATCGGCGGTTCGCTCTCGTGGAAAAGCAACGGAACGATTGGCTTGTCGCGTATCACCTGGTTACGCATTTACGCGTCACACATGTGTGCAGGAGCCCGTTTCGGTTAAGTTAAAGGCGCAGCCGCCGCCGATAGGTAGTCGTAGTCGTTGTTGGTCGTCGTCGTGCGGAGTTGACGAAGAATCGCGCTCGTGAAACATCGTGAAGTTTTTTTTTTTTTCGAGGGGTTTACGAACGTCGCGTTCGAGGATGATCTGCACGCACTCGGCGATGATCATTTCGTGATACATTGCGCACCGAGAGTGTGAAAACAAAAACGGGGAGCGAGGAGGTTAAGTGCGTAGTATTTGTTAAAGTATATAATCTGGGGGTAGGCAAAACAAAATTCCAGGTGTGTGTGTGTGTGCATACATAATAAGAGCGAAACGCTGTGCGATGCACAGGACTAGTGTAATAGACGTCCGTCGTCGAGCAATGACAATCATGACTTGCAACAGCGTTCTCTGGCCTCTGTTGCTTCTGACCTTGCTTGCAAATTTGGTAAGTTTTCCTTCTGCGTGCTGTCTATATAGAACGCAACGGACGGGGCCGTCCATGTCGCGCATAAAAATCGCGACCGTTCGCGTATCACGTCATCTCCTGTTTCTTTCTGCGATTGGTTTATATATCGCATTCTCGCGTGCGCGCGCGCGCGAGCATTGTCGTAAGTCAACACGTAAAATTGTGCCTATACCCAACTTTTATCTATATATTAATCACACGTCCACACCCTATAGCGGCGGCAGGCTTTGCACAGCGCGCGCGCACACGTTTGCGTGACGTCATCTCGGCTGATCGCTGAGAAAGTTTTATTGTTGTTTTCCGTCTCTCTAATTCGCACGGGAGATTTTGAAATTCGTACGTTTTATTCTATTCTTCTCTCGTTTCTCCGTAGAAAGACGGAGAAACTCGATGTATCTGCGAATACGTTTGCGTCACGTTCCGAAATGTCTTATCAGCGGACTTACTTCAATGTTCTATATCAATTTTCCGTGTACATATCTCGGTCACATGTCGATTTCAAGGCGAAATCACGTCATCTTTATTACACATCCTGTGAATTCCATCGATATTGTGATATAATTTAAAAAAACATTCTGAAAAACCTTGGCACAATTTCGTTGTCTTTCGTTATCTCTTTTTCCAGATCGCGTTAACTCATACATACTTCAAAGATGAATGAAAAGAAAGATAACATAAGAAAGGAGAGAATTTACACAATGAGCGGTGTGACGTTATTGGCCACTTACTGTCGAACAAAGAATGCATCTTGTAACGTGATACACATACACACACCGCCACACCGTTCAATAATTTCATTCCTTTAACCGCACTTTGTCCACATCAATCAAACAATGCAATGTGTTTAAATGTCGGACGAAGCGTTTAAACATTAGTTTTTTTTTCTCTCCTTTCGTGATGATTATGCAAATCGTATTATCTAACGCTGTTCTCAAAACGAGCAATTTCTAAAGCGCGAGCAAGATCTCTTTATAAAGTCTCTCCGAAACTTTAGACAAGATTTTTAAAAACTACACGCAACCGATCTCTTACTTTGTTGACATTTAAGAAATACGAGAAATCAAGTTTTTGCACAAGATTTATGTAAATTAGCTTTTTAAATTATCTTTTAAATTAAAAAACAAATTTTTTTTTCTATATCATGACAATGTGTTTAAAATGCAGGAAAATGAATTTCGAAAGATTAAGTTTGTCTGAATATCTTTGTCAGTAGATTTGCAGTATATAGATCAGTAATAATGAAATCTGTACGATTTTATAATAATAAAATGCTGTACGAGCCGTTTTATTGACTATAAAGTATCTACACTATAAAGAAAGTATCTACAAAGATGATCTTAAATATAAGATTCCACTGTGATTATCGGCCTTTGACATCTATATGCATTCAGAGATGGTGTTTGATTGCCAATCAACACACAATTCGAAGTATAATATTCACTGCGTGACTTATACGACGTCACTTAAAATGGATGACTCACAAGCAGAGCTGATTAACAAAACATAGTTCTCGATGTCAGCAACTTCGTTTTATTTTTAACATTTTTCGCAACATGTTAAGTTCCTCATGTTTCCTTGTTCGAACGCAAACATTTAAAATACAAAAAGATTCATGAAAGATGCATAAAAAACAATGTAATAAATATGAAAATATGTTATCTCAACATTCTTTCTTGTTTTTGTTTGCACGTGTTCATCACGTTCCGAGAAAATGATCAAAGTAAAAGTTATTAGACACAGACGTAATGAAAAAAGAAAAAAAAATCTAAAGTCGTCGAAGTAGTCACTTTCCTGTTCAAGAACGTGGACAGAGAGACAAAGTTCTTCTACTGTTACGAGCCTTTTAGTCCAGTGATCATCAAGGAGTAAACGGCTGTTCCGAGAAGGGACGCTCGGAAATGGCACATTCTCAATTACCAAACTTGGCCGAGCACTGCTTTGATCAATAATGCAAACATATTGGTTTTTACAAATAAACTAATTTAAACAACACTTAACTAACAATTAACTTGAACTTTGGTTCTCATTAAAAGAAATATATATCATACATTATTGCGTTAAAAAAAAGTGTATATTATTTTTTTAACTACAGATATGTTTTTAATTACAGATACGTATTTATCTCTCACGGGCTATAAATCACGATATGTGTTTCTCTCTTCGTAAAATTTCAAATTTTTTAATTCCAACTTTTTAATTCTTCAATTTTTTTTCTGTTAAACTGAATATTTTTCATATTTAAATATTTTTAATGCAAATATAAAAACTATTTGTTAGAATTTTGATAACACTTTCTGGTTTTCTACGTAACAATACGCGACTCTTTCCAACAATTGGAACATTGGTTGAAATCACACAATGTCTATATAAGAATATTTAAATTGGAGCGATAATACTGAGCAAATATGGCTTTATGTGAGCTTCTTTGTGATAATTTCAAAAGAAATCGCAAAAATGTCAAAAGAACTTGCGCAAAAGCGTTAATCAAACGCTTCAATGTGTAATATCTAGTATAATAAAATATAATATATTTCTCAACTCTAATCTAATGTGTCAAAACATTCCGAAGACGACTCTCTTGTTTCGTCTCGTTCGTCAAGCGAAAGCTCGCACTCTCTCTTTACTCTTTTTACCTGCTGATATACACGGTGTCTAATCTAATGTAATTTATGCGCAAATTAGTTTCCCGTTTCCCGTTAAAGATAGTTTCCCGTTCAATATACAGTAGTTTACATCTATAAATATTTATTTTTACTAGTTATTATGGTTTTTTACATTCCACGAACATATATCTTATATGAAACATGAAACCATATCATCTCTCTCTTCGTGTAGAAATTCTTATATTTACCACTGACGTTTAAATTAGGTGAATTAAATCCTTAATTCAACTCATTGGCTCAAATAAATCTCATATTAAGCTTTGATATACACTTAAGATACGCCTTGTGCAATACTTGATGCTCACTATGCGCATATGTTCACGTGCCTTGTACACAAGTCTTGTTTAATTATGCCAAATATGTATAATGTTAATAATTTATTATTAGCATATAAAATGATAATAATTATTATTATTCAATATATATATATACACGTTACTGTCTACTTGCCAAACAGGTTGTCAGTGAGGAAAGCGCTCATTGCGTATGGTACGGGCAATGCTTTACGGATACATTTATGCACACGAAATACTGTCCTTACGATGGGCCAGCGAAACCATTAGATTCCGAAGGTCAGAAGCTGCTGGCTACACACTGTCCGCATCTCTTGGTGGACAATGGCAAAGGAATTAATACTTGCTGCGATGCGAAACAGCTTGCTACGTTAAATAATAATGTCAAGCTCGCATCAAACTTTTTAAAACGATGTCCTAGCTGTTTAGATAATTTAGTGAAACATTTTTGCGATTTTACATGCGCTGTTGATCAAAGTAGATTTATCAACGTTACAGAAATAATTAATACAGAAAATGGTAATTATCGTTTGTTGTTTTGCTTCATCATCATAATCTTTGCTTGTACATTGAATTTCTTAATGAACTTCTTTTTTGCAGATGTAAAGTATATTAATGCGATAGACATTTATATAACAAATAAATATCTCGAGGGAACGTTCAATTCGTGCAATAAGGTATCGGTGCCAAGCACGGGACAATTAGCGTTGGACTTAATGTGCGGGGAATGGGGAGCGAGTAGATGCACTCCTTTGAAGTGGTTCTACTTTATGGGCGATGCGGAGAACAATGTTTATGTACCTTTCCAAATCACGTATGTGAACACCGATGAACCTGTTGGATCGTTCATACCATTGGATCCGCCAATTACGCCGTGCAGTAAGGCGCTAAACGTTAGTATTTCTTTATGTTGAAAAAGATTAGTTTGTTCTAAACAATACATGTATTTAACTTGCTCTACCTAAGACTATTAGACTTATTAACAGCTTGACAAGGCTTAGTGTGCTTATTTCGTTAACACATCTTACCTTTGCAAAAACCTGTTAGCATGTTTTTTGTGTCACAGAGTTTTCACACAACTTTCTATTTAACGATGACTTGCAAAATTTAAACTTTGGCATTTGTATTAACATGGTATAACTGAATAAAATTGAAAAAAATATACAATTAAATTAAAAAATTGTAAAACAAGCTAAATGTAAATGTGCCGCGTAAGAATAGAATTAAAAATGATATATAAATTTTTTTTCCAGAAAAACACTCCAGCTTGCAGCTGTGTCGACTGCGAACAGAGTTGTCCAGTACCACCACCGGCGCCTCCACTGCCACAACCATTTTTAGTATTTGGCTACGATGGTTACGAAGTTATAATGACAATTATTTTCGTATGTGGCACCTGCCTGTTCCTATTTTTAGTGGTGTGTTTCAGTCACCGAAAGCGCATAGGTAAGAAACTTAGGCTTGTATATTTAAAAATTACAGTAGCAACCTGTATAACTGATGTGATGCAGTTTTTAAAAACAATAAGTGCAGTTTTTTTAAATATTTTGTGTGAGCTACATAAATTTCATACAATAACATAAAACGAGTTTTTCCCGTGTTGTGGCTCTGCTGTATATTTTTAGTTTTTACACATGCACACACAATTGTCACTAAACCTTTTTCAAGCACAAAAAATGGAACTGGATGAAACATCTTTTTCTCAAGTGAGGCTATTGTTAGCTATATTTTTTGCGTACGGTATATATCTTGATGATTTATTGAACATGTTAGTGACTAATTGTAGATATAATCCATTATTAATTAATTATGTCTGCTAAATATGTGAAATAAGAGTGGGAAAAGAGTACAAGGTGAACACTTTGAGTGTGTGATTAATATTTTTTTCATATTGATTTTTGGATATATTTTGTTAATGCTACTTATCTTTTGCTTGATTTTATTTTATCTGAACCTCAAGAAAGCATGTGTAATACATTAATTTGCTAATCTTTTGTTATATTACAAAAAACAAATATTTTCACAAAAATCATTTGTGGAAAATTAGAAAATTTTTAAGTACTTATACATGTATAATTACGCAAATATGCAGTTGTACATATAGTATAAGTTAATACAGATAAAGTAATTGTAGCTACATAAAAATTGCAGCATATTCAGACTTATATAATTGAAAGCAGTTATTCTTACAATGAATATCTTCCACTTTAGCTCATCAAATCATTTGATATATAATTTATTTTGATCTATAGTTTATTACATAATACTTGTTTTTTCAGACACAGGTATTAATATTAACATGTTTTATATTTTTTCTAATTATTTATATTATTTTTATTTAGGTTATAGGTATAAATTAATATTTCTAATAGAATAATTTAGTATTGTTTAAAGTCTAACGAGTGTATTCTAAGTTGTTTATCGGATATGTTTTATGTATGGAATATTTGTATTTTGTGTTAACTACTGGATGCACATATACGGGTTTTCTTCTGTATTAAAACTTATTATATCAACGAAACGTGAATCAGTGGATCATACAAGTGTATGTATGGTATGTGCGTATGTATAGTTGCACGAGGGGAGGAAGTAGGAAGACAGGTGGGTAGACGGCTAGCTGCCGGATTACACCACCCAGGAGACGGTGCTCGTATTGCCCTCGCCGCTGACCAGGAAGACAGCCCACTTCAGTCTAAGCGGTCCAGTACGTTTTCTTGATTCTAAAATTTTTGATGTCATCGTATTGGTGTTCCCTTGTCGTACTTTCTTGTTGCTTTATCGCTTTTTTGTTTGTCGTACGCTTTTGTTTCTAGTCTTGCAGATCTGTTCCACCAGGATGTCGCAAAAAGGTTGCGCATTAGACAAAGTCTTCAAATTAACTATTCAAATGTTTTATTTATAGAAAAATGTTGAATTATGATATCTAATTACACAGTCTACAAAATATACAAACGTATGCAATCACTTTTTATCTTTTAAAGAGATAAAAATTTGCTTAAATGCTTGAACGCTTGAACAAAGTTCAGAGAACTCATAGGTCATTTCACGGCTAACAGAACATTGAAAGCATGAACTCGATGTAATTGTACTTTGACGAAATATCTTATGCTGCAAATGTATATTTATTTTAGATGAAAATTATATACAGATTTTTTTTAATTACACCACGTGATGATATAAAATAACAATTATATATAATAGAAATATTTATTATGATTACTTGTACGCTTTTACAAAATTTGTGTCTTGCAAGCATTTTACTTTTTCTTTGTTTATGTTAAACTTTCTCTAATACTGAATATTTTGCATGTTTGTAAGGATATATGCACGCAATTTATGTGCAACAAACATTGCTTCAATAATTAATTAGAATGTAAGTAAAATGTGTGACGTTTAATAGCTAAGTAAACAAAGAGTTCTTTATACTAATATGAAATTCAAGAAAGTTCTTTTAGTATTTGTGACATTGTACTTTTAAGTAATATTTTGTTTTTATTAGCAAATTTTGAAAAACAAAACTTCTAATATTAATGAAAATTGTTACTTCCATAATTTTTAATTTATTTAAGAAAAAAATAAAAATTATGGAAGTAAGTAATCATACTTTACGTATATTTATGTAAGTAATTTTGTCATTTTTTTTGTCAATTATCGTACGGCACATGTAAATATAATATCTTTTCAGTATTATATATATATATATATATATATATTTACATTATAGTCACATATGGAAGACTTTTTTTTATTAAGTATTAGTTTTTGATGTTTTTTTTCTTTTTTTTAGCAAATCATTTTTACTAATAACATTTTGTTTTACTATTTTTGAAAACTGTGCAATCTATTATGTTTTATTATTAGCACGCGTTTACTAAAGATTATTTAAAAACAATGTAAAGACGCTTGTAAAAAAAGAATACATATATCTTTACTAAAATTTTATTTGTGTGCATATTTAATGTTGTAAATATTTCTAGGTATTATATCCAACGAAGATTTACCAACCGATTTTGACCAAGAACAATCTACTTTCATTGAGAAACTTGGAGCAGGCACAGATAAAGTTTTGCAGGAGTTCTTCTGCAAGTGGGGAACATGTTAGTAAAATATTTCGTATTTTGTATATTATTACACGCAAATTTATATATTGTATTTTTTTTTACATATACATATATTTATCCGATTACGCGTGTGCACACCTGCCTGCGATAACTTGTATTTTATTTTGTAGTCTGTGCTTCCCGACCTTGGTTGATACTTTTCCTTGGCTTCCTATTGATTGTTGCCTTGGCACATGGTATAAAATACGTGAAAATTACTACGGATCCTGTGGAATTGTGGGCATCTCCGAATTCCCGATCGCGTGTCGAAAGAGAATATTTCGATAAACATTTTGAACCTTTTTATCGAAACGAACAAATTATCATCACGTCCGTTGGTTTGCCCAATGTATGTTATTACTGAAGTACATGCTCTTTTACACACGAAGAAAACAATACTTTTTTTTTTTCTACAAAATATACTACGTAACAGTATGAAAAGAGAATTATGCGAATATAAATAAAATATAAGATTCTTATATCTATATACATAATATAAAATAATTACTTAAACACCAATTGTAGATTGTGCACAACACTACCAACGGACCGATCGTATTTGGTCCTGTATTCAACGACACGTTTTTAAAAACGGTTTATAAATTGCAAGAAGGAATCAAAAACATCATTACTCCAAATAACTACACATTGGCGGACATATGTTTTGCTCCTTTAACCGGACCGTTTACTGGTCCGACTACAGTCTCGAAATGCACTATTCAAAGTGTATGGGGCTATTGGCAAGACAGCTTAAGTAAATTTGAAGAATCGGAAGACGAAGGAAATTATACGGTCAACTATTTAGATCATTTCCGAGTATGCTCGCAGTAAGTAACAAAAAATTAAAAAATGACTATGTGTTTATACAGGGTGTCTCATAACGAACGAATCAGCCGAAGTGTGTAGGTAGATCGGGTCAATCCGAACAGAAAAGTTATTTACCATTTTGCAAAATGTGCAATAGTTATTAAAATATGAATTAATAAATGTGAGCCAATGAGCGCGCGGGGGGCAATGATCGGACTCTAGGGGTACCCCTCGCTCGCCGCTGTTCGCGGCGTACCGCCTAATATCGCCCGATCGCAAGAAGTTGAGTCGCGCCGCGCTAGTTTGTTTCTCCGCCTCTCATTGCTATGACATTGCATGAAAGAAGCCATTTTTCTTTACAGCCGATAATCGTGCACGCCTATAGAGTCCGATCATTGCCCCCCGCGCGCTCATTGGCTCACATTTATTAATTCATATCTTAATAACTATTGCACATTTTGCAAAATGGTAAATAACTTTTCTGTTCGGATTGACCCGATCTACCTACACACTTCGGCTGATTCGTTCGTTATGAGACACCCTGTATAATGACGAACACTATTAATTGACTGTGAGATTATTGCTTAAACAATATTTTATTGCTTTTGTTTTATCTATGTATTTATAATTTTTTTTTATGTTTATTTTCTCAGAAATGCATACAATCCTCAGTGTCTCGCGCTTTACGGCGGCCCTATTGAACCGGCAATTGCGGTAGGCGGATTTTTGTCTCCGGGACAGGACCTTCACAATCCATCGTATGAGAAGGCAACCGCGATAATACTTACTTTTCTTGTAAACAATTATCACAACAAGGCTAAGTTAGTTTCCGCGATGGAGTGGGAAGAAAGGTAAATTTATGCTGATAAAAAAACAGTTTTATACGATTAAAAATTCGATTTTATACAACGTCTGATTTCAGCTTTATCAAGTTTATGAAAAATTGGACGGCAACGGAAAAACCGGCATTTATGGACATAGCATTCACGTCCGAGCGTTCTATCGAGGACGAACTGAACCGTGAATCCCAATCGGACATTGTGACTATTTTGGTATCGTATGTCATTATGTTCGGATACATTGCGGTGTCCCTCGGCCAGATCAGATCATGTTCTCGTCTTCTGGTGAGAATTTACAAATCTTTGCAATTTTCAAAGAATTTAGAGAATTTATTTAAAATATTAAATATATTCATTTGCAGCTATGAAAATATTTTAGTTTAATTAAATACGATTAATGTTGATTTCAGTACGATTCTAAAATCACGCTTGGACTTGGTGGCGTAATTATAGTATTGGCATCTGTGGTTTGCTCAGTCGGATTGTTCGGTTTCATCGGTATACCAGCTACGCTGATTATTATTGAAGTCATACCATTTTTGGTACTGGCGGTCGGAGTGGACAATATTTTTATCCTGGTGCAAACTCATCAGAGGGAGGCCAGACGCCCGAACGAGTCGATTCCGCAACATATAGGTCGCGCATTGGGTCAGGTCGGCCCTAGTATGTTACTCACGAGTGTGTCAGAAAGTTGTTGCTTCTTCCTCGGTACGTATCAAAAGAGTTCAAAACGTAGAAATTTTTATCACAAAAAAATATTGTATCTTCAATCCATATGTGTATATTTTTAATTTTGCTTTATATTTGTTTCGTTATATTCGTTAAATTGAAAGAAAGAAAGAAGTTGTGCTAAACTGTGCAAATACAAATTATTTGCGTTGTAATTAGTCTTCCTTTATTAATTTATAGGTAGTCTTTCTGATATGCCTGCTGTGAGGGCGTTCGCTCTGTATGCTGGAATGGCATTGTTAGTAGATTTCCTACTGCAAATTACATGTTTTGTCAGTCTCTTAGCGCTTGACACAATTCGACATGCGGTATGTGTTACATAGAACTACTTTATGTTTAAAAATTTTACTTTCAGTCGACCAAGAAAGTTTGGTCAACAAAATACTATAGAAATTTAACTTATTTTTCATATGTTTGTGATTGTAATATATATATTGTGTATCTTATATTTATATTTTCATAATTTTGTAGAACAATAGGTTAGATGTGTGTTGCTTTATTCGATCCAAACGAGATGATGGAGAAGAGGTAGTAGATGGAATGCTGTACAAAATTTTCAAAGTTGCGTACGTTCCATTATTGTTGCAAAAATGGGTTCGTGCAATCGTAATGATTGTATTTTTCGGCTGGCTTTGTAGCAGCATTGCCGTAATACCACACATCGAAATCGGCCTAGATCAGGAACTCTCTATGCCTGAAGATAGCTTTGTGCTCAAATATTTCCAGGTATATTTAATAATCATGACTGAATGAACTTATATAGATAATAGAAGATAATGAATTCATTAAAAAACTGAATAAATTGATAACAAAACACATTCTTACGTCTTTTCAGTTCTTAAATACTTACTTATCGATCGGACCGCCAATGTATTTTGTTGTTAAAAACGGCCTAAATTATTCCGATACCAAAGTACAAAATTTAGTATGCGGCGGACAATACTGTAACAGCGATTCAGTATCAACACAAATATTTACAGCATCGAAACAACCAAACAGGTATATTACAACAAGGACAGAAAAACAAAACTTAAGTTTTTTTATATTCTAATTTTATAGAAATGTTCTCATTTTTTTTTTTTTTTTGTAGAACATACATAGCTAAACCTGCTTCATCTTGGATAGACGATTACATTGATTGGTCGGGACTGCACGGTTGTTGTAAATATTTCCGTACAAATAGCTCATTTTGTCCACATAACGGTACGTGTTTCTCTGTGTATATTTCTATCATGTTTATATGAAACAGTCCGATGATTGCATATATTATATATTGCATTGTTGCAATTCAATGTTATATTTGCCTTTTGGATTGCAGATCGTTCGCATTGCTCTCTTTGCAACATCACTTTAAACGATTATAACAGACCAGTGCCGAGCGACTTCAATAAATATGTATCATTCTTCCTACAAGACAATCCCGATGAGACTTGCGCCAAAGGAGGTCACGCAGCTTACGGTCACGGAGTGAATTACATTACCAATCCCGAAACGAAGATGTCGACGGTCGGCGCTTCGTATTTCATGGCGTATCACACAATTCTCAAGAGCTCGGCTGATTATTACGAATCGATGAGAGCAGCTCGAGTTGTATCGGCAAACATTACAGACATGATAAATAACAATCTCCGAAGTCGTGGTGAAAACACCACGGTAGAAGTTTTCCCGTATAGTGTTTTCTATGTGTTTTACGAGCAGTATCTAACTATGTGGCCTGACACTTTGCAAAGCATAGGAATCTCATTGCTCGCTATATTTGTGGTTACCTTCTTACTGATGGGCTTGGACATTTTCTCATCGTTGGTTGTTTTGATAACTATCACGATGATTGTTGTTAATATTGGTGGACTGATGTATTGGTGGCATATAACTCTGAATGCGGTGTCTCTAGTGAACCTGGTTATGGTAAGTTAATTGTCACGAAAACAGCAGATCACAGTTCACATAATTTAAATTGGCTCGTCACTACGATAATTCATTTAAACTTTTATACTACAGGCAGTGGGCATAGCCGTCGAGTTTTGCAGCCATCTAGTGCATTCATTCTCAGTGTCGGTTCAAGCAACTCGAGTTGAAAGAGTTGCAGATGCATTGACAAACATGGGTAGTTCAGTATTCAGCGGTATTACGCTCACCAAGTTTGGCGGAATTATAGTTTTAGGTTTCGCGAAGAGTCAGATTTTCCAGGTTAGTTCTTTTCCGTTCTAACGATAATATATCAAAATGTTGATTCTAATTCAATTCGAAAAAAAATACACGTTATTCCGCTGCTCAACATTGCTCAAGCCAAAATTCATTTGCAGGTGTTTTACTTCAGAATGTATCTGGGTATTGTATTATTTGGAGCAGCGCATGGTCTCATCTTTTTACCAGTATTGCTAAGTTATATAGGTGAGAAAACAAAAAATATTGCAAGTAATACTTAACACTATGTGACAGTTGTTATATGCCAGATAATAACTGTCACACCTTTAGATATGTAATCATGCCGGAAAATATTCGATGAAAAAGTAAGAAATAACAAAGAAAAAACGTGTTTTTTTTTACATGACTTTTGATATTGGTTTTTTTCGTTTGCATATATCACTATTCACTAATACAGTATTTGCTATAACACTGTTCCTAACGAATAAATTTTAACACTTTAACGTATTTCATGAATAATACAAAAAAGGACACGCTTGTTTTACTTCTGATGTATAATAGCTAAATTTGACTACAGCGAGATAACAGAAACGTCTCAACATTAAAATTTATATCTTTATATTTTCGTCACGACAAAGAAACAACTCTGATAGAACAAAAATATAATCTGAACGATTTTTGTGTGCGATTTTCAACTATAGTTTGACACGTTGTTATATTTAAAATTGTGTTTTCCATATATCTTTTATGTCAGACGAATTAATGCAAAATAGATTTTACTATTAAATATTAAGTAAATGTACATATGTATATAGATTTGAAAACAGTCACTACACTATTCATCACGAGCTCTTTATTGTTTATTATTTTGATAAGAGAAGAGTTAAATAATTTTGTTATGGAGAACACCAGTGTTACGCTAAATTACTGTTTGACCATCAATACTGAAGAACAATTGTGAATATTTTATAAGATATGTTTATTTTCACGGACAACTTTTACTAACACACATTGCATTTAGTGTGTGTTTGCCGAGAAGACTCAAATTATTTGAAAACGCAATTTTGTGTAACGTGGACTGGCGATTTTAGGCTCACCCATGAACAGAGAGAAGTTGGCCAATCACAAGAAAGCGATGCGCGGAAACCTGGACAACGTGCAAGAAACCTCCCTGAATCATCGTGTAAGCAAACACAATTCTCCTTCCACACCTTCTACAACCACACCTACGTTCAAAGTGCTCGAATGCGAGAGATAGGTATGCAGAGCATCTAAATTTCAAAAGAGATACGTCTGCATTTGTGACACGTGGTGAAATCTCCTAGACACCTTTTTTCCTCAAAAAAAAAAAAAAAAAAAAAAAGAATCGCTATGTTTTTACTGTACATATCTAAACACAGTGTAGATAAACTGAGCCTCTTCAAAAGATGCTGTAGAATATTTAATGCACTTTCAAAACAGTATAATTTTTAATATATCGCTTGAAATTCTCTATTCTCTTTCAACATCTATCTTTTGTAAGAATATAAATTGAAAAATTATTGCGCAAGCAATAATTTCTCTATGTATTTTTCTATATATTTATTTTGCAGATTTTTGTAAGTTTTTTGTTTATTTATATTTGTTACGTACACTCTTTACACTTTATGTAATAGAATGTAATATTATGAGTTGTTATTACTCGATCTTTTTGATCAAATTTTGTAGGAATTCTGTCGCGGAACTCTAAAGCTTGATATAATAGTGATGTTTTTTTCTGATAAAACATCACTTTCATGATGTTTTGAAAACAGAATAGAAAAACGCTACAACAAAAATATAACATCAATACTATCTTTTGCGACTCGCTGCAGTCATTATAACATCAGAAGTTACATCAGTTCTTTTTTCTTACATAATATACTAAAATAAGTAAACATTTGCTTCACACATCATATATTTTTCATCTTGTAGCACGAGTATACTGTATTGGTAATACATATATTTCATTTTTCATAACATTTTTAACTAAAACTGTTAACATGAGAAACCAATGAATAACACAGTCTCGCTTGAAAAACAATTGTAAAATAACACTTAACGAAATAATTTTGGTTTGATACTTGTTATGGCTTAAGATTACCTAAGTCTACTTTTTTGTGTATATTTGTTTTATTTACTAGTCAATATTTTATACTATTGTCAAAATATTGAGTGCTCAATGTACATTTCTTCGTTTCTTGTGTACTTTTAGGCGTGATGTCGGGCCGAGGACGTAAAAGGGCCTGCGAACTCGCGAGCAGAAGTGAAACTAAACATCACGAACACGAACAACCGAATTCTCCTCTACTCCAAGACAACAATTATCAACGTCCGACCACTTCCTACGCCAGTATGAATTTTGTCAATGCGACTGATCACCACATAGCGTTCTAATACAAATCAATTGAGACGCCGATTTAATCGGATGCAATTTTTGTACTTAGACTGAAACATGGATCTGTTAAGTAAACGTAATAGTTTTTTCTTTATTGCGCGAAACTTACAGGAAGTTCAAATCATTTCTGCGAAACAAAATTCCGATAATATTAATGGTGAACATGTCCATCTGACGCTCATATTTGGCATTTTTAGTGACAAATTTTGTTTATAATTATAAGGTCATTTGTAGCATATTTATTCTTTTTTGGGTAAGGTTGCCTTTATTTTTTACTTTTTTTCAATTTTTTTTTTTTTTAAATTTAATATTAGTAAGTTGCCATAGATTGTATTTGTGTAAAATTAAAGTTTCCCGCGATTGCAAATGACCGATCGTACGATTGAGTTTTAGGTAGAAACTCTAGAACGACGAAATTGTTTCTCACTATTTGCATATATTTATCGTTTAAATAAATTTAGCAAAAAGAAACGAAGATAGATATAAAATATGCATTTCTGTGTTTTTTTTCATGCAAATGCATTTCTCAATTGTGAGGTGAGTTTTGTTTTCTGATATTGATATCTAATTATTTCTCTTACTCTGTGATGGCCATTATGCAAATTATTTATCCTAAATTCTAACGTGCAAATGATTAGCAAAAACTAATTTTATTATTTTTTAATGTTTTAAGATATAATATGTGGAAAACACATGTTACTCTGGGATCTCAGTTATAATGTAAATGTAATTGACTCTCGTGTGAATGTGTAATTCTTATACGTATACGCCGTCCATAAATACAAATGTGAAGACAAAAAAATACTCGTCGATAAAATCGACATGGTTATTGAGACTATAATATAATAATTATTTGATATTTGCTTTTAAGAAACACACATTAAACAATTTAAACACTATTTCAACGATGTTAAAGACGTCTTTCGCTTTAAGACATTATTTAAACACATGTAGTAATAGCAAATAAAGTGATATCTATGTCAGGATACAAGTTTTCAAATCTCACTTTAATCTTTAGGTTATGCGGTGCGGTCATATAGGTGATCTATGACCTAAAAAACTTTCTGAATTTTATTATGTAGCTTTAATTTGAATTGTAATTTTTGTCATGGAATATAGATATAAAATGCTTTTCAGTATTACGGACTACACATCACTATATGCGTTTAGTCCTATTCTTATAGGTCTCAAATTGTGAGTTTAAATATAAAACCAAATGCAAAAGCGTAGTTTATTTTTTCGTTGATTTTTCTTGCTGACGTGTTGTAGATCGTTAGGAAATGTTATGTTTGGGAACATCTTGACATTTTGTATCTACAAGTTTCAACGTGTTAGCTTGAAATTTTCTATGTCGACTGCTGTAAGGATGAACCTAAACTTGATGATGTGTTGGGCCATTTTTTTTTTTTTTTTTTTTATTATTATTATAAATGTGTTTTATTTGTTCTTATACGTGTGTATGTAAATACTAAAAATAATTTTGCGAGTTTTTGATTCTTAGTAATCAGATGTTGAAAGGAAACATAATAGATTCTTTTATTTTTTTAATTTTTCAATTAATTTAAAGTTTCTTAAGTTGTTTGTGAAAAGGTGCGATACTTTTGCACACAATACGTATATACATAGAAACTTTTTGTAACAGTGTGTGTGGTCTCTTACTTGGATAAAATACCTAATAAAAACTACTACTATGTTAAGTGAATTACTAACGTTAATATGGTTTTGCACTATAAGCTACGACTTAAACATACCATCACAAATTTGAACAGAAAGTCCCCACAGAAAGTTTTATATGGATCATAACTTTTATACAATTGTCGAGAATTACTGTAAGACTAAATCAGAAAAAAAAAAAACTTACTAGTTAAATTAGTATGTCTCATATTGTTACTAAAATGTGTCTTTGTGTACATTTGAATGCATAAAAGATAAAGAAGAAAGAGGTAACTATACGTTAAACGATATTCGTAAAAAAATACGTCGTAAAAGTGCAGTACGTTGACGCAGATGTCGTATGTGTATGTATGTGTGTGTTTCATGTATGTAGGGATATCTTCCGCAGAGCGTGACGTTTATTAAATAAAATTTGTGTATATTATGCTGGTACATTTCGAAGAATGTCATCTAATGTTCTTCGATTTAATATTGCACTACGTGACAAATTGTACATGGCATATCACTATAGAAGCTTCGATATAAATGTCAAGTATATTATACGAAGCAGAAAAGAGAAGTGTAGACGTCAAATTGATTTACTTGTAATGATGAGTAAGAAAAGAAATAATAAAAAAAAATAGAAAAAAAAAAAAAAACGAAACTGTCACAAAATAACATGTACAACGTACTGTGTGTTATCACATAAATATAAATAAATATGAATTACATTTTATTCTGTGTTTGTACCATACAATTATATTATAGTCATATAGCCATTTATTTTATAGTCATATTATCTTGCTTTATTTCTTTTGTAAGGAATCTCAATCCCATAGGTTTATATTTTTACATACATTTGTGAATTTTTCTCGATAACTCTTTCATTTGTTAATATTATTATTTTTTTTTTTTTTCTATTTTAATTATTCAACACATTTGTGAAGTCAATGAAATTTGATGAGAGATAATTACTCGTAACATCTTGCACAATTATTTGGCATTTTAAATATGAGAACTTTGTTTTTAAAAGTCTTATTGCTAAACTTATTGCTAATATAATTATTCAAGTTATAATACAATAATTAGAGCATAATTAGTTATAATTACAATAATTTGAAACAAGAATTAAGATATAGATAAGCTAAATAGAACACCTTGTGTGTGCGTCTTTTATATATAAGAATGTGAGGGATTGTTTTGTTATTTCGATATATATAACAGATGTTCAAGTTATGATTTCTGTCCTATCGGCCCGAACAGGTAGATTGCTGGACAGTTTTCGTCGGGATTACCGAGAAATTGAGCGTATAATTCTTGATAACGTGACAAAGTCAGTCCACCTCGCTTTCTATCGTCATCCTATCGGCATAACAATTCTTATGAGAAAATTTTATTCTTCATCAGACAAAGTGATTAAATAATTATTATGTTTGCGAGTATATGTATATGTATATATACCTATGTAAACCGAAAGTAATTTTGATATTTTTTTAATTTTTCCACTTACATTTAAAAGATTTTGATAAGCTTTATCGAGAATGTCTATGTTATCCACAGCGATCCTCGAAATACAGTCGTATCGAAATTCTTCGGCACCAATTACGCCATCCTCTAAAACAGATAATAAAAAAAAAAACTATAAAAAATCATTTTTCTTTTTTTTTTTCTATTTAAACTTGAGTTGTCAGTTTTGGTCATCGATCTGAATTTCACAATATTAAAATATAAAATATATTCATGTATTAATCTCTCTCTCTCTCTCTCAACAAATTATGTTGTAAATTTGCAAGTTTGTGAAAATTTAGAAAATTACACAATACCATTTATATCGATTATCTTGAAGTGACTATCGATGAACTTTTTCATTGCCTGGGGAAAATCGTTGAAGGAACGACCGACGCAACTATTTTGTACAGCTCTTTTGAATTCTTCTATTGTTACCAAACCGTCCTAGAACAGAAGCACGAGCTAATTTTCGAATGTATGCGGTTGCTGTAGGAAAGATAATATATCTTGCGACATACCTTGTCAAAATCTGCCAAGTCAGCTATTTCCTCCCACAAAGAATGCATAATGTGAAGATTTTCTTGATATCGATTGTAATTAAAATCACCTTTGCCTTCGATTAGCGTCATTCTCAATGCCATGCATTCAAAATCATGTTTGTCTAACTGTCCATTGTTATCTATATCTGCAGTTACAGTGTGTGCTTCACTATTGTGATTTCTTTTAATTGCGAATTTTTGTTCAATTTTTTTAAATCGAAATTTTTTACAAAAAGTATTGAAGCAATAGAAAAAAAAGAAAGAGAGAGAGAGAGAGGAGAAAGAAAAGTGTAAAAAATATAATTATAATATATAATATATATAATTTTATAATATATATAATTATAATATATAATTATAATGTATATAAGGTGTGAGAGAGAGAGAAAAAACTCTTTACACTAAATAATTGTTCTAGATAGTTCCTATATAAGATTAATTTGACATTGTTCAAATAATTCGCAATTAAAACAAGTGCAAACAAATATGACGTATTATTTCAAAAGTTTCAAACCGGTGTTAGGTTTTTTAAATCTCTTCAAGTTGTACTTGAAATGTTAAACAATATTGTTACTTTATATCTCTTCTTTCTTATTAGTTTTTAGAATTATTAGTTTTTAGAAGCAAATATTGTTAGAGTAGTTTTAACTTTCAACAAAACGATATACAGGATGTGTGTATATACTTTTACAAGTGTCGTACAAAGTGATTGCTAAATGTGGTAGAAGATAAAAAAAGAAAACTCGCTTCTCTCTCTCTTCTTGAGATAAAAAGAGAGAGAAGAGAAATAGAGATGTCATATCTTTATCGTTGTCTTATAAACAAAAAGTTATACCAATTTCTGAGTATCGCGATTTTTAGCAGACGCAGCTTTGTACATGCCTCTCTTCGTGTACAACCATTGTTTTTCATAATTTTATTGTTTTCCACCGAGCCCCGAATCAAACTCGGACCTTTGCGAATATTTCTTTCACGTTTCTACTAACCGTACAGGAACTTCACTATGAAATTAACGCGATCATCCCAGCTGTACGCCATCTCTCTCGTGATTATAATACCCTCTTTGCGTCTCTTTCCGACACGTAAAAAAATTCTTATAAGCGTCGAACCGATAAATAAACCCAAATGTCGTTTCGAACCACTGCGTTCCTCTTGATCGACGATAACTCTTTCTTTTCTTTTTTTTCGTTGGTTTTTGTTAATTGAGACGCAAACCAGGAGACACGGTGCTCCGACACGGAGAAAGTGCTCGAGGAGAACAGTGGTTTCGCACTGAACTCCGCCAAAATCCTACCTCTAAACTTCGGTCTAAACTTAGATAATCCCCTCTGAGCGCGAAAGATACCAAGTCGCGGTGGTAATAGAAAAGAAACTGTTTTTTTTTTTTTTTTTGTGTTTCAGTGGCAATGGCGACTAATAGAGAGAGCGATGACGATGCGGATACTTCGGTTGTCGATATAATTTGCATTTTTATTTTAAACAACAAATTGTTTTTTCTCCTTGTAATTTATATTTTATTTCAAAATTACTCGAAATAGGTTTTCTATTTTATACTGATGACAAAATCAAGACGAATATTGCTATTGTACAATATCGTATGAACAGAACGCTTTGGCACTGAAAATGGGATCGGTTTCACGTTAATCACAAGGCAAGTGACGAAAATTCTGACGTTACATCCGCGGTATCTAAACAGCAGTATCTCATATCTCCCCGTACATGCGTTACATCTCACAAATTGTAACAACGGTGAAATTTTTTATCCGCTCTATTTTCACGGTTCTAGATAGACATCTGAATAAGGTAGTCGCGGAGACATCTGAATTCCAAAGTGAGCGCACATATTTAAGCGGGAGATTCAGAGCGATCCGAAATTAACTAAAGCTGAAATCGGACTCGACCGAGAACTTTCCTTGTATATTTACTTGAGCGCAATCAAGTGCATTTGGATGAAATATTTGTATATATATATATATATATATTTTTTTTTTTTTCAATGTCAAATTTTTCTCTCTATAATATAAAATTCATTAAAATGTATATAGATATATCTTTTTATTTATATAATTAATTTAATTGCGAGTTTTTCTATGTATGTACACATATGTGTACTCTATTACACATAGTTTAACATTAACCATTTTTGGGAAGATATTGCATTATATGTGTTCTCTCTCTCTCTTTCTCTCTCTTACGTAGATATTTCATCGATATTTTCTTTATGGGATTATTCTACAATTTAAATGGAGGTCATGTTGAAAGCTTCTTTTTCTCGGGATGGTCCCGATTTGTTCTCTTGGTCCGCATAAATGTATTTTTGTACGCAGTCGGTAGACACGATGAATCGTCACGAAACATGTCAAAAGCAGACAGTACAAAAACACGCCCACACAACTCACTGCGACAAATTGCCTGGGTGAGGCTCAAAATGCCGCTGCATCGGAAACCCTTTTTCCCGCGCATTTAAAAATAATTCTCCCGGTAATTCGCTCGAAAATGCATACCGGTATTGTAATCGGTACGTACAGAGACGAGTGAAAATAGCCTGAAAGAGATCCGAGCGATTACAGGTGAAACGAGTACTCGTCATATAAGGCATGCTTTCGTCGGCCGTTCGTTAGTTTGAAAACGCTAGCTGTCGCGCGTGAAACTCTGTCGCGTCTGAATCTCCGCGCGCGTGGAAAGATCGATATGAGATCGAAATTTTGTTTCGTGCTGATCGTGTTGCCCGCCGTTTTCCACGGTGAGTGCGCAATTCAAAAATTTTGCTTTAAAAAGTGCGTTTTTTTTTTAATTTTATTTTATTTCACGTCAAATTTTCATTTATCAAGTAATGTATAAAGGAGAAAAATTATGTATAAAGAAGAAAATTATTCTCGCTATTATATACTACTTGTAAAAAAAAAAAACAAGCTCTTCAAAATCGCCCTAAACTTGATGGTTTGTTTTTTGTCGAATATAATATACCAAATGGAATAAGCAGTAAATTGAATGTGAAAATTGATTAAAATCGATGATCCGAAGGTTTCACTTCCGTTTCTGCATTCGGGAGAAAACGATGGCGCTAATCACCGGAGATTTCTCTTCAAACGCGTATATACGTCGCCGCGATATCCGTTTCTGAACAGCTAACCGGAACGTGAAAGTTTAGCACGCGTAACGATAATCTCGCAGCCACAAGATATTGATATCTTTTCAATCTCTGACAATATTTGCTTCATAAAATCGGTTCTTTCTATTATTCTATTGTTCACTGTGCACAAAAATACATGCATTTATTATTACAAAGCATATTGAATACTTTTAATAATGCAATTAAACGATGAATTCTTGAAAACGGATTTTTAACGATTTGAAATAACACACCGCAAAAGAGCATCAGATATCAGATGTTGAATAAGTCGTGTTTAATAAAGTTCGCGCTTATCTGAGTTAGAAAAGAAATTTATTTTATTTTCGAACGAAAGAAAAGCGAAACAAATTGATATAACTCACAGATAGTTGTATTCCTATATACGTTGTATTATCTTCAGCAAATACTGCGACGGAAAAAGGCAACTCCGAAGAAGTTCCTTGTATAGACAAGAACAAGTTTTATCGAAATCCCAAGACTCCACCGCACAGCGTCTGGTCGTCGGTGGAATGTAGCAAATACTTCCTCTGTTTAGGTATAATACGATGACATAAGATATATAAAGAAAATAAATATTACAATTTTCATCACATTTTTTATATATATTTACGTCGTAAAATGTCTACTAAATTTGTGTTTCAGATAATGAAGTGTACGAATTTAAATGTTCGCAAGGGCTTCTTTTCGACGTCTTTAAACAGATATGCGACTTTAAGACAAACGTCGATAATTGTGACGTAACTTCAGGTACATATATGTATAATATAAATGAAATTGCATTTACGCAACTCGAGCGCGAAAAGGAAAAACGCGCAATAGAGAAATATATGTCACCCGGCCCAACAGCAGCAATTAGAAATCACGATAACGTTCCGACGAGTTTGCGTAATGCGAGTTTTTTTTTTTTTATGGCAGTGCCATGTTGTATATTCTAGAGAGATATACCAAATGTTAACAATCCGTTCGTATAACAAATAATCCTGGCCTTCCCAACTATGTGCTGAATGGTGATGTGAAATCTTAAAAGTTTCTCGTAGACGCTCAACCAGCTAAACCGTTGCTCAGAGATGGTAACTGCGATGAGGAAAGTTTGGCTTGCGGGGATGGCACGTGTCTCCCGGCTTTGTACTTCTGCGACGGGAGTGTCGATTGTCCCGACGGTTCCGACGAAGGATGGTGTGGTAAGAAAAAAAAAAAAAAAACAATATGTAGCATAAAAATAAAATAACAACTGTCAATTTTATACTGTAGACATGCGACACGATACAAATGCCGCGCCGGTTTGCGACGCGCAGAAGTGCCGATTACCAAGTTGCTGGTGTTCCAAGGATGGGACTGAAATTCCGGAAAATCTCACTGCACACACAGTGCCACAAATGATAACGATCACATTTGATGACGCCGTAAACGCCGACAATTTCGATTTTTATTCAAGTAAGTTCTATTATAAGTAACGATTTTGTATTCAAAATTCTGAAAATTTGAACAAATGTTTTTTGAACACGATTTTACATTATAGAAATTTTCACGAATGACAGAAAAAATCCGAATGGTTGTCCGATAAAAGGTACTTTTTATATCAGTCATCAGTATACAAATTACAGAGACGTGCAATATTTGTGGAACACGGGCCATGAAATAGCCGCGCATTCCGTTACGTAAGTACATCTCGTATTTTGCATGTGATGATATTGAAGAGAAACCAACAACAAAACATCATCTATTTTGATTCAATGCGAAACAAATTGAGAAATTAACACACGCAGGCATCGTGGACCAGAAGAATGGTGGGCGAAAAACGCAACAATCGAAGATTGGTTCGACGAAATGGTCGGAGTGGCAAACATCATTAAGAAATATGCAGCGGTTCGTATTGGCGATATCAAAGGTAGAAATCTTATTTTCTTTTATTTAGTGTCAAGATCGCGGAAAGAGAAGATTCCCGTTGTATGAAAGTAGCAATTTAAATTCATACAATAAATTTTACCTGAGAAAAGAAAACAAATATATACTATCGCGTGTTATGTCCGCTTGTCGCGTGTTTCTTATATTGCCGATAATGTATGTCGTAGGTATAAGAGCCCCCTTTCTGCAGATTGGATGGAATCGCCAGTTTCTGATGATGTCGGAATTTGGTTTCGTTTACGATTCTTCAATAGTCGCGCCATTCTCCGATCCACCTTTGTGGCCCTACACGCTTGATTACAAACCGCCACATTCGTGCATTCAACAACTTTGTCCCACTCGCTCTTTTCCAAATATCTGGGAACTACCTATAAATCCACTTTTAGCGAACGTAAGTAATTAAATTGGAAATAGGTTTTATTTAAAAAATACGAAGAATGACGAAAAAAACGAGATTTTGAAAATCTTTAAGGTCCGTACGTACTCGTAACAATTATATGTTATAGCATATGTGTGTGTTTTGTTTTTAGATAAACATTTTATATATATATATATATATATATATATATATATATATATATAATATATATATATAATATAGATAAAAGATATATATATCTTTAAATTTCATATCTAAAAAAGAGAAAAGATTAGAATATTCTCCGATAGTAATGTTTTATGTGCAATTTTGTTTAGGAATATGTTTGCAACACTGTGGATTCATGTCCTGATAATTTATCTGGCGAAGAAATTTACAAGTTGCTCATGCTAAACTTCAAGAGGCATTATCTCACGAATCGGGCACCTTTTGGCTTACACTTTCACGCATCATGGTTCCAAAATCCAGTATATTTTTATGCCTTTAATGTAAGTATTAAAATTAGGGTTCGGATCTCGATAAGATTCAAATGATGACTATTTAAAAATTTCAAATATATCTCTTCATACTAATAATCAGCACTATGTTTGTGTAATTAGAGATTTGTCGATGATCTACTTCAACTGGACGATGTATTCTTTGTTACGAGCCATCAGATTGTGGAGTGGATGCGCAAACCAACATCTCTCAATGAAATCGAAAAGTTCACACCTTGGCAATGCACGAATAAACATTTTGAAACGTTTGAAATTGCCTGTACTTCACCAAACAGTTGTAAATTACCTAATCGAGTTCTCAAGTCGTTCAGGTATTTACATACATGTTTTGAATGTCCGAAACAATATCCGTGGGTAAGAAATGAATTCGGGACTGAATAAACCTAATTAATAAAACCACAAGCACTTTATCATCTCATCAAAAGTAGAAAGAAAACTTAATCCAGAATAGTGTTGAATTGGAAATTCAAATATATATAAATATATTCATACACATATGTATAGTCTTACATTAGGTACTTATTGGTTTTTTATTTTAGTTTCAAATTTTGCATTCATTTCATCTGTCATCTTCATATTGTTTATGTTACTAAGAATTTAATTGCACTATATGTGACACAAGTGCATATTATTTATTATAAATATAGAAATAAACACACTTTTAGTAAAATATCTTTCTGTTCTATATAAATATATATAGCTCTTTTTAATTGTAAAATGAAAAATAAATTATCTTTTATTAGAAAAATGGAAAGAATTATATTTATATCATTTCTAAACTTAATACATTGTATTAAGATAATGTCCATCCTACTTATCCATCTTGTTGAATAAAAGGATTCTGAATGGATTCCATGCCATCGACAGGGCAAATAAGCACAACAGATGTTCCTCTACATACAACCAAGCCTAACATGCGAGTGTCTTGATTTAATTTGTATGGATCATCTGGATCTATAAAATACAAAACATATATAAAAATGGTATAGGTTATTTCTAAATATATGCTAATACTATAGAACACAATTAATTGTTATTGTATCAATTACCTCTAAGATATTCCTTTGTGTTATCAAGCACCAGATTAAGTAAAGGATCATATCCTTTGAGTATACCTTCGGCTTCTCTACCTCCGGCAAATTTTACCCTTATATTCTTTTCGAGGTATTTAGAAAGATCAAGAATACTCTCTTTTCTTTTCTTCTCTTTATGTTCAGCATTCGGTTGCTACAAAAACACAAAAACAAATAAAAAAAAAAAAATCATTGTACTCAAAACTGTGATTGTGAGAGATTAAAGAATGGAAAAAAAGGGCAAGACAGAAACTACTAAAAAATAACAAAATATACAACTTTTTCTACTTACTGACATGATTCCGAACACAAATCGTAGAACTTATATATATGAGCCAAACCCTCTTTTAAAAATCAATACAATTCATGCATGCGACAATTCGTAAATTATATTATCAAAGAGGGCACGTTTTTGGCGTGTTTATATTACAATTGTAAAGGTTAGACTCGTGTGATATATATATATATTATATATACACATATAAATTTATATATATATATATATATATATATACAGAGAGAAGCCTGAGAGCGACCAGGTCCATAAAGCCTATGTCACACTACGGATTGGGATTGAGATTGGGTTGAAATTTGACCAATCAGAAGAAAGAAAATCAATCCTAAAGCCTATGTCACACTACGGATTGGGATTGAGATTGGATTGAAACTTGACCAATCAGAAGAAAGAAAATCAATTCTAAGTTTACTGATCTTCGCTCTGATTGGCCAAATTACAATCCAATCTCAATCCTAATCCGTAGTGTGACATAGGCTTAAGTTTACTGATCTTCGCTCTGATTGACCAAATTGCAATCCAATTTCAATCCAAATCCGTAGTGTGACATAGGCTTAAGAGAATGTGTAATCACTTTTCCGCTCCGTAAACTAGCGCATGTCCACGGGTGGTACACATTGGAACTACGCAGCCGGTCCACGAGCGACATGTCGGTGCGAATGTCCACAGCGTGCGGTTCTATTCTGTGCTATGTGCACGAGTTTAAATGGTCACTTTCTTTAAGTGTGTGAGTATATTCGAGAGCGTGAATTTGATTTTTTTTGAAATTTAAAATGACCGATCTCGCGATGAGAAGATGAGAAAGGA